AACTTTTGTTGCTGCATTTGTAATTGTTGTTGTTGGAATTGAAACTGGATTATATTTTGCAGATTCTAAATTATTTGAAGTTTGTTTCTTTGATGATTGTGATGAATTTCCTTTTTTATGAATTTTATTTCCGATTTTGGAAAAGAATCTTTTAATTTGAACCATTTTTAAAAATATTTAAATTGTAAAATGAAAAATAATGATTTAATGATAAATAGATAGATAGATAATAAATATAAAGATATTTTATTTAGTTTTAGTGTTTGTTTTAATTTATTTTTAGAATGAATATTTTGATGATCAAGATATGATATTTATAATATTTATTCAGGATCATTTCTTTTAAAAAATTCTTTTTTTCTGTTCCAAAAATAAACAATTAAATTCACTTCAAGAATCGAAAAAAAACACACAATTTCATTCCGGAATCAAATAAAAGAATAAAAAATAATGGGCTGTGTGCTTTCAAAATTTTGTGTGTTTTTACCAATGACCATTGTTTCACTCAATTACCTTCTGTTATTATGATATCTTATTTAATTATTTATTTTTATTTTTATTTTTAATTATTAATATGATATGAATTTTAATTACAAACCAGAATATCAACAGAACTTAAGTTGAAGACACCACCGAGTACGAGTAGGTTTGAGAATTGAGTAGAACTATCCGAGACGAATGTGTTGAAGGAAAATAATATATTGAATAAGTAAACCAGTAGAATTCATGTTAACAAAGTGCATTAGAGGATAAGAGATTATGACTTGTTAAGACTTTGAAGATGTAAGCGGGAGTGTATCGTTGCGGTTTGTACCCATGCTTGTTCATTCGATCAATCACAACAAAAACAACCAAAATAATATGTAAATTGAAATTTAACATCTTTTTTTTTGTTTGTCATTTTAATATCTTTTGAATCGATACCTCATCCAATAAAAAAAAGAAATAATTATAGATATCATTAAATATTTGTAATAACTAAAAAATGATCAAAATAATGTAAAGAAATTTATCAAAAATTAAAACTTCAGATAATTCAAATATTAAAGTATTATCAATTCTTGCAAATGTTTGGTTGGTGGATTGATTTAATATAAAAAATATAATTCTTGTGTTTTATTGGTTCAAATTATATATTTGGGTCAGACTCCTATATTTATGGATTATATCGTTAAAATAAATAATCAAATAATTTAAAAAAATAAGAAAAATAGAAGGTAAGATATAGGGGCGAAGATTAATATATAGATATTATTGTAAGATGACAAGAATATTTAGACTATTTGTTGAATTTGAGAGCCAATTTCGGATTGTTGTTGTTGTTTTTTTAGAGGTTGTATAAACAGGTTTTTGTTATGATCCTGGGGATAATAACGTAATGTTGATTTGTTTTAAGAAAGAAATAGATTGTATTAATTACGAGATATCTAAATATTGAATTTGATTAATTAAAGTAAGAAAAAAAAATAGATATAATAATTATTATTATTTTATGATATTGGTAGTTGTTTGTTGCTTTGGAGTGTGGTTGTTTTGATGAATTAAGGCAAAACAAAATTATATAAATGTATGTATGGTCATTTTGAAAATTCTTTAATTTAATTTATTTTGGAATCAGGAACCTTTAATGTTGTTGAAAGAAAAGAAAAGTTTGATGGTTATTATGTTTACATTTCATTAGTCAATATTATTATTTTTTTAATGATAATTTGTAATGTTGGGTTGTTGACAGACGAATGTTTTGATTTTGGAAAGAGAGAAAAAGAAGAGTTTCGATAGAGATAGGTCGGTAAGGAAGTAAGAAACAATATTATTGATAGATACCTTTTTATTTTCGTTGTTGTTTCTTCGTTTTTGAACAATGGTTCTATTATAGTTATTGGGTGGTTGCTGAAACACTTATATTGTTGATGAATGATAATGAGAAATGATAGTGGATTGTTGTAGGGGTTGATTGATTGATAGTTGTTGAGATGGTATCTGTGATGGATGGATGGGGTTGAATGAAGAAAGTATATGAAGGAACGAATCAAAAATAAAAGAATAATATATAAAACAATAATAGGAAATGTTATTATTATTATTTCGATTTAAAATCACATACCATCATCATCTATTTATAGTTGAAGTTTTGTTTTGTTTCAATTGGAGTGTTTGTTTTTGTATTGAATATTTTCATCAAAACCAAGGCAAGAGATGAAATCAATGATAATTATTTTTGTTATATTGTTTATAGAAAAGAAGAAAGGTATTTAGTAAATAATATATTTAATAAACTATGATAATATTCATTATAATTACCGTCAGAAATATATAAGAAAGTGCTTAATTTAAACTTGGCTAATGAAACTGTTTGTTTTAAACTAGATATATATAATTATTGTTGTAAAAGGTTAGTTTATTGAGATACTTGTAATTCGAGTGCTTTTTAGATGGTGAAACATTACCCATTTGGTATATTTGAAGAGAATTTCGATTGTGTTGATGGTGCAGATGACGAGCAGCTGGTAGATGGTAAAGAAGTTGAAAAAGATGATGATGGGGAAGCTGTAGATGTTGATACAAAAGATGAAATTTTACTATTATTATTCTTTAAAATGGTTGAAATGTTATTGCTAAAACTGCTGGTGTTGACGCTAGATGTATTGAGTTTGAACGATGAACAACTCTTACTCATAGAGTTTGCTCTAGAGGCAACTCTAACAAACGATGACATTCCTCGCTGCATCATCTCTATAGTCTATAAATTAATATAATAAATAATGATTATTCAACAAAGTAAACAAACACCTGAAAAACGAATGAAATTTTTTACAACAATCAGATGATCATTTTTTTTTGTGGAAAAAAAAAAAAAAAAAACAAAAAAAAATGATCAAAAAAAAAACACACATCGTGATCATTTTTGTGTGTCTATGAATTTCGAAAATCGAAGTTCTGAACTTAATTATCATAACAATATTGCTGATTTAAATAATACAATATGATTTTAAATTTATTTAATTACAAGGGTTTGCTGGTTGTTAGTGATGTTTAAACAGTTTGTGGCTCTGATGGTGGTGAGTTTTTGTTATTTTCATTGTCCCATTCGTCTTGGAACAATGATGACAATGATCTTGAAGATTCACTCCAACCTAGTGTTGAGTGGCCAAGTGATGCTCTTGACATTACAGGTGAATAAGACACTCTGGAAACTCTTGAGAATCGCTTGCCTCGCAGTGTTGACATTCCGTCTCCAATCTTTGGTGATGCCGGTGGTGTCGACACAGGCGAAGAGTCGTCACCAGTGTTATTGGCAGACACTCCGCTTCCAGTGGATTGTGTATCGGAGATCGATTCCTGGCTGGCTGCGGCAGAATCTGCTACTGGAACCGACGATTGCTTTGCTTTGACCGGTGCGTTCTCCGGGTCGAATATCTCAAAGTAGTGGACCATCAGGAATGCATTGATGGGGAGCAGCTCACTGGCGAACGATCTAAAGAGTGTTGGCGCCCAACAGATAGCGATATTCTCTGCGGACATCATATTCTCTGCCTTCTCGAGTGAGATCAGATAGAGTAGATTGAAGAGTTTCTTGACCATCTTGTTCTCGAGTGCCGGCAGCTGCTCTATGACATCGCGGTATGCGGCGATCTTTTCTTCGAGTGTTGACATACGCGATGCCTGGAAGAATCGATCGTGAAGATTATCTGGGAAGATCGGTACCGCCAGCTCACGGAAGTAGCTCTTTAGCACACCGGCAACAGTGTCAGGGTCGACACCCTCACCTGCCAGATCAATGTCTTCGCCGGCTTCGAATCTTGCTTTAACTTTCTTTAGGAGTGTTGCACTTGCACAAGTTCTAAAGATTCCAACTACTTTGGTGCCTTTTGCCACTAGATAGTCGATGGAACGCGCCACGATTGGCGGGATGTCTGGTGTGGCGGCAGACTTGTTGGCGGCGCCGCCACTCTCTGTCAGACTGGTTTGGCGACCTGGATAGAGCGGACCTCTCATCGCTGGACGCTTAGCAGACATGCTTTCAATCGATCCTGTCTTTGAGACTGGTGGTAGTTTGCTGAGAGATCCACCGCCTGGTTGCACTGGCGAAGTCATCTTTCTAACCGGCAGAGAAGAAGTGCTGATATTACCGTTGGAAGTGGTGAGAGATCCACCGATATTGACGCCGCGATTCGGTGATGTATTTGTTGCATTATTGCTTCCATACGATGAGGATGACGATGACAAACTATCACTGGATTTCTCGGCGATCGTTACTTGATGTACAATATTGGCGTGAATAATATTTTGTGTTTCCACCAGTTGTTTGTGAAGTTTGTCTTGACCGACTGTCGATTTGTCTTGTAGGAGCATGGCGTTGATATCTACAATTGGAAGCTGCAGCAAAGTGACAGACTTTGGATTTCGTTTCACCGATTGTTTGATCATCTTGACTGCATCCATGGTAAAGTCGTTGCCGTCCAACTTTAGCGATTTCAGTGTTTGGTTTTTCCAGAGAACCTTGGTGATTGCCATGGCACCGGCATCACCAATTCCATTGCCAGAGATATCGAGTTTAATCAACGATTGATTCTTTAGCAGTGCCATAATGAATGGGACCAGATCGGTCTTCAAACCTTTGCTGGCACTGGCGATGGACAACGACTCTATTCCAACGTTGTCTTCGATCAAATTGCATAGCGCTTCGATTGCACGTTGACGTAGTTTCGTTTTGGTCTTAAAGTTATTATCTATAGCCAGATGACGCAAGTTGGAATTCGGATACATAACTTCGCACAGCTTGAGGATACCGGCATCGCCAAGCTCGTTATCCGACAGGTCAACGCTCGGACACTTTAGAAGCGCGGTTGCCGGTGAGAACAGCACTTTGAGATCGTCGCCACTCAGTTGGACACGCGACAAATTGACACTTGTGAGTTGAGAGCACTGCTTAAAGAAACCAAGCAAATCGAGAGCACCCTCTTTGTTGGAAGTTGCACGATTGCCAGAGAAATCCAGCGTCTTTAGCGAAGCACAGCCATTTCGTAGTTGGTTGTAGACTGGCGATGTATTTGACATCAAAAGAGTTTGGAGTGAACTAGCTTTACTCAAGAGCTTACAAAGCGCCTGAGTTCCTACCAACTCTAACTTGTTATTATTAATCGATAAAAATTGTAGAGTACCAATCGAACTGCTCGCCAAAATAGAATTAAACAAAGATTCCAATGGTTTTCCACTGGTTTGACAACTCTCAACATTAATATGTGTGATTCCAGTTGCAAAAGATTGAATTGTACTTCCTAAAGCAACAATACCTTTACTCTAATAAATGTATATGAATTGATAGTTAGTAACTATTTTTACTTTTGAAGTAATAAAATGAATATAGTTATTTTTACCTCTAATATATTATTTCCAATGTTTATATGTTGTAATTTGATTGCTTTGTTATCTGTTAGTGCACCTAATACAGACATGATTGATTCTTTCGAAGATTGTATGTTGTTTAGCAATATTTTCTGGAGTGTTGTATTTACTTTGAGTGTTTCTGTGAGTTGGTTGGTTTCGTCGGTCGATAGTTTACAATTGCTGGCAACGAACGATGTAAAGTAGTTGTTGTATGCCATTGCCATGATCAATGCTTTCACATCGTTTGCATTGGACTGGTAGATCTCATTCAAATTGAACTCTCTAATCGAGTTGAAAGGATAGAGATTCTCAATGTCCCAAACGACACTGGACAGCGGTGAAATCCCGACATAATCACAAATCGATTTATATGTAATTGCAAATGATCCACATGGTCCAGATTCTTTTGTTAAATTTGCTAGATAGAAAAAATAAACAACAACAAATTAGTTTAAAAACTTATTAGTATAATAATTAGTTGTTATAACCCCTTTTGAAAAAGTTGAATTTGAAATTGTTCCAGTTTTCAACAACACTTTTTAAACTTGAAGAGGAGGTTGATGGGCGGGTGGATGGTAATGAACACCTATGTACTTACAAACAGATTGAAATATTGTAACTAATCTAGTTTCTGGTAGGACTGAGAATATCAATGCTTTACCGATGGTTATGGCTGGGAATGTTGTAACGAAGGAGGTGTACAGTGTTTTCAGTATCTTGTCGGTGTCGGTCGAGTTGAATTTGGCAGAGTTGTTATTTCTAAATTTAATAGTAATTTCATTGCTGTTTGGTGATTGAATCTCAACGATATCTAAAAAGTGGTGATCCTCCTCTAATTTTCCGTTGGCCTTGAATATAAACAATCGATTTATACCAAGAATCAATGTCATATCATCTACTTTTTTATCTTTTTTCTTCTCATTCACCGGTGTAATCTTTGATATCAACCTTCCTTCTTCTCTTCTCTGTGATAATACATTCTCTATTGATTCTATTTGATATTAAAATTAATAATCATAACAAAAAAAAAAAAAATAAAAAAAGATTTAGAGATATTTTAAAAATAAATTTACTTTTTTCGTTCGGAGTTAAACTAATAGCTGACATTTCCTAAACTATTTATATTAGTGATTATTATTACTATTACTATTACTATGTAGATATCTATCTATCTATTAATAATATGATTATGATTTATGATTTATGATTTAGAATAATGATTATACTGCTGGTGATTATGATTATGATGATGATCTTATCTTGCTAATAAAATACAAATGTGTCATTAAAATTGCTTAAATCTAATAATATTGATATATTGTAAATTAAAAAAATAGGAGATGAAATTTGATTAAAATTAAATTAAAAAAAAAACTTTAATATCTATTTTTAATTTAAAGAAGTGGTTGGGTGGTGGGATTGGTGATGGTTGTTGAGTTGGTTTTTTTTTTTATTTTAATTTTTATTTTTTTAATAAAATTTGGTTTTCATTCAATTAAAATGATTAATGATTTGTATGAAAAAAAATAAATAGTTTGTGATTGTATTTATACTATTATTAATCTTTATAATCTAAAATATATATATATATATTACTAGTAATTTATAACTTGTAAGTTGTATTTTAATTTAAAGATTTCTTCTTTGGTGTTGGAGTTCTTTTTTGCTTTTGTTGATGTTGCAAAGTTTATTAAAAATTGGTTAAGGGTGTGTGGGTTTTGATTTAATTATTTTTTTAATTTATTAATTTTAATTGTTTGTGTTTTGAGGTAGGTACTGCTATTTGAGGGAATTTGGATTGTTGTTGAACTGAAGAGCACCTCTTTGACTACTGATAAAGTTGATCATCAATCACAAACACATTGTTTTATTTTATAAAATATCAAAAAAATAAAATAAAATAAAAAAAACACTTTATATTGAAAAAATTATTTATCATAAAATGAATGAATTCAAATAATTTGGTTTGAGTTTGAAAAACAAAACTTTTTTTTTATAAGAATAAAAAAATCATATATCATTTTTTTATATTATATTAATATTTTTGCAATACAATAAAAACAAAGTTTCTTTTCATTACTTTAATTTTATTTTCTTTACTCTTGAAGAATTAATCGAATAATTAAATGGTTGGTTGAAAGTGAATTTTGTCATTGTTGTCTCAATATGGATTGCTTTAGTGATGACAGGAATAGTTTATTAATTCACGATCTTAAATTATCAATAAATAAATATTACACATTTTTTAAAGATCAATCACTGTAGATCTAGGAAACAAAGACATTATTACCAATAAATTTGTAATTTTTATTTTAAATTATAAAAATTATATATTTGATTTTATTTCGATAACTTTTTAAATCAAAATAAATTTTTTATATGTAAAGACGTCAATATTGGTCTTTTTTCTAATTAATAAAATTTAACACTAAATAAATCACATTAATAATTTAGATTGATATATATTGAATAAATAGTGACACTGATGTATGGGTTTTGATCTCTCATTAAATTCAAACTTATCTTTAAACTACTACTAATTATTTGACAGAAACAGTCACACACACCACTCACACACACAAATAAACGAATAGATTGTATTTATGAATCATTGTTTTAACCAATTGTGTGACAGAAAATCAAAAAATAATAGGTTAATCTGGCTAGTGTTGTGATTAATAATATTACTTTATGAAACTATTTCTTGTATATTTTAGCAGAGTGTATTAGTATAATTACATTGGTAAAAGTAATTCCAAAAGATTTTTTGTTTTTGATCCAAATATTAAAACTGGTGGTGTTGTGATTAATTCTCTCTTTAAAGATGCCGTTCAATTATTTTATAATCTTGTTGCTGCTGTATTCCAATTGGTGGTTATTTGAAATTTGATTATGATTATGATGATGTTGTTGTTGTTGATTGATATGTTTTGTTTTGATTTGTTTTTTTTGGTTTATTTGTTTCTGTCTAAAAACATATTGGTAAATTCTATTATTAACACTACCCTCTTGAGTTGGGTGGAGTAATATTGATACTATCTGCAGAATAAAAAAAAGAAATTAAAACAAAAAATAAATCGAAAGCAAAGATTTTATATCATAAACATAACACCAACGAATAAAATTCATTTTAATAGTATTGATATTGAGTATTAAACAACTAACCAATAGGACACATTGGCTTTGTTGGAAATAAAAGCCTTTCTCTCTGAACACTAGTATATATGTATCAATATTTTTATTAGATAAAGCCGATAAATTGCCAAACGACACAAAAGGTTATTCAAAATAAAACAAAAAAGAGTATAAATTAATTTTAAAATTCATTCTATCTATCAATTAATTAACTATCAAAACAAACTCTTTTTAAAAACAAATATTTCTTTCTAATAAAGCCAACCAAACTTTTATTTTAAAAAAAGAAATCAATATATATCTATCTACGATTATTACTCTTTTTATTATCATATCGTTTCATTATTTAATTATTCATCAATTCTTTATAAAACTATTTATTTATTAAAATATAAAAATGGGAATTCCAAATTCAAAAGTTGACTCTGCTTCATGTTCAAACATCAATTCGAAAAACACAGTCAATCTAAATACCATCAGAAATGAAACAATCGACTATCTCGAGAGAAGCAACAGTATCTGCACCTGGGATGACAACGATATTAACTCTCCATACCTTCCGGGTGTAATCCACACTCCATCCAAAGAATTAATATTTAGAAAGACCTCAATTCAATATATACAAGTTTAAAATATAAAATATTACTTATATAATATAATATTACGTTTTTTATTAATACACAATTATTACAATCATTTTTTTAAAACAAAAAACAAACAAACAAAAATATTTAAATAAAATATTATCACATTTTTAAGTTATAACTTGTTTTTAGAAAATAATTATTGCTATTATTATTATCAGTTATTTTATAGAAAATGAAAACTATCTATCATATTTATTTTATATGATTTTATATTTATTTGAAATTTTAGGGTTGTTTGGTTTGTATTGTTGAATAACTACAGTAATGATGATTGATATTAGAGGTGATTGTTTTGTTTGATTGATTGATTATATAATAATTGGGTAGGAGGTGTATATGAGTGTTTATCTATCTATCTTCAAAAATTTAAAATGATTATCTTCTAACGATTGAATAAATGAAACCACCAATACCAAGCAATACACAAATTAGAATGACATCAATAATGAATCTATCGGCTTTACGCACATCTTTGATCATCTTTGCAAGTCTGATGTTGATCGTCTCCAATTTCTCATCGAGATCCTCTGCTCTCTTGTTAAGTGCATCCAAGTGTTCACCCTGTGCCTTTGCAGTGGTACCCATCTTCTTTGCAATCTCTCCTGCCTCTGCAATATGTTGTCCGACAATATCCAATCCTCTATCCTATAATAATAATAATCAATAGCAACAACAAAGAGTTAGTTAGTAAACAAACCAAACCAACAACAAAATATTCAATCAAATCAATAATATTAAGATTGCAACTTACAATTTCAGCATCATTTCTTCTCAATTCTCTAAAGTCTTCGTTATCGATATCGGGCAACTCTTTGATACCTGACGATGTTGTTTCCATTGGGATGAACTTGTTGGAGTCACCTCCACGTTTCTTGTTGATAAGCTCCAATTGGTTGATATGTGACCACACCAGTTCGCAGTCTTCCTTCTCGAGTTCCAACTTTTTCAATTTCTCTGGGTTCTCTTTCTGCTTACGGTTGTATTTCTCTTGACCTCTGTCGTACATTCTCTGTAGTTTATTGGCATCGGACTTGATATCGATGATCGCTCTTCTGATTTGATGTGAAAGATCCACCGTTCTAACTGATCCTGGCATATTGATTTCCGCTTCATCTCTATCTGCAATCAACTGTTAAAACATATACAAATATAAACTGCGTTGTTAATATCTTGGTATTCTCATCTCTCTCTATTTTATCTTTATTATTATAAAGAACAGAACATACTTGTTTAATTCCTTTAATATCTAAACCAATCTTTCTTCTTAACAATGTAAAGGCATCTGCATCACCTTCGCTTAGCAATTGTTTATTCTTATCTTTAGCATCTACACATTCTTTTTGAATCTTTTCAACTCTTCTAATTAATGAATTCATTTTTCAATCTTATCTTATTTATTTTTTTCTAAAATACTACTATAGTTATTTAATATTACAAATAAAATAATAATTTTGTTTTTTTTTTGTGATTTGATTTGATTTGATTTGATTTGATTTGTTTGTGAAAAAGTAGTTTGTAATAATATAAATTGTGTGATACGATGCGTTGTTGTGTTTTGATTTAAATTATTATTATTTGATTTTTTAAATAGATAGGTATGTGGGGGTGATATGATAGATAATTAAATAAATAATGATACAATGATTTTATATAAAAGTAATATTAAAAAAATAAAATAAAAAATAACAAATAAATATGAATATATTAAAAACAAGTAGAAACAACAATAAATAAAGTCTTATAATCGTTGATAACTACCCAGGGGAACTGTCTTTCAAAAAAATTGTTTTTTTTTAATTTTTTTGAATTTTTTGAATTTTTTTTACCAAAATTTGATTAACCACATTGCAAAATTCCTCAACTTACGATCGTTTGGTATGAGTAAAATGAATTAATTCATTGAAATGTCGTTTGATCGCATTTAAAAGAAAAAATTTAAAAGAAAAAAGCTCTACTACTTTTTATTAGATATATATATATAAATATATATAACGCAAGAAACTATACTTAAATGAAGGACAAAACCAAATAGGCATCACATCATCCGATGTATTTTTAAATTGGTTCCACACAAAAAGAAATAAAGTAGATTCAAAATGATCAATAGTTTTAGACTTTTATACAACACTTCACCACAAACAAGTTACTTTGGTACTGCAAAAAGCATAGTTTCTTGCGAGATATTATATATTAAAAACTACAAAACAAAGGACTTCAATAAATAACATTTTATTGAAACTAACAAAATGTTTTTTTAACATATATGTTGTTTTATAATAAATCTTTATTTCATATCCATCTCTATATGTATATTGCAGGTAGACTGGTTATTCAAAATGGACCAAGTATCTTTTTTAAAAAATTGGTATAACCCCAATTTTTTCATTTTTAATAAATTTTATAGATGCTTGTTCCGGAATTGTTTGTGTGATTCTTGAACTGAACTTTTTAAAATCGATGATCGATCAAGAATTTTATCAAAAATTATAAATAGTATATCTTTCAATTTCAAATATTCATTCTAAAAACAATAATTAAACAAATACATAACTAAAAATCAAATATTTCATTTTAATATTTATATTATATATCCAATAAACAATCAATATTTTTAAAAATGGTTCAAATTAAAAGATTCTTTTCCAAAATCGGAAATAAAATTCATAAAAAAGGAAATTCATCAAAATCATCAAAGAAACAAACTTCAAATAATTTAGAATCTGCAAAATATGATAATTTCCAAACCTCTAAATATCCAGTTTCAATCCCATCAACAACAATTACAAATTCAGCAACAAAAGTTTCAACACAATATCAGTCACAAGTTCAACAAAATTCCAATCTCAGATTAAATTTAGAATCAATAATCAAAGGTATCCAAGAGAATAGAATATTAGAAGTGTTTGATAAGTTCTATCATCAAGATATCGTGATGTATGAGAAAGGTGATTCAACAAATAGAGTTGGTTTTGCAGAGAATAGAAAGGTTGAAGAAGGTTTCTCAAGTAATGCAACCGTACACGAAGCAAAAGTTTTGAAGATCATTGTTGATGCTGATAACACTGCATATGAAATGTTTATGGATTTCACATATGGTGGAAATAGAATTCAAAAGACTCAATGGGCTTTCCAACAATGGAAAGATAATAAAGTTATCAAAGAAGAATTCTTTTAAAATAATTTGTAAATAAATATATAGAAATAAAATTCAATTGTAAATAAAACATTTTCAAAATACAATCTATTAATAATCTTAAGGATAAATTTTATTTGAAGTTGTTTCTTTCATGAGTGTTAGATATTAAATATCGATATGAATTAAAAGTGATTCTTGAACTTTCTTTATTGATACTATATACTTTTGGTTTCAAACTATATATATCTATTTTCTATTATCGACGATCTCTTAATAACGATTTTTACAAAATCTTTTAACACCCAAAAAAAAGTTCTTGATAAGACTTTATTGATTATTATAAAATAATGTTGGTTTATTTCTATATATATATAAACTAGTAAGAATCTAATTGAATTGGTTAATCTGAATAATATAATAATGATTTATTTTTAAAGTTTTTCGTGTTTTTATAATTTCTAAAAAATGAGTTTTTATGAATTGTAACGATTATGTTACATTATTATTTAATCTGTGGTTATAATTAGATTTAACCACAGATTAAAACGTTGGATGTCGAGTGAACTTGTCTAACAAAGTACTTTGATAGAAGTTTGATGTAGTAATCCAACCACACAGCATCTGTTAGAAACACCGTTAAATTGTGGTAGTAACGACATATTATAGTAGTATAGAAATGATGTTATAATAAATAAATAGTTTATGTGTTTAAAGGTGTTCGTAAAATAATATATGAATAATAATGAATTGTTTATTGATTTTGTTTGCGCTTAAATACATTGTGTTCATTGATCGGTTAGCAGTAGTCGGTTGACTGATATCTTGGAACTACGATTCCAACAGCATCACACATAAATAGTGATAGTGACTAATCCCAGGAATAAGGAAATATAATAACCACAACAACAACCACTCCAGTACCAGTACCTCTCACACCCACAAAGACAAAGAGCACAATAATTCAACAAACCAAGTCATTCATTGAAATCGGTAACATCATGTTTACTAAAAGAAACTTCGATCTTGCGAATATTAGATATGATGATTTTAGTTATAGTGTAACTTACATTTAACAATGTCTATTTGGAATAATTGAGTAACTAATTAATACTAACATGTATTGTATAAAAGATATTAACCAACATCTCCTTTCTCTCTGCAATAGGATCAATATTGAACAGAGCATATCTTTGGATTATAGGTGACTTTCATCGTGATGATCGACATTAGCTTAGTGGTACTCTTTCGTTCCAAAAAGTTACATAACCTTTTAAGTGCTTTCTTTGGCTATATATCTAACATCTTGGTATCCTTCAGTACATCGACTTGGACAGGTTCTACTCAGTTCTCAAACCTACACATACTCAGTCTCTTCAAATTGCGTTCTGTTGATTTTCTGGTTTTAATTAAATTTCATATCATATTAATAATTAAATAATAAATAATTAATTAAATAAGATATCATAATAACAGAAGGTTATTGAGTGATTATCATTGGTAACAACACAAATTTTTTTAAAAGCACACAGCCCATTTGACATGAGTAAATATTGGTTTATTTATTGAAATAGAGAAAATCAAAAAAAAAAAAAAAAAAAAGATTTATTTTTAAAAAATGAAATGAATTAAAAAACAATATTTTTATTTTTAGTTATCCCTATTAATATGTTAAATAAATAACATAACAACATCAGATCGAAATGGTCTATCCAATATTGAAAAATTTCTTACTCTTGGGAACAGGTTTTCAAAGTCCAAGCGAATAGTGACTATCTACTTTTAAATAGTTTCTCTTCTTCTGTATTGACTCCTCAAAGTTTTTTTAATAGGAATTAAAACTTACCATCACCTATATAGGCTTTATCACCTATTATCTGTTCTACACCTAATAAATTGGGCAAGTTGGTTTGTCTTGCTATAGTTAGGTCGTGGACCGTAGTAAGGACCATCGAGTTTTACCAAACTTCCATTTAGATTGACTATAACTTGATATTTAAAACCATTAGCCTTATATTTACCTTTATTGGTAGTTATAAAAATTTGATTCTTGAGGTTAAATATTAGTTAATAAATTAAAATAAATTTAATCTACAGAGTATTATACCTGAATAAGTAAATTTTTGTGTTTCTCGATCTATTGGTTTTTAATTTCTAGGAATATAGTATCAACTACTAAAAATGATGGTCTGTTTTAGTGAACAACAGGAGGTGTTTTCAATCTCTTTGAAAGATCAAAAAATCACCCATTTTTAAAAAATATTTAAAATACAACTATTAATATATAATATATTTAAATATCACTAAAGTGATATTAATGTAATTATTAATTTACATGTTGAAAGATGATTTACTGAAATAATCACAAAAGACAATATAAATAAGTTTTGTTTAAGGAAGTCGGTAAAATGAATATAAATAAAAATTAACTTAATTCTTTATAAATTTACACAGAGAAACCCGAAAGTTAAGTTAATATCAATTTTTAATATAAATAATTATTTACATGAATTTTTAATCGCTTTACCAAATACCGATATCTACTATGACCAATGAATCAAATGATATATAATAATAATTTTGAAAATTGAGATTTAAAAAATAACATAGTTGGTCCACAGTTTTGATACACTTTGAAAATATGAAGACAATTTATTTTTAGTTTCTTTTATATTATTAAAGATCGAATTTTTGTTTTTTCACGGTGTTATTTTTGATAAAGTCAATTCATATCAACAATTTCCTTTTATAATTGAATATTAAAAGTAAATTCAAAGGTTTTAATCTAAATAAAGTATGTAAACTACACAGTCAATCCCAAATCCCACCCAATATTTCTCTTCAGGTAACTTTGATTTTGAAATCCAGAGTGTTGAACTTTAAAAATAATGGGTGGGATTTTTAAATTGAAAAATTTTTTTATAAAATAAAAATAAGTTTTTATTAATTTTCAAAAATAATATAAAATGTTTCACAAATGTTAACATTTTTATTAATTTTTTTATTCTTAAAAACAAAGTTAAATATTTAATATAAATAAATTCTCATTGTCTCAAATGGATATTTAAATACCATTAAAATCGTATGGTTTAATTTTATCAACATTTTTTTAAAATTTTATCACCAAAAAAAAAAAAAAAAAAATCTAGAGTATTAAACAACAAAATTAATTTAATTTTTTTTATATCTTTTTATTTCTTGCACTTGAAGTATATATTTAATAACAAATATTAACATAAATAATCTAATATTTACTCAAGTCAATTATTTTTTATTCTTTTATTTGATTCCGGAATGAAATTGTGTGTTTTTTTTTTCGATTCTTGAAGTGAATTTCATTGTTTATTTTTGGAACAGAAAAAAAGAATTTTTTAAAAGAAATGGTCCTGAATAAAAATAAATATTATAAATATCATATCTTGATCATCAAAATATTCATTCTAAAAATAAATTAAAACAAACACTAAAACTAAATAAAATATCTTTATATTTATTATCTATCTATCTATATTCTATATTTATCATTAAATCATTATTTTTCATTTTACAATTTAAATATTTTTAAAAATGGTTCAAATTAAAAGATTCTTTTCCAAAATCGGAAATAAAATTCATAAAAAAGGAAATTCATCACAATCATCAAAGAAACAAACTTCAAATAATTTAGAATCTCCAAAATATAATCCAGTTTCAATTCCAACAACAACAATTACAAATTCAGCAACAAAAGTTTCAACACAATATCAATCACAAGTTCAATCAAATTCCAATCTAAGATTAAATTTGGAATCAATAATCAAAGGTATCCAAGAGAATAGAATATTAGAAGTGTTTGATAAGTTCTATCATCAAGATATCGTGATGTATGAGAAAGGTGATTCAACAAATAGAGTTGGTTTTGCAGAGAATAGAAAGGTTGAAGAAGGTTTCTCAAGTAATGCAACCGTACACGAAGCAAAAGTTTTGAAGATCATTGTTGATGCTGATAACACTGCATATGAAATGTATATGGATTTCACATATGGTGGAAATAGAATTCAAAAGACTCAATGGGCTTTCCAACAATGGAAAGATAATAAAGTTATCATTATATTCAAAAAGTAAAAGTTAAACACCAGTAATAATGAATAATAAATGTTTAAATCACCAAAAATCAAACAAATTCATTTGTTATCAATGTAATAGTTTGATGTGTTCAAAATGTATTACTAGTCATATCAATGATCACCCTGATCATTTCGATAAATTTGAACATATTGACGACATTAAAAATTCATTGAGTTCATTGAAATTAGATGATATTATTGACACCACCACCACCACCACCACCACCACAACAACAGCAACTAATAATAATATTAGTAATGACACTGCTAGTAATAATACAAATAATTGTAATAATAGTAATAAATTCATTTCACAAATCAATATTAAACTTAAGTCGATTTGGGAATCGTTAAGATTATCGACTTCTCTCTATCAATCATTAACAACAACAGAGAATGATATCAAACAACACTTTGAACAATTACATCAATATCTAATCATTGAAGAACACAAACTACAGAAACCTATCAGTGATGACAAACATAAAATCACTAATAAAATCGAAAATTATATTACGAATTTGAAATATTTAATAAATGTTATAAATATATTTAATAAAGTAAATAATAATAATAATGGTATTAATCATGATAAGAGTAATAGTAGCAAGGATAATGATCAATCAGTTATTGAAGATACAACATCATTATTTTCAACAAAAACAATAATGGAATCAATAACAACAAATTCATCTCTACAATCATTCATCAATGATAATAACCAAACATTATTCAATGAATATAATAATAATAATTTCAATATTCTCAAAGAGCATTCCTCTGATTCGACATCTTTATTATTAGATATCATTTATAAATACAACAATCAATTTAAATCAACAACAATCACTGACAATAATGACAATTCATCATTATCATCATATAAAATTTCAATCAAACAACTTGATTTCAATCAATTGAATTCAATCATTGAACAATCAATCAAGGTTGATAAGATTGAATCAACATTAAAGCCAACATCAACAACAAAAACAACAACAACAAACAACAATGATAATAAACAAACATATATTTTCGTAACACATCAAAAAAGAGGAGCAACACTGATCAACACATCAAACAACTATTCAATTGAAGAATTACAGTTTGATTATTATTTTAATTATACTGACTCTGCTATTGTTTCAATTGGTGAATATATCTATATATTCGGTGGATATCCAAACACAAATCAAAAAAAATGGCTTAAAATATCAATTAAATCGAAATCAATTGAACATATTGGCGATTATGAAGGAATTAGAATTGATTCATGTATATCAGTTTGTTATGATGGTCAAGATTATATCTATTTAGTGAATGGTAGTGTACAAAATAGAATTGACCGATTCAACATCTTGACAATGAAATTTGAATCATATCATCAATTACCCGGTCAATATGGTCAGCAAGCATCATCAATGATCTTCAAAGGTTCATTATATTCAATATCATACCAACAAAATAAGTTATTTCAATTCGATTTGACAAATAGAATGATAAAAGATCATCAAATTGATATAATACCATACTCGGCATGTAATGATAAAAATGGAAATTTCTTTATTTTGGATACAACAAAAAAACTATTCCTCAAATACAATGTTGAAACAAAACAAACGATAAATCTCAATGATATTCCTCTCATATATGAAACTTATAGATATGTGAAGTATCACCGAGAATCACCAACATCGAGTTTTATTTATTCATTTGCTAATTCTAATGATTATAATTTCAAATATTCAATTGAATCCAATCAATGGGAACCATTCTTTCGAAATATTTCTCCTAATGCCAGATGGATGTGTGGATCTACATCAATAACATTATAATATAATTATTTAAATAAACATGAACCAATAAATAAATAATATATCAATTTCTATTTCTATAAAATATAAAATAATAGAAGTACTCTACTTGGTTTATAATTCACTAATGAAGGTCGTTCTATATGAATAAAACTTTATTTATTAAATTCGTTTTAATATGATTAAATCTTTGTTTGCCTAACTATTAGTTAATCATTTTTAACATCAAACTTGAGGTTATAGTTATCTTTTTGGGTAACTTCTATTTTTATATAAATTAAAAAGATAAAAATAAAATGTTCTATAAATAATAATATTTATCCATACAAAACAAAACTGGCTCCCAACCACTTTCGCCTGCGGGGGTTAATGTGATCTGAGTGGTTTTTTTTATTTTATTTGACTTATGGTTACAAGCAAGAGCCAGTTTAGTTTTGAATAATACAAAAGACTTTAAAGAATTAATTATTTGAATTAAACAAAATATCTTTTTTTGTTTTTTGGGTTATTTTTTTAACTTCTGTTTGTGATCAGTAAGTTTGATTATTTTACCTTATTGGAATAGTTTATTTGTTATCTTTAGTTATGAATAAGTCATTATTTTCAATAATATTTAATAATAAAGTAATAGTCAATTTGATATTTAATCATATCAGTGAAATCACTTTGAAATTTAGTGGTTAAAAAACCTTGTTTGTTGGCTGCTTACAATTATTTAGATTTGTTAAAACAATGTATGGCTGAAAAGACCATCTTTAAAGATTTGTCGGTGTTTGAATGTGCAATCAGAGGTGGTCGATTAGAGATATTCGAGTTTCTGCTCGAGCGCTACAAAATAGATGAAAAGAGTGTAATGGATCTTTATCTTCTACTCAACGATTTCCTTTCGTTGGCATCGAGATACGGTAGAATGGAATTGATTGAATACCTATTGGGTCGATTCACCACGGTGCAATGGGATTTCTACTTGCCTCTAGAGAGATCACCGCATTCCGGTAATTTGGAGATTATGAAACTGTTTATCGACAAACTAGGAGAGAATATTCAAGGACAATGTGGAAATACCTATAACGAAGCAGTGTATTTCGGTCGGATCGAGATGATCAAATGGTTAGAAGATAGTAGACCGGAAGTTATACCAGAGAAGGATACTTTTTTACTTGCGATAATGGTAACCAGATGCCGACCTTTGAATACCTGCTGGAGAAACATGGAGATCTTTTTGATAGTGCCGATGAAGAATACTTGCTGAATGCCTCAGAAACAAGGAATATAGATGCGCTCTTCAAATTGTTAGTCAAACTTGAATGTAAATGCGACTCGTTTGATTTGATTGAAAGAGCTGCAAGTGTTGGTAGTTTCGAACTTATTAAATGGATCCATTCAAATACTACATTTACAAATAACTTGACATATCAAGCTATGGATATTGCCGCGACATATGGGCACCGAGAAATTTTATTGTGGCTTCATACAAACACTACTGTAGGATGCAGTAAAGCTGCATTAGACAAAGCATCGATAAAAGGTCGGCTAGATATTGTTAAATGGTTGAAAGAGAACCGTACTGAAGGCTATACACCTGGAGTCATCAATCTAGTTGCAGCCAACGGGAAATTGGAAGTGGTCGAATGGTATCTAAGTAATACCAATGAGAGATTCAGTGTGGATATCCTCGAAAAAGTTATTCCAGGTGGACATCTCAACATGGTTAAATATCTGCATGAGAGGAATGGTGATGACAATCTCTACCGATTCAGTAGCAATTCCATGGATTTAGCAGCTAAATACGATCAACTCGATATAATAAAGTGGCTGAGTGAGAACCGTACTGAAGGTTGCACAATCAACGCACTCTTATTTACAATTTGCGGTTCTGATAGAGTGGACATCCTCCAATGGTTGACTGAGAATCGTAGTGAGTGCACCCTTGAAACGATAGCAATCAATCATGATTTTATCAAAAAAATCTTCATTCATAATTGTAATAATATTTTAGAGTTTATTCTCAACAAAACATCACTCAACAAGACAGCTATGTCATTAGAGGAACTTCTGTACATTAAAGATGATATGACTCGTCAATGTCCATCATCTTTTGAATCATTATCAGTGTTGGTTGAGTTCATATCAAAACTAGAGATTAAGGAATTAAACGACAAATCTCAGATTTTAAAGAATTCCCCAAAATGAGGGAATAAATCAATTTTTGTGAAAAAATAATAATAATAAATTGATCAAAATTTTAACATTTAATTAAAGGATGAAGTATAAAATATTATCTTTATGGATATGTAAACAGATCTGATGGATACATCGATTAGGGGAATTAACTTATTATTTGGCTCAATTGGAATTTTTTAAAATCAGTTTAACCACTTCTGATAAATACAATAAATATTAATTTTAAAACTCTTAAAGTAACATCTTTAATAATTTTGTTTAAAGCAAATACAATATTTTTAAAAAAAAAAGATGTATTTTCCTTTTGCTGACTTTGAAGAGTAAATATTATATATAACAACAACAACAATTGAAATGATTGTTACCTATGAGTTTATAATAGTTAGTGTCATTGACGTTGGCCATTAATCAGGCTAGTTGGATGATCACCAACCCAAAGTCATGATATATAAACAATATCATTTGGTAAATAGATTGTTTTCAAAGATAGCAATATTATTATATTTCACATGATATGAAAATCTTGTATTCTGATCTGCTCTATCTATATTGTTGTCGAAGCTTAGTATTAGTAATATTATCAACAACCAACCAAATTATTGAAAACTATTTCGATGACCGATTCCACTTCGTTTTCAATACGATAACAATAGTGGCAGTGGCAACAATAACAATAACAATAACTATCTTGTAAACAAAAACTATCTTTGCAGCATAATTAGAAACAATTTCTTTTACAAAAAGATGAGTTGAAATGTTTAACATTTAATTAAAAAAAAAAATAAAAAAAATCCTAAATTACTGGGGAAAAAAATAAAATAAAAGTTTGGATTGTCTTTCGGACAACCCTTTCATTCACTACTTCTTTCCAATTAATTGTTTTTATACACCATTTTCACATCAAATGCAATTACACCAACTATCATACATTTTACTTAAGAACATATTGAAATACTTGGATAAAAATATAGATAGAATCTGTTTAGTATTGATATGCAAACGTTTGTTTGACAATAGAGATCAATTCTTGTATTTCGATCAGCCATTGCCAACACTCTATAGATTCGATCAGAAATGCTGTTTACAGTCGTTCAAGCAACAAATACGTAGATCAATAGAGAATAAATCATATACAACTGCATATTACTTAAATACAACTAAAGAATCATTTTTATCTACTAATACAAAGAATGACGATAACAACAACGAAAACATCGAAAACGACAAAGACAATTCATCTGAATTGAATAATCTAATGCTGAAATATGACTTTGTAATGTTTGGCAGTATGTTTTAAAAAACAGTTTTATTTTAACAATCAATAACAAACAAACTTAACAATCAACAACTATTTAGAGGAAAAAGATTATCTAGATAAAATCGATAGTTATCCTTTTAGTTTACAAGAATTGACTTTGAATGTTAGTGATTTGAATGAACCTGGTGGTTTGTTGTTGCCCAGAAGCGTTAGGGAGTTGATATGCTTCGGTGATTGTAATTCACTGGTGGCAGGCGCGATACCTAATCATATTGAACGTTTGACACTGACCGATTTCACCGGTGTCTTTGAAGAGAATTCACTGCCTTCGTCACTGACACACCTGAAGATGTCGCAGTTCTACAACCGTGTGGTTAAGAGCAATATGCTGCCGGCCAACCTAGAGTACTTGTCATTCCCTAATCTATCGTCGGCGCTAGAGCTTGGCGTGCTGCCGTCGAAACTCCGGTACTTGTCGATCGGTAACAAGTTTCAAGAGAGATTGCAACCGGGATGTCTACCGGATACTCTCGAGGAGCTGCATCTCGGTCAACGCTATAACATTGTTTTCAAGACGTTGCCCAGTTCACTGACGCGTCTCTCAATCAAACACATTGCGATGCTACCGCAAGCCATCGAAGATATACCGCCCGGACTCAAACACCTAAAGATTAGCAGATTCACTGCGGATTTCAATCAATTCGTTATTCCACCCGGGCTGGAGTCACTGGAGATTGAAACGGGTCTGCCCTTTCACTATCAGGAAACCGTGAAGAAACAGGGATTCCTAAAGTTCAACTACCGGAAGAAGGAAACGAAATCACGTTTACCTCAGACCATTAGATCGCTGCGGTTGGGCAATTACTATAATCAATCAACTCCACCCGGTGCAATTCCGTTCGGTGTCAAGGAGTTGGCGCTGGGCGAGACATTCTATCAGCACTTGACGGCAGGTTCCATTCCAGAGTCCGTTGAGAAACTAGAGCATGGTCGATATCTCTTTTCGATAACGGTACCGCCGTCGGTCAAAGAGATACACTATCCCTGTGGTTTGGCATCGTCCGATTTCTTTTTGAATCTAATGAGTGTCCAGAAATATCAAGTGCAACTCAGTACGGATTGCAATTTAACACTCTACAGAGAAAGACAAAACCCAACCGTATTCATAACATTGGATGATCATCTAACCAAAGGATTATTTCTTACACTCAAACAACTTAAAAAACTTATAGACAAACATAGATCACCTATTATTACGTCGCCATGACGATGATTATGATGAAACTAAATATGTAGATATTGAACCTCTTTGATTTGATATTATTTAAGATTATCAAATTAGATAATTTCTGTACCTTTATAATGTAAAATATTAAAAAGATAAAGATATATATTTTGTTCATTTTTTAAATAAATATATATATATATATGTTAGTAGATATTCAATTCAATCAAAGTTGAATTTCCTTCATCTTTTGTCAAAAAAAGGAATAGATTTAATAAATAGATAAATTTGATATAACTTATTATCTGGATTTCAATAAATTATAAATTATAAATAATTTCTCAAAACATAAAAACTTAATCTTAAAGAATAAATGAATCACCAAATCATTTTTGTGTTCAATCGCGACGATTGTTTAAATATCATATTTTAATATATTAAATTGTAAATAATGGAAAAATCTTTATTTATCTATATACTTAGAAATAAAATATTAAAATACTTGATTTTCTATTTTGTTAAAGAAATACATTTACAAAAAAGAATACTGTATGTATTTAAACTAGTAGCTGGTTTGTTTAGTCTAGTTTTTTTATGTGATTATGATTATGATTAGATTTATTAATTAACTAATTGATTCGATTCGACATTTTTGAATTACAAAAGTAGAGTAAAGAATTGGGAAGAGTATTCAAAGAAATATATAAATCTTGTGCACTATGGAAATGTTGATCTGTTGATACAAAAAGTAAAAGAATCACCACTCACTCAGAAAGACGCGCTTAGAGATGACACATGCGATCGGTATATCACACAGGTGGCAGCGCGACTCGGTCGAACTGCAATCGTAAAGTACTTTCAGAAACTCGGCATTTTGGAGGGCAATGAAATCAATCTGTGTCTGATCAACGGACACTTGGAGTTGTTCAAGTACTTGGCGACAGATCCCAATCAAATCGTTTCGAAAGACGCGATGGACTACGCAGCGAAGCACGGCGACATCGAACTGGTTCGCTGGTGTCACGAGAATAGGACTGAAGGGTGCAGTTGGAATGCCATTGACTTTGCCGTGGTCAATAACAACAGGCAACTCGTAGAGTGGTTGTTTGACAATAGGACTGAAGGATGTTCGCATGTCTCATTCGATTGGGCAGCGAGGAATGGCGATATGACTATGATTAACCTTCTGCTCGAGAGGAACAAAACAAACTATACATTCTCTAGAAATGCATTTGTGTTGGCGGCAAAGAACGGTCAAGTAGAGATATTAAAGTACTTGACTGAGAACTATAAGAGACTACAAAGCAGTGTTGAATCTATGAATGAAGCAGCTGGTAACGGTCATCTTGAAGCAGTGAAGTATCTTCATGAAAATAGAACAGAAGGATGCACAAAAGAAGGGTATCACTTTGCTGCTGTTGGCGGACACCTTGATGTGGTAAAGTATCTGCAGCAAAACACAACGGTTGGCTGTCTAGATTCAACGATAAGTTATACCATCAGACACGAACATGTAGAAGTTGCGAAATATCTATTGCAAAACAGAAGTGAACGCGATCAATTGGAACTGGTATTGGCTGGTGGGTTGGGTAACATTGAATTACTCGGCATCATCATATCACAGACGAACCACAACAACTTCCTAAGTGCAATAGAGTCTACAATCATAGAGGGTCATCTCGAAGCATTCCTGTATCTCTATGACAAGGTGGTATTCGATGACACCACAAAAACCTTTCTCTGTCGATGTTTTCTTAGATCGCGATTCATTCATATGGTGGAATACTACTTGGACAATCAGTTTCATTTCGGTAGATTCGAATTGCTCTTTCTCTATCACAGTGAGTTTATGCGATCAATTGATACACTCAGATTGCTGAACAAAAGAGGTTTGTTGACAAAGGAGATACAAGGAAAGATCTTAGAGAAAGCTATTCTAAACGCCTGTCTGCCTGCAATCAGATATATTGTCGATGAATGTAAAGCTGAATTGACTAAGCCCTGTATTGATTTCCTACAGCTTCCGAGATACAAAGATCAATGCGAATTTATCAAAACATTAAACCCCAACCTTAGCGAATTGGATCATATAACATTTGAAAAAGAAGAGAGTAAACCACAGCAACATCAGCCTAGGGTTTCAAGAAGAGAAATGAAAAAGAGTAGATCAATCAAATAATAATAAAATATTGGATTTACTTTAATAACTGATTATTAAAACAAAGTAATTGTTTTGTTTGAATTAAATAAAATAAAAAAAAGAGATAATAATATTAAAGTTTAATTAATATCATTAGTTTAAAAAGTAAAGGGGATTTTGTTGTGTGTTGTTGGTTGGTTGTTGGTTTGTAATCTAAGCTCTTGATAAATGATAAGCATGTGAAATTAAAGTGGAGATGGAACGACTTCTCGATCTAGCGAGATCATCCAGGAGTACCTCTGCTTCATCCTCCATCCAGTCAGACTTGGTCAATTGGAGAACGTAGGTGAGTTTGACTTCATTGTTCTCGAGTGGTTCAAAAACGAATCCACTTCCAAAGCAATCGAGTTGGAATGGCTGGATGTCTTTGTCCATGAGATGATTGTTCATTCCCTTCACGAAAAATGGGATATTATGTTGTACAATATAGATTGGTTGCTTGAGAACCGGGTCTACTGGGGTGATATCTTCAACCCTTCTAACTCTTTTGGTTGGACCGGATGGTTCTTCTTCTTCGTCGTCGGAGGAGGAGTCGTCGTCGTCATCATCGGAATCGCTGTCAGAGTCCGAGAAGGAATCATCAGACTCTTCATTCTCCTCGTTGGCTTCGTCTTCCTTTTGTTTCTGTTGTTCTAAAATGTGCTGCAGTGGTTGTTGTAAATGTAAAATGGTTGGTGTGTTGGTGGAAGCCGCAGTGTGGATGTAGTTGACGGCGTCGAGTTGGTGCGACGGTATCGTTCCAGAAGAAGAGGTGGCAGACACTGCTTCCGAGTTGATAGCTATAGGTTGTGGTGGTTGTTGTTGTTGTTGTTGCTGTTGGCTAATCTTATTCTGAATCATTTCCATTGCATTGGTGATACCGTTATTACTAAGACTTGCCTTCATTGCTTTGTTATTATGATTGACTTGTTTGTTACCGTTATTACTATAGGCAAAGTTATTATTCAAAAGACTATTATTACCACCGTTGTTGGTTGGTGTATTATTAGCTGCACTACTATGATATACACTGTTGACACCATTGATTGTTTGGTCAGTGAAGAACTGGTCGTTCTCGTTTGTGTCAGAGTAGACCATACGTGCATAGGTCATATAAAGATTGCCCATAATCTGTTTGTGTAGAAGATCTACTTTCTTGATGGGCAAGTTATCGAGGAGTTGTCCTTGTTCGTTCATCTCTGGCGCTTTGATAACCATGCCTGTGCAATGACGCAGTGCAACGTCCCACAGAGGAATCTTCTCGTAGTCGATAATCAGTGAGAGCATCATCTTGAGGATTCGTGTTGGTATGGTTCGAACGATACGAATGCAATAGGTGTTGGTGGTGCGCTCCGATACCTGTTGATCTTGCATGACGGTGATCTTCTGGTTGGGAATGATTGTCTTGTCGATGATCGATTGGAAAGCATTGGGAAGACGTCCAGCGGAGACCGGACGAACCAGCGGATCGACGATTGCTACCCATCGGCGACTGTCTATGGCGACTGTTGAACGCAGCAGTTTGAGGCCGGCCGACAATACCGGTGCATAGTAGGAGTACAGCAGGTTGCGAAACTTGAACATCTGCTTGAACGAGTAGGTGCTGGTGATGACACTGAGAATCTGTGAGGGAATCAGCAGCGACTTGTAGAAAGCGTAGGAAAACAGCATGTTGATCGGTTCCAAGTTGGCGTAGGGATCGGAAAAGTATTTATGACAGCAATTGATGGTGCACACCGGCACCAGTGGGAACATTGGTCCCCATTTCGCACGAAACAATTCACGCCAGATGTTGTGATTGGACGAGATCGAATTGAAAAAGTTTGAGATCTGACTGACTCGAGTCAGTGATTGTTCATCGAGGAAACCAAAGATGAATAACAAGATATCATCTGGTAGATCCAATAACTCCAAAGGGTGCTGATTCAGTTGACTTTGGCTAATAATAATAGTTGAAGTATTTTGATGAGGAAAAACACTACTCATCCTACAATCGTATAATTACTTCGAGAAATTGAAATTTGCAAAAAAAAAACTATGTATCTATAAATTATATTATTATTCTGTGAGCTATTCTATGCTATTTCTATTGATAATTAAAATAATATTGTTTTTTTTGGAATTAGTAAAACAAAGTTAAATTAAATGATAAGATTGATTTTAATAGATATAAATTAATTGAAATGATTAATGTCAATATAATTACTATTGTTTTTATTATAGTTTTTGAAATTGAATTGAAAGTATATATATTGTATTGGAATATAAATAATAAAAAAAGGTAAGATTTAGAAAGCTGAGTAAATGCAAATTTGAATGGAATGTGTTTGAAGGTTTTGAATTTTTGGTTGTGTGTGAGTGTGTTGATAGTGTAGTGTGTAGTGGTGCGAGATGATGTTGTGAGATTCATATACAAACTTTTGCATTTAGTTTGGTTTGTGAAATTTAGGAAATCAATGTTGTCAATTTGATGTGATAAACTAAAAATAATTTGTGTGTTATTATAGTTATATTTTTGCGCTGTTGTTATATTGATGTTATTGTAAATATATTTATTACCGAATTCATTCAATTTAAAAATAACATTAACATTAACATGACGATATTTTATTATAGAAATGTAAAAACAATAATATAATACTGAGTGTGTTATTTTAGTGGTGCTGATGATTAGACAGATGAAGATTGTTCGTTTTTTGTAAACAAATAAACTTGAAATGCTTCTTTTTTTTTAATTTGATTAAATTAAGTTGTTTTTAAAATTAAAAAAAAAATTAAATAAATAATATAAAAACTGAACAATTTGAATTGTGACGATTCAAACTAAGATAAAATTAAGTTTTTGAAATTTTTGGGGGATGTTACATTGATATTTAAGTGGATTTCTACTCTGAAAATTCAACAACAACATTGAACAAACATAACAACATCCAATACAAATAAGAGTTGTTTTTTTTTTTATAATTTTAAAAACTGCCAATAATATCCTTTTATAACATCATTTTTTTAATATAACTATTTTTTAATATAACTATTTTTTTTTTTTCCTGTCAGTTTCTTACTTTTTTTTTTTTTTTTGTTTTACTTTTTTGCCTGTATCTTAAATAATTCTTTATCTTATCTAATGTTATTTATCTACCTATCTATTACTAAATAATATCTATGATTCGATTTCTTAATCTTTATGAAAATAATATATTATTATTATGTTGTTGATTATGATGATTATAATTTTTATCTATTACTAAATAAAAATGTTTGCAATTGGGTTGTATTGTATTAAATCTTTTAATCTTATTATTTTGTTTTGTTTTTTACTATCTATCTAATCTTAATTTGATTTTTGTCTTATTCTCTTAATATTAAATTTTTAAAAAATTATTATTACAAAGTCTAATGTTAAAATCAAATTATATGTGTATATGTTTGTTTGTTGGCAGAGAAAAAGAAAAAAGAAACATAGATAGAAAGAATGAGTGACACATATAGGTGGAAATTTAAAAATATTACAACATCATCAAATACCAATATTAGAAATTGAAAGAGCAAGAAAGAAAACCCCAAAAAAATAATGCAACAAATAAAGTTGAATGATGACGATTTTGATATCAAAATTCCCCCTTGTTGCAGTCCCAAATTTCCCGTACTAATTAAGTAAAAAATGTTGCTTGTGTTAACCAATTCACACAAAAATTGTGTTTTTTGTGAGTTTTTTTTTTGAAAAATTAAAAATAACGATTTTTTGTTTTCATCGCTTCTCATTAACAATAAATTGCAAATAAAATAAATTAATTTAAGAGCATTTTGATGAAAGTTGTTTTTTTTTATTTTTGCAAATTTTGATAAACTTTTTCTTATTTCCTTTTTGGTCGAGATGTTTTTCTCACAGGAAGCATCGATGTACTGCAGCAAAAAAAAAAAAAAAAGAAAAGAGTTGGTGGGTGTGGGAACCAAGAGCACCAACAATCCAGACCATCTATCTATTTATCTATCAATCTCCACAGGCTCAACAACATCATCAACCAACTTTGTTTGTGCCAAATTAAAACAATATTATTTATTTATAAACTTTATTTTTAAAAATATAAAATTTAATTTATTTGGTTACAACACTAACTATTTATATTACAATGATGTAGTGTAAAGTAAAAGTTTATACCTTTTTCAAAATCAGTTAAATCATTAGTTTACTTTTCTGGAGCACCAAATATATTATTTATGTTGTTAAATCGCACACACGCAAACGTTTGCGTACGCGCACCTATACAATGTTTAGCAAAAAACAACAACAAACAACAAAACAGAATGATTTCTATGTCATGTGCTTGTAGTTTTTACAGAAAACACCGATCAATTAGATTCCTATCATTATTATTTTGATAGTTGTTTAATTGCCGATTAGGTCGATATAGTTACCAGGTGGTTACGCGTAAAGAAAGTGTTTGCAAATCCATTTTGTATTTTTTTTATTTTTTTTTGTTTGCAAAAAAACATTCTTTATATTTTTGGTGAAGGTTTTGTGTTGTTGGATTTTCTGCAAATTAATGAAATCTATCCATCTAATCTTTCAAGATCTTTGAAACTTTTGTTTATTTGTCCTGAGAAATCCACAAACAACAATAAATGTTATCATCAACATCAACATCAGCATCACATATTTATTTATTGGAACTTTAAGAAAAACCGTTGGTCATATCATCACGTAATTACCTTTTAAAGAAATAGATCAGCAAATTATTACACTTTTTTTTGGAAGGGTTATCTATTTATTTGCACAATCATATCATACTTGAATTACTAAACTAAAAGATTAATGGGTATCGTAGTTCGTACTTTTCAAGAAAATCTTCAACTAGATTTGGGATTTCAAATATTTGAAATTCCAGAATTATAATCCCAATTTTAAATTTCCATGCTAAAACCAATTTAAATCACAAAAAGATATTTTACATTTTATTTTTATGATAAAAAGAAATTACACATATCAAATCTCATAAATTTATCTCAAGTAGAGATAAAGAGTAACCATGAATTTCTTAATTAAGAAATATATAGTGTTATAAAAAAAACAAAAAAAACATAAAAAAAAAACAAATATTTTTTAAAATTTTTTTTTTTATTTTATTTTTTTTTAATTAGTTTAAAACAAAAACAGTATTATTTAGATTTTGGATGATTTATTTTACATATTTATGAATCAAAAAAAGAAATTACAAAAGAATAAAAAAATTAAAAATAATTTTTTAAAATAGATAGTCATAAAATCTTTAAAGATGGATGAAATTCTAATGTTAATATCATAAAAGGCTTGTTTCTTGTTTATTTTGGCAAATAAACCAATTTGTGGTAATTAAAGTGGAAAAGAACAACAGCCTAATGTACCTAAAAGAATAATGTGTGTTTATTTATATTTTTATTTTCATTCCAAATTCAGTAATTTTATTGTAAATTCAAATACGTAATCAGTCACTTAAATATATTTTTATTTTTTTCTACCACCTTTAGAAAAAATAATATATTTTTTTGAGTTTTTACAATTTTCCTATAGATCTATATCTGCCTCTTATAGGAGTAATACCATTAGACTCCAACTATTAAAATCCAAAAAGTTTCTTGAGTTTTAACTTATTTATCAAGTAACAACTTTAAAGTTTTATTTATTTATTATTTATTTATTATTTATTTATTTGTATCAACAACTACAAATTATTTATTTATAAACAATTCATAACTTTAGTTAGTTAATTTATAAATTGAATTCAAAAATCAAATAACGATAAATTGTCCATTTTTTATTTAAAAATTATACAATTGTAAAGAATTAAAAATTTTATTTCTTTGATTAAAATTAATTTATTTATTGATTTATCCATTTGTTCATTAACAAAAAAATACTTTAACAATGTCATCCTCACCACCATATCCAATTTTGAAATCTACAGAATTCCCTGAGGGTTCAATGTCTGGTTCTACAACCGCCGTTCCAACATTCCAGCCATCTGCTTCTCAGTCCACTCTACATGCAGTTGATTCACAGGGTCTCTTTGAGAAGGAGCAGAATCTCATGAGATGGGAAGAAGAGCTGAGACACCGTGAAAGAAATCTGAACCTCAATGGACAAGCTTCTTCCGATGCCGCTGGAAGTGCATCGACTGCCGCTGCACCTGGCCAAGTAAATATGATGACCAACAATCCAATGGGACCAGCCAACTACCCTAGTTTCATGCCCATTACAAGAGTTGCCGTCTCTGAGGATATTCCTGTGCCCAACCAACGTCTCGTTAAGTTCTCCTATGTAGTTTTCTTCTGGACATGCGCTAGTCTGATCTGGAACTTTGTCTGTGGTATTGCTGTCATAGTTTACAGTTCGGTCGGTGATTTCTTCTTGTCGCTATTCTACATGTTAATAGGTATTCCATTTACATTCTTTATGACCAGAAGATTATATAGAGCCGCCAGATCTCAAAAACCAAAAGCAACCTACTCTTTCCTCCTCGGTTACTTTGCTTTATTATGTTTCAACATTATGTTTTTCATTGGATTTAAACATTCTGGTATGCAGTAAGTATTAAATTTAATAACCAACTTAAATATAATCTAAACAAATAGATAATTAACATTTAAATATTCTTCTTATTTCTATTAATAGCGGATTGATTTGGCTCATTTCTCTTTTCCACAATAAGCACAAGGCCGTTGGAGCTCTCCATGTAGTTGCACTCTTCTTCTGGTTCGTAAACTTCTTCTTAGTTGCCGGTATTTTCTTCAAGGTTCTCAGATTGACATCTGCCAAGAAACACAGAGGTGAGATGGATTACGGAATGAAGAGTTACATCAAGAGCAGATAAACACATTCCAAGTCCTCTTTAAAAATAGAATTAAAAAAAAAGAAAAAAAAATAAACTTATTTATAATTACAAATATATAATCTATTTGCTTGTTAAATTTATATTATTTTATTACTATTATTATATTATCGCTTTTTTTAAAGTTATTTTAGTTCTTTCCCAAAATTGGCATGTGAGTGGCAACACCAGTTGAGATGTCGTCGTCTCTCCAGTTGGAGGTGATGGTCTTGGTTTGGGTGTAGAAGTTGACACCTTGCTTTCCGTAGAAATGGGATGAACCAACGAAGGAAGCACGTGAACCAGTGAAAGAGAAGAATGGGAGTGGAACTGGGATTGGAAGATTGATACCGACTTGACCGACGTCGATTTCGTATTGGTATTTACGGGCGGCGGCACCAGAGCTGGTGAAGATGGCAGTACCGTTACCGTATGGGTTGTTGTTGATGAGCTTGATGGCGTCGTCCAAGGTGGCAGCCTTCAAACATACCAAGACTGGACCAAAGATCTCTTCCTTGTAACAGGTCATATCTGGAGTGACGTCGGACAACACGGTTGGACCGACAAAGTTACCCTTGGAGTAGGCCTCTGGGACCTTGACGTTACGACCGTCCAAGAGCAAGGTGGCACCCTCGTCAACACCTCTTTGGATGAGGGTGTGGATACGCTCCTTGGCTTGTGGTGAGATGACTGGACCGAGATCGGCACCTTCGACGGCACCGCAGGTAACCTTTAGCTTTCTGGCACGCTCGACCAACTCTGGAATCCAGTTTTGGGCGTCACCGACAAAGACGGCGGCAGAGAGGGCCATACAACGTTGACCGGAAGCACCGAAAGCGGCACCGGTCAATGCGTCGAGAGTACGCTCCTTGTGGGCGTCTGGCAAGATGGTGGCGTGATTCTTGGCGGCCATGTTTGATTGGACACGCTTACCGTTCTTGGTTCCACGGGCGTGGATGTAGGTACCGGCTTCACCGGAACCGACGAACGAGATGGCACGGATGGCTGGCTCGTCACAGATAAAGTTGACGGCATCTCTTGCACCGTGAATAATGTTCAAGACACCGGCTGGAACACCGGCTTCGATGGCGAGTTCGGCCAAGTACATCGATGCACCTGGGACACGCTCCGATGGCTTCAAAACGTAGGTGTTACCACAGGCGATGGCCAATGGGAACATCCAGAGTGGAATCATAGCTGGGAAGTTGAATGGGGTGATACCGGCGCAGACACCGAGTGGTTGGTTGTATGAGTAGATATCGACGTTCTTTGAGACGTTCTCGACGGTCTCACCCATCATGAGGGTGGCGACGTTGCAAGCGTGCTCGACGACTTCGAGACCACGGAAGACGTCACCCTTGGCGTCTGGGAGAGTCTTACCTTGTTCCTCTGTGATGATGGCGGCGATCTTGTCCATATTCTTATTGATCAAAGCTCTGTAGTTGGCGATGATACGTGAACGATTGGAGACTGAAACGTCTCTCCAAGCTGGGAAAGCATTCTTGGCGGCATCGACAGCTGCCTTCATCTCTTCTTGAGTTGCCAATGGAACCTTTGTAACGATTTCATTAGTAGCTGGATTTCTAACATCCAACCATTCCTTTGTCTTTGACTCTACGAATTTACCATTAATCAATAATTTGGTAGTCTGTACATTGATATAGATGAACAGAAAATTGATAATCAAAAAATAATCATTTTGTTTTTTTTGTTTGTTTTTTTTTCCCAAAATAGTTGATTATAATTATGATTATAAATATACATATATATATATATTAAATGTATAAGTAAATAGATGTGTTGGTTCAATATGTTAGTTATTTCATATATGATACATTATCAACAACAATCTGAAGAAAACACTTACATGAGCCAAACTGAAGGCAGAGGAGTGGAATGATCTGAAACCCAAGTTTGAGACGACAACGTTTGAGAATTTAGAGGACAACATTATTATTTATTAATAGCTTCTCTTTAAATTAAAACTTTAATATAAAATATAATATTATTATAGTTAAAAAGCAAAGAAGTAATATTAATAATAAATTGATATTTATTCAATCTTAAATTTTTATTGACGATTGAAATTGGTCAAGTGTGGAAAAACAAAATTGAAAAAAATCAAAAAAAAAAAAATAAAAGTAAAAAAGAAATTTACAAAAAAAAATTAAAATTTTATAAAATTTCAAAGGAGTCAACATGATCACACAACAAATATTAATATCAAAAATAATTAGTAACTTTATAAATTAATAGACAGGTTTTTTAGAACAGACACACAACACAAATTTGAATGGTATTGTTTTTTAATTTTATGGTGTGTTTTTTTTTTATGTGTTGTAAAATCATTTAGTTTTTTGAAATTGGGAATCGCAAAAAAACCACTAACAATTCATTTTAATGATGTTTTTGATTTTTGCTGATTTTTTTTATAATTTTGGTAAAAATTGTTGTCAATGAAAAAAAACAATGAAACCGTTTGTTACAAAAAAAAAAAAAAAAAAAAAATTACTTTTAATTTTTAATTTTATTATTTTTTTTCATTTAAATAAATCGAATAATATCAAAGTCAAAGTTTTTTTTTATTGACTTGACAAAAACAACCTTTTTATTGCTTTTAAAAAGTCGATTGTTTGGGTTTTTTTTAGTTTTATATTGTTAGATTAGTAATCTTCCATTACCAACCATACCAAAACAAAAAAACAACAACTTAATATATACAAAATATATTTATAAATCTTAATATAAATATATTAATATATTAAATAGATAATCATCTTTTTTCTTTTTTATTGTTTTTTTCACAAAAAGTTTAAAATATATATCTTAAAAACTTTTAGTTTAGATATATAAATATATTCATATACATATATATAGAAAGAAATTAATTAGTTATTAGTAATTAGTTAGTTTGTCAGTCAGTCAGAAAAGTGAAGTGTGTGTGAAAAAAATTCAAAACCAAAAAAAACATAGAGAAAAATGGTTATTCCACAATTTTTTGCAGGTAAATCAATTTTGATTACAGGTTGCACTGGATTTGTAGGTAAGGTTTTGTTGGAGAAGATCGTTCGTGACTTGCCCGATGTCGTTTCCGTTTATATTGTTATTAGAGGCAATGCAAAGGAGCGTTTCGAAGATGACATCGTTGGATCGCGTATCTGGGATGTGATGCGTGAGCGTATGGGTGCCGAGCAGTTCGATCGTTACCTGCGTGGCAAAGTGTTCCCAATTAGCGGTGACCTCCAGAAGGACCAAATGGGTCTGTCGGCGGACGACTTGAAAACGGTGTGCGAGCGCGTCAACATCATCTTGCATTGCGCAGCGTCCATCGATTTCCGTGAGCGTCTCGACAAGGCCATCGAGTCGAATCTCTACGGAACGTTGCACGCCTTCGAAGTGGCGAAGCGCCTGAAGAACCTGATCGCTTTCGTTCACTGTTCCACTGCCTACGTGAATTCCAACCGTGAGGGTTGGCTCGACGAGGAGTTGCCAGTGTTGGATTTCAACCCGGAGGAGATGGTCGAGTTGATCATGAAGCAGGATGTCGCCAACATCGACAAGATCACACCAAACTTGCTCGGTGCCTACCCAAACACCTACACATTCACCAAAGCCATTACAGAGCGTATCTTGGCGTTGAAGCGTGGTGATATTCCACTGTGTTTTGTGCGTCCAACCATTATTGGAGGTTCGTTGAAGGAGCCAGTCCCAGGTTGGGTCGACTCTGTCGCTGCGGTCGGTGCAGTCATGCTCTATTGTGGTGTCGGTCTAGTTCAATTCATGAAGGGAGATGGACGTATGGTTGCCGACATCGTTCCAGTCGACATGGTAGCCAACGCAATGTTGGCAGTTGTTCCATCGATCGCCAACCAAAATACATTACAAATTTATCAAGTAATTATCACAGACAATGGAAATTAGATATAACCAAATTTAGTAATTAATATAATTCATTCAATCAAATCAATCAACAATATATATATAGGTTGGTACAAGTCATAGAAATCCAGTTGCATGGAATACAGCAGCTCATTATGTTTCTGAGTACTGGCGTAATCATACACCAAAGAAGTCGATTGCTAGATCATCTTTCAATTTCCATACCAATATTATGATGTACGAAGCACATTTCTTTATGAAGTACGGTATTCCATCGGTGTTGTTGTCACTGATGTCGACACTCACCGGCAACGAAGAGACGAAAGCCAAGTCCGAGGCGTTCAAGAAAATGACAAAGGCAGCACGTCTCATTACAGATACATTCCAACATTTCACAGGTCACGAATGGGTATTCTCTGTCACCACACTCGAAAAGATCTTCCAGGAGGTCTTGGACGCAGAGGATCGTGTTCGTTTCAATTGCGACGCCGCCGAAATCAACTGGCAATCCTATTTCTGCTATTTCTGCTATGGATTGCACAAGTACGTCTTGAAGGAGGAGGGTGTTCGTCCACCAACTGAGCTGCTCAATAATTCGCTCATCACCAAGTCCGACATGAATCAATCCGGTCTGCTCCAATGGATTTTCGCTGATGTCTCGTGGGCCTACACATCGTATCGTCACGTCACTCAGACTCCACTTCCACCACGTGCACCCGTGGAGATCCGTTCACTCGTGATGAACTCACCACGTGTCCAAATGGCCATGGAGAAGGTATCGCGTGAGGAGGGTGTCCTCGTCTCGGAGATCGAGAGACGTGCCGCTCAAATCATGGATAGAATGCAGTCGAATCTCAACATTGTTGTGGTTCGTGTCATCGGTTGGTTCCTCAAGAAGGTATGGCGTAAGCTCTACCAGGGAATTCACGTCGACGAGAAAGGTATCGAGCAGATTCGTGCCGCCATTCAAAAGTCGCCGGTCGTTCTCATCCCCACCCACCGATCGTACATCGATTTCCTCATCATCTCTTACATCTTCTTTGAGTACAACCTCCCACTGCCACACATTGCCGCCGGTGAGGATTTCCTTGCTATCATTATCGTGCGTTGGTTCTTTAGAAACGCCGGTGCTTTCTTCTTGCGTCGTTCGTTCCACGGTGACGCACTCTACTGGGCGATCTTCTCTGAGTACGTCCAACGTCTGATTATCGACAATCAGCCCGTTGAGTTCTTCATTGAGGGTAAGCGTTCGCGTACCGGAAAGTCACTCTATCCAAAGATGGGAATGTTGTCGATGATTGCCAATCCATTCTTTGAGAACAAGGTGCACGATGTTCACGTTGCACCGATCGGTATCTCCTACGAGAAGGTTCTCGAGGGTGAGTTGTACTCGAATGAGATGATGGGTGAGTCAAAGACAAAGGAGTCGTTCAACGGATTGTTGCGTGCCACCAAGGTTCTCAATATGAACTGGGGACGTATCAACGTTGTTTTCGCACAGCCAATCTCGCTCAAACAGTACACCGACAACTTGACTCGCGATATGAGTTCGGTTCGTACCACTTTGCCACCATCACCTCCAGCAGCCGTCGCCAGCAGCAGCTCGCCAAACATCGCTCCACCAACCAGCGGAAACATCAGTGAAGGTGACTTTGAGAACTTGTCTTCCAACGCCGGAAACACCAGACAACCCGGTGCATCGTTCGATGCTTTCAACAATGCCGACGATCGTAGAATGTTGATTCAGAATCTTGGTTATCAAATTGTTGCCGATCTTCAAAAGTCAGCGATCGTCACCACAACATCGGCTGTTGCCACCATCCTTTTGACATTCCGTCGTGGTATCAGTCGTGACGAACTTATCAGCAAGGTCGAATGGTTGCGTGAAGAGATCTTTGCTCGTGGAGGAGATGTTGCTTTCGAGGGTCCATCCGACGCACTCGTTGACCACTCCTTGAAGCTGCTGAGCAACTTGGTCACCAAGCGTAGAAACATGTACGAACCAGCCGGAGGACAACACACTATCAACTACAAAAAGAACATTCTCGTACTCAATTTCTATAGAAATCAATTGCTCCATCTTTTCTTATGGGATGGTTTGGTATCATGTGTATTATTGTCATTAAGAAATAGATTATCAGCAGCTACAGCAGGATCATCGGCAGCATCAAAGGAACAAAACGAATCGATCGATCAACAATCACTCTTGCAGGATGTTCGTTTCCTCTCAAAGATCATGTCCACAGAGTTTGTTAACAAACCGGGTATGGTCACCGATGAATTCCTCATGACTCAAATCGATAAGATGGTTTCTCGTGGATTGATTGCACGTCAAGTCAACGGAGAGTCGATTCGTTACAGCATCAAGAACGAAGCGATCGTTGGATTCATTGGAAATCTATTCTGTCCGATCATCGAGGGTTACATGGTTGCTTTCCTAACATTGTTCTCCATCCAACCGGAGATCACCATCAAGAAGAATCAGTTGCTCCAACGTATGGGATGGTTCGCCGAGAAGATGTACGAGGAGGGCAGTCTCAACTACTACGAGTCGTGCTCGATGGAGTTACTCACCAACGCCACTACGCTCGTCACCGAGATGAAGGTAGTCCAAAAGAAGAAACACACCGAAGTCGTTGGTAAGCGTACCACCCGTCAGAACAACAAGAAGGAGCGTAAGCCAAGAAGAAGCGAACGTAACCAAGAGCCAGAGGAATACATCCAATTGTTGCCTCCATACCAAGAGAAAGAAGGACAGCTCCGTACATTGGCCGAACGTCTCTCCAGCTTCAGAAAAACACTTCCAATACGCCATCAAGTTAGTGATTTAAGAAGAGCAATCGTTGATGATTTCCCAATTCTTTCAAAACTTTAAAAAAACAATAAAACAATAATAAAATACAAAAAGTTAAAGATTTATAAATAAACTATTTTATTTCTCTATTTTTCTTTGAACTTCTCCTTGATATTGTTGTTTTCTTTGTATTTTTAGATGGTGAAGGAGATGATGATTCAGGTAGGTCCAATGATTTAAGATAATTATTTATATAAATAGTTGTGATATAGAAATGATAGGATAACATTCTCTTTTTACTTTTTTCATTGATATAATTTTCTAGAGGTCCAACCGATTCCTGGAAATGTTTTAATCCCGGTAAATTGTCAGCAATCAATATAGCATAGAGTAACTTATCAAGTCGTACCAGTTTCGATTTGATCAGTAAATCTATCATATCCACTTTTGAATAGTACTTTACATAGTTTGTTACTTTGTAACTTCGAATATCGAAACCGCCGAACAAATCGAGATGATCAAGATAGTATTTGAACATCTCGCCATGTCCACTGAATACCAGCCGCATTGCAACTCTCACCGGATCAACCACTATCCTACTATACGCATAGAGAAAGGTATCCATCTTTCCAGCGTCGATAGTAAGCTCCAAAGTAATTATATTTGGTACGTAGCGGTAGTGTTCGATCAGCAGCTGTGCGGTGCTCATATCACCCATGACACAGGCAGATGTCAACTCTGAATGGTCACGTTCACCTCTATTGTCCAGTAGGAATCTAACGACTTCCTGTTGGCTGCGTCTTATTGCCAAGCTAATAGTCGAGGAAAGACAGCCCACAGTGCTATTCTCGTGGAGATACCTAACAATATCCAAATGTCCGGAAACAGCTGCACAGTGCATTGCCATATTGGATCCACCTTCTCTCCTGTGTGTCAGCAGATGTTTAATCACTTCCAAATGACCATTGGCAGCAGCATTATCGACTGCATCGGTAGTACATTTCAAATCGGGGAAGTTCACTCTCAGGTATTCGAGAACTTCAAGTTGTCCTTGTTCGGCGGCCAAATCAATTGCTTTGGTCGTAAAGTTATGTACATTGTTATTCTTGACCAAAAGCATTTGTAACATCGGAATATTACCATTTCTAGCTGCCCAATCAAAAGCAACGTGTGAACAGCCTTCCGTTCTATTCTCGTACAACCATTGAACAATCTCAGTATTGTTGTTTATGGCCGAGTAGTCGATTGCCTTATAACTACAACCTTCACTCCTATTCTCATGAAACCATTTCAACATTTTTAGATCGCCAAGTCTTGCGCAATTGTCCATTGCATCGACGGTTACCGTTTGATGTACTTCATCCGCTAGATACTTGAACAACTCTAGATTGCCACTGTTGACACAGATATTAACTTCATTACCACTTAGATCTCCACGTCTTTGAAATAGTTTAACAATATCCAAGTGACCTCTTAAAGCAGCCAATTGTGATAACTTCTTTTCTTTGCTTGATATCTCTGTTTGTTTCAATGATTTCTTTAATAAATCCGTATAACCATGATATACCAAATTATTTTTACTTTTACTATAAACATCCCATTTCTCAGCTCTAATTATATAAATATGTGATTATACACAAAATAATTCCAACCAATAAAGTTATTATTAAATGATATTTATATATTTTAATAACAATAATTTTATAAGTTGATAAACTGAACTTACTTTATATCTTTTGCTCTGTGAATATAACTAATATAATAGAATATCAGTTGTTTCAATACAATATTATGAATAACATAAGAGAATAGTGATTTTTCCATTCACTACATTCAAAATCAATAAGTTATTATTATTTAATAAAAAATATGAATGATTTAAATTAACTTGTTAATTATGAATGCAATAGTACTATTTCTAAGTATTGATACAACTATTTATTGATTCCATGATTTTTCTGTGATTTTTAGCAAGTAATATTTTTTTTATTTTTGGACTAAAAACTTTAACCTAAGATATTTATTTATTTAAAATTAAATCCTAATTGTAATTTTTGTAATGACAAAAACTAATTTGTTGTTAAATATGTTATAAATTTTATGTTTTCAAAAGAATTTTATTATACTGGTATAAATAAATATAATTAAAAAATGAAATAACCTTAACCCTGTAGTTTTAGTTAAAACCACACCGATACCATCAGATATTTAGAAATTTGAATATCTAAAAAGTAAAAAAATATTAAATATCAACTCTGATTTCTCTTAAAAGATTGGTTCAAGTTAAAAAATAAAATATCTAAAAAAGTTTTATGTAAAAAAATAAAAAATCCCAAACCTGGTATCGGCATGACCAAAAATTTGAAAATTCACATTTTTATAGAAATTTATCTCGACCTGGTGGGTTCGTGTGTCTCTTGTTTTAGTTTTGGATCTAGTTGTTTCAGATCTATTTAAGGAGAGATTGAAGTGAGCCCATTTTTTTATTTTTCAAACTAAAAAACAACTTATCTTACAACAAACATATATTTATTCACAAATTTAAACAAAGAAATAATGTTTAGACAATCATTATTCTTTTTAGTATTATCTGTTATTTTGGCAACAACCTATGCTGGTTACACTTGTCCAAAGCCATGTTATGGAAATATGTGTTGTTCAATTCCATCAGATAATCAATATTATTTAACTGATTTCTGTAGGTTTTAATTATTATTATCATTCTTTGTTTTGTTTAAAAGAATAACAAATAAAATACTAACAAAAAACAACTAATTAGGTGGTTCACAATCTGCATGTGGTCCAATTCCAAGTTGTTCTGGTGGTAAATACTTTACTGGTAAGTTTGTTCTCAAAAATAATAATTATTACAATTATTTATCTTTTTTATTTAAAAAAATAGCTGATGCACAAAGATTTGGTTGCAGTAAATATTTGAATGTTTGCCGTAACTCCAATAAGAAATGTATTAAAGCTCAAGTTATCGACTCTGGTCCCGCTATGTGGGTTGAACAAGTAAGTATCTTCAAAAAAAAAAATGAAAAACCATTCATATAACTGTTTTTTTAACTCATTACCTCCTATTTGTTTGTTATTATTAGAATGCTGGTCGTGCTATTATCGACGGTTCACCACAATTGTGCAAAGATCTTTTCGGTGCTAGCTCATGTGGATGGAGTGATAAGTTCTCGATCACCGCTACCATTGCCAGTGCTAAAGACACCAGACCATTGGGTCCATTCAATGTCACCGATGCTGAATTCGCTCAAATGTTGGTAGACCACAAAGTTGAATTAGAGTCATGTATGGCTTCAAACGAATGTGCTGCTCAAGAGTAAAAAGTAGTGTTCTTTTCTTTTTGCAAATTAAATAAATATTTGATGTACAAAACAAAACAAAAATAAAAACATATAATTTAATATCATAACATATACTATTAATAGTACTTGAAAGTATTAATTCAAGAATATTAATTTTTTTAACTAGTTGAATTTTGAGATCAATCGTTTTCATACCCACACCCACTTTACGAATTTCATGACAAAAACCAAAAAAATAAAGATGTGGTTTTTTTTTGATAATACCAAAAAAGTTTTAATTGTTTTTTTTCGTTCAAAGTTATTTTTTTCTCAATGATTGTTGTTAATCAGTTAACTAGATAGGATAGGAAAAAGATAATAAATAAAATTAAAAAAACATAAATCTTTTTTATAAAAAAAGAAAAGAAAAATGAGTGATTTAAAGAGAAATAAAGATGAAGATATAGAACCTTGGTTAATTAGAGGTGGCGATGGAGCTGATTATCCACTACCACCACCACCACTAGGTTTACCTTTACATCCACCACCTAGATTCCATCCCTATGGTTTACCTCTACATTCGTCACCTCCACTACAAGCACTACCACCACCTCCCATATCACCGTTATCGCCACATCTACATCCACATCCACATCCTTACTTTCATCCACATGCTCATCCACACGCTCATCCACATCCACATCCACATGATTTCGGACACGGACATCCTCATCCACATGCTCATCCACATCCACATCATCACGGTCATGGTCATGGTCATGGTCATCATCCATTTCATCATCATGGACATGATCACCACCACGATCATCATGATCATCACCATGGTCATCACGGTCACCACGAACATCATCATAATCATCACAATCATCACAACAACAACGATCAACATGAAAGAAGAAGAAGTGGAGATGAAAATATTGATAAAATATCACCTTCTATTAAAGAAATTACAGAAATTCAACAACAACAAGAACAACAACAAAAGCAACAACATTTTAAAGAACAAGAGCAAGAATTACATAAACTAAGTCTTGAAAAGATAAGAGCAAGAGAATTGGTCAATGAACTATTGAAGGATCTGCCGACAGAAAAGCCAATTGGAAATATCGCAACACAAAATGTAAGAAAACAAATCAAATCAAACAATTTATATCCAATCAAATCAAATCGAATCAAATTAGAAACAAATTAGATACAAATAGAAACACAAATCAAAAAACTTATTCAGAATCAATCTAATATAAATATATCTTGGTATAAAAATTTTATAAACAACACCTTTACTTTACACACAAATTAAAAGCTTGACCTTTGTTTCCTGCTAGACTGTACTGCATCTATGCAACCTTATATCGACCGTGTAAAAAATGATATAGCTTTACTCTACAATAACATAGTTGCAAAGTTTACCAATCTCGATTTACAATTCGCCGCTGTCTGCTATAGTGATTTCGATCGTGGTGATAAAAGAACTTCATCTCTGCCATTTACAAAGTAAGTGCCACTACCTCTCTTTGTATCATTTTTATAGATACATAGCTATCAATATTCATCATAAATTTATGATCTTAATTTTTTAGGTCAACGAATGAATTTATGATGTTCTTATCCAATGTTGTAGCGGCTGGTGGAGATGACGGTCCGGAGGATGTATTCGGTGGTTTCAAAGTTGTTTTCGAAAATACTTGGAGAAAACAAAGTATAAAGTAAGTAGATTGATTGATTACAGGTATTTTATTTGATTTATCAATAGCTATTAACCATATATATTTATAGAGTTTTAATACATATATGTGATGCACCATGTCATGGAAATCAATATCATAGATTTCAAGATAACTATCCAAATGGTGATCCGTTTGGTATTACACACGAACAGGTTGTAGATAATATTTGTAGATTCGACTTGAATTACTTCTTTGGCTATGTGAATATCGATAGCACCTCCAGTATGATACACATTCTCAGTCAGACCCTCAAGATTCTGAGTAACAATCAATTGCAGATCAATAGTTTCGATGCAAAGGATATTCAATCACTTAGTGACAATGTATATCGTGCCGTATCTGAAAGTATACAAAGACGACAACAACAACAACACAAACAACAAGATCAACAACAACAGCAACTACAACAAAAACAATTACAACTACAAATACCAAAAGAGATTGATAATAATATTGATAAAGAGTTACCCGATTGGAGTACTATTAGAGAGGTAAGAGTATATCAAAGAAAATTCCAACTACCCAGAGTATTATTTGAATGTTTAGAACCAAACTTTGAAATGAACATTCAAGAGATTAAATGTAATCTAAAAATTGCACCTAAACCTTTTGCTAAAGGAACAAAGTAAGTTATACGGTTAACAGCAATTCAATTAGTGGTCAAACATCATTATTAATTAATTCATTCTTTAGACGATATTCATATTATGGACACAATGTTACGAACAACAAGCGAGCAGTACTTAAATTATTTATAAATGAAGCCGATACCTCTAGAGGAAGAAGAAGACAATACTATGATTATATGGAGACACAAACAATAGCAGCAAAGTTTGCTTTTGAATTTAATAGAGAATTTGTAAGTTATCATTATTATCATTATTATATTAAGTTCATTTTATTAATATTAACAACATTGTTTTTATTGTATATATATAGAGAAAGGATGTTATTACTTTTGGTGTTTCAAAGGTTATAGAAGGAATGGATAAAGATATTTATTATGGTTTAGAAACATTTTATGATGGTGATTATGAGAAAGTATGTAAACAACAACAACAACAACTTGTGTTGTTAATAAAATTCTAATTGTTATTAATAATTCATTTTAAATACAGTATAATTCAGTAGTTGGATGGAAGAATCATAGTTTAGAACCTGTAATACAGGCATTCTCTCATTGGACCTATGTCATTTCCGATAAATCAACGATAGTAGTCGATCTTGAAGGTGTGGTAACAGATCGTGGTTTAATTCTAATGGATCCTGTGATACACTCGATACATCTCAAAAGATATGGCACAACCAACCAAGGTCAACAGGGAATAGATAACTTCTTTAAGACTCATACTTGTAATCAACATTGTTATGATATGCGATTAACTAAATCAAAACCATAGAAGTAAAGTAATAAATTAATAAATAATAAATATTTATTTTTTTATTAAATATGATGATGATAATTTTAGAACTTTTTGATCAAGCCGCTAGCGAATTTCCATTTTTAAAAATATAAATAGAGGATATATCTACAAATAATAATAATGACATGTTAAATAAATCACTTTTTACTTTAGTTTTTAATAATTGTTATTTGAATAGATTAATATTTGATAGTGTTAGCTCGATATCAAGTCTAAATAATAGATTACATTATAGATGGAGTGAGGTGATCAATAAACCGTTGGTGTTGGCTTCACATGGATATTTCGATCTATTAAATCAATGCCTTAGTAGTTTGGATTGGATCTTGAGTCACTATGAAGTATTTCAGTTGATGAGAGCTGCCATTATATCCAAGAGCATAGATACTGTAGGGTGTTTGATTGACAGATTCTATGACGGAAGTGACGATCTCTTTCTAAACAAATCGTTGCAACTCTCTTCATTTTATGGTTGTTCCGTAGTCACTTTGTATCTTCTCGATCGATTCAAGATTCAGTGGAACTTTAATAGTGTAATGGAGCATTCTATATGCACAGATAATTTCGAACAGTTGAAATTCTTTGTTGCTCTCGCAAATAGCAGTGGTTATACAAGCTCTGATGATAACATCCAAGCTCATCGAGGTATATTTAATTTGGCCGCTAAAACTGGTCGAATAGACATGATAGAGTATTTATTAATTCATAGACCTCAAGATTTAAAATCAAGTGATATGTATACACATGCTAAAGAAAGAGGACATCAACATGTAATAGATTATCTAATCTCAAAAGGAATTACTAATATAAATAAAAATAGCGACAGTAGTAATAATAATAATAATAACAACCAAAGTTAAAAGAATAGTAATATTAATAATAATAATATGTAACAAATTTTTAATTTTAATTATTTATTTATAAATAAAAATGATTAATTAATTAATTAATTATCATTTCTTTTTTGATGACGATGAAGATGATGATGATGATGATGTTGCGAAAAATGGATTATTATCAATATCGGTATCTCCACCACCAAGAGCTTGAAATCGTTGCATAGCACGCTTTCTTGTGATGGTATGATAGTCATCACCCGGTAGAATTGCGTATTTCGAATCTTCGTTGGTCGATCCTAGACCTGCACCCGCTGGTCTTATTGCCAATTCAATCGGTGCATTGTTGTTGGTGCCGCCGTTCTTACCTAATGATTCATCGGCTTTCCAACCGGCTCTCTTTAGCAGTTTATAACCTATGCTATTCTCACCGAATGGATCGTTAACCTCTTTCTTTCTCTTCTTGTCTTCCTCTTGTTGCTGTTGTTGTTGCTGCTGCTGTTTGGATTGTTTGTTTCCGGTTAGACTGCTGATATCTACACCATCCTTCTTGGCTTTCTCTAGATTTGTCTATTAATGTTTGTTGTAGGTAGTAGTAGTAGTAGTTGATAAATATAGTAGTAGTAAAGTAGTAGTAGTTAAGTTTTAAAATTCAAAAAAAAATCAATTCGATTGGGTAATTGTTAGTGTATGATTTTAAAAATAGTGTAGATCTAAATAAATCAAAGGTCATTACTTGATGTAACTTGGACATCTTTTCATGCTTATCCAGTGCGTCGTACGAAGGGAACTGTCTATCACAGAGTCTACAAACGATGAGATCTGCTTTTGTTTGTTGTGCTGGTGGTGGATGTGGTTTGTTGATTTCCTGTTCGATCTGCTGATTAATGAGTACCGCTGCTTTGTTAATGACAGGTGCAACTACTTTAACAGGTTGAGCAATCTTCATTGCAAATTTAATTGGTGCAGCTGTAATAGTAGTAGTTGGTTGTGTTTGTGTATCTTGTTGATCTTGTATCTGCTGCTTCTGCTGTTGTTGTTGTGATTGATCAGGATCATATTGATCGAAATGTTGTTGTACCGTAGTCCAACCAGATTGTTGTTGTTGCTGTTGTTGCTGTTGCTGTTGTTGTATCAAGTGTTGCTGTACAGTATACTCAACCATATCCAAACTAGTAGCAATTGGTGCTTTAAATAGTTTATCATCGGCATTCATTGCCTCTGTTAATAGTTTACCTTTTTGATTCCATTTTTCAATCTCACTGTCCATCTATTATTATTAATAGAAGTTAATATAATGAACTATTATAATGATAATTGTTATTAATATATTGTTTTCAAACTTACCTTTTTAATTGCAGAAGATCCACTTATCTTTTGACCAGTTGATTTCTTTTTGGTTTGTTGTTGTTGATTTGTAAAATTAATATTATTATCATTTGTTGACTTTGTTGTAGTAGAGTTAGAAGTAGAAGTAGTGGGTGGTTTACTTGGAGTAAAAGGTTGATATTCGCTAGTTATCGAATTATAATATAGATAGGCTTGTTTAGTTGTGTCATAGTAAAAATAAACTTGTGCAATAACATCGAAATAGTATCCAGAGGTTGAATTATAATAGAATCCTGTTGTTGGATCGATTACACATCCTTCAGGTGCATTATTATTATTACTACTACTATTATTATTATTGCTATTATTGTTGTTGTTATTAACCCCTCCACTATTTTTATTAGTAGTACTACCACCACCACCAAAACTATTTGTCCACTGTACATATTCCGATGCAGAAATACCTGGTGCCAACATCGATGTACTCTTTCCACTTGGTTTCTCAGACTTTACATAGTTGATTCTCACCGATTGATTATCAATTATTAAATTACTACATTTACTCAATGCCGTTGATGATTCCTAAACAATAATAATAATAATGATACGAATTGTATGTTAATATGCTATAATTATCATTGTTTACTTATGTTTTCAAACATAAATATTACTACTACTGACACTTAATGAATTGAATTCTAAAAATGCAATTGCTTTTGGTAGTCCTGGTTTCCTTACTAATCTAATCTCTCTTGGTACCAACTGACTCAGTTCATAGAGTGTATTGTATAGCTATTTGTTTTAAGTTGTTTGTTTGTATAGAAATGAAGTGAAGGGTAGGGTAGAGGATAGTAGTGATAAAGTATATCAAATAGATTATAGGTTAGTATGAATGAATTGTACTTTTGCCAAGTATAATACAATAATATATTATCATAATATCCTATTGTATTAATATTATTATTATAAAGTGGAATTAATAGGCACCGTATCTTCAGTTGTATTTGTATCGAGATCTCTTATTATCAGTGCAGTGGCGGGTGTATCTTCATCAGTTGCAACATTGACATGTGATCTCAATGTAGGATTCAAAGGAATTGCTTCATTACAATTAAAACATTGTTTTCTCCATGTGAAATTAAGTTTATTACACTTTTTTTGTTTTTATTGTTATTATTAGTTAGTTTTCTTAATTGTTAAGTTGTTATTGACTCATTACTATTTACTTACATTATCACATAACCAATCTTGTGAATTGTTTACATTGGAGGATGATGATGAAGATGATGTTGATGATGATGACAACGATCCTGCTGATATACTATAGTTAACCATAATATCTTTGCCGTCGATGTTCAGGCGATTCGGGGTGGTGTTAACATTGGTTAGGAATTCAGTGGCGGTATCGATCGTTGCAAAAGTAACGAATGCAAAACCTCGTGATTCATTGGTGTGTTTGTCGAGCTTGAGTGATACCGATTCATAGATACCATACGGTTTAATCGAATCTATAATCTAGATTATTTATTAATGTCATAATATTGAATTGTTGTTTGTTAATCATAAATATAAACACATCACTAATCCTTCTAATCATCATCTCCAACAATGATTTGAGAGTATATTTTGTTTTAAAACAAAAAATATAAATCTATCTATACTTTTTCTTCTTTAGTTTCAAATGATAAACCTCTTAATATTAAAGTTTTACATGGTTCTATATTGTTGTCTCGATCCAGATCATCGTATCTTCTTCTCTCTCTATGGTCTGATCCTCTGCCATCCCTCCGATCTCTACCATCTTTGTATCTATCTCTATCTCTTCTATCATCTCTATCTCTATCTCTATCTCTATAATCTCTACTATCTTTATTGTATCTTTCTCTATCGCCACCACTTCTATCATTTCTATCTCTTTCTCTACTACTATAATGATTATGATTATCTCTATTACTCTTTCTATCTCTATCTCTATTGTTATTGTTATTGTTATTATTTGTATCAACTATATTTGGATTATAATCATCTTCAGTTTCACCTTCTTCCAGATCATGATAGCTGACCAACTGTTTATTTGGCATCAATATTGAATTGTTACCATTATTATTATTATAATTATAATTATCATTATTATTATTGATATTTATATCATTAATTTCTTTTATGCTAGCTGATGTTGGTGAGTATTCACCGTCATCCGATAATTCACCTTGCTCCATTATTATTATTATAATAATATAAAGCTGCTTAACTGACTTACACTCGAGTGAAATGTATTATTAAGATATAAAACTAGTAGTAAAAAAAAATAGTAAAAATAAAAAAAAATGTTTTTAAAAAAAAAAAAAAAAACTTAATGTTTGATATTAATTATTTATTTATTTTTTTGAACCAACCCTTTGCACTCTTTAATAAAAACAATACTTAATAAATAAATTATATAACATTTAAAATCTACATAGATTTATTAGGAAATTTAAAATGTAGCAATTAAATTCAATATTATAATTAATAATGCAATCTCTATACACAGAGTTTTGTTTATTTTTACTTTACTTTTATTATCATTGTTATATAATAAGATTATAAGATTATAATAATAATGAATAAAAGTGTAAATAATAATAATGGAATTAAAAAGAATAATAACAACAACAATAATAATAATAATAATAGTAATGATAATAACAAAAATAATAATGATGATAATGATGATGATGATAATAGTAATGATAATTTAAAGATAAAAATTAAAAAAATACTTGTTAATACTGTAAAGAGCTATGAGATCAATAAGAATATAGATGAAATTACGAAACTTTATCAAAAAGATAAAGATACAGTTTATTCAGTGTTGATCGATTATTTAAAGTTGGTGGTGGAAAACGGAAGAGTGGTGAATAATGATGATAGTGACGATACAACTAATAGCAATCAGAATAAACTATTGTCATTCTATGCAAGACTATCGGTTTCATTGTCATTCTCAAATACATTACTGAAAAGAGTTTCGAAATGGTTAAAAAATAATAATGATCAATTACCATTCCTCTTTATTTTACCTAAAATCATTAAATCGATTTTAGATCTTTATAAATCATCAACATCTACATCTATATCAACATTAACAAACAGCTTTATAAATAGGTAAGTTGATAAAATAAGTTATTCATTAATTAATTACTAATTTTTATAAAATAATAATAATTATTGTTATTAGTAAAAGATTGTTCAAATCGATTTTTAAAAGATTGAACGATCAAAGATTACATAAATATGATTGTATTAGATTGGTTAGTTTGAAAGCATTGATTTCACTTCAGAGATTTGAAGATGAGCGGTTGGAAGTTACCAATCTATTGAATGAGTCGATCAAGTTGGAAATTGATAGTCATAGATACTATATCGAAAAGAATATGTTAATATCAATCAATTATTTAGATAAATTCCTTTTAAATATCAACAACAGTAACAACAACAACAGCAGCAAACTGACTATAGATGATAGAATCAATATCCTCAAGAGAGTCAGTCAATTCTCATTGGATGACATTGGTTTACAATCTAGATTGTTACTGGTGAGTGATGGTATCTTCGATTGTAGTAGTCCTCAACATTACAAACTGGTAAAGAATTTTATTATCAACACTTGGTTGAAAGAATTGAATTTAGATATTGTCAAAGTAAATATAATATATATTTATATTATGGAATAAAACAAACAAACTAACTAACAAACTAACTTTATTCTTAAAGTTAATAAGTAGTTTGAATGTAACAGAGAATAGTAAAGTTTGTAAAAAGATATTGTATAGTTTGTTCAACGATGGATACTACCCAGATACCAATGAATATTTGAATCTTGAAATTGAGAGTGTTGATCAACATACTCCATCTTCTTTATTTTGTTGGAGACATTTCATTGATTTCACAAGAGATAATATTAGTGTGAGTTTAAATTAAATTAGACAATGCCTCAATTAATTTTATTCTAACTATAAATATATTAAAAAAAAAGTTGGACGGATTGGATGATATTTTAGAAGAGATAACTCCAAGTGCCAAAGAATGGTTAAAGTTGATCGATAGTTGTTCAAATGATAACTTTATATTGATACAAATTGTAAAGATATTAAAAAACTATTCGATATCAACTCCTCATTTTATTGATAGTTGTGTTGCCAAGTTTGGTATGTATAACAATCAATCATTACAATAATACAAATTTATCTTGTACAAAACATAAAGACTAAAATTAGTTTAAACTAAATTAAAAACAAAATTATAGAACCATTCTTATTCTCTTTGGATATAGATATATCACTTAAATTACAATTAATGTCATTGTTTAAATCATTTAAATGGATTGATTTCAATAGGTGAGTAAAGTAATTGTTAGTATTTATATAAGATGACTTAACCTATTTTAAAACTAGTTTCTATTTACATATTATCTCTGATATTGAAGTACCAATGGATTTCTCAGATGAAGAGAAGAAGCTTACTTTTATCAGAAAATATCATGCTCTTTGTTTGATTGAGAATTATTATGATCATTCTTATATGGTAATGTTTTTTTTTTTAATTAGAATACAAGACACTATTAATTAGGAAGAATGGTTACTTACTTATTTTTTATATTTATAAATTTATTAGACAAAGAGTGAAATAGATTTCATTGGACATTTAGATTATTTTCTTCCATGTTTAGGTGAGAGTGTAGATGATGAGATTCTCATTATTTCTATTGGATGTGCATTTCTCTTCATCGTTTTGGATCGGGATAATCAATGTTTACAGACCAAAATGATATGGATTAAATTCTTTCAACTTTTGACTGTCACTGATCTATCTGTAAAAGTAAAGAGAAGAATTATTGAGGTAACAAACTTGCTATTCCAATCTTGTTCTTTCAAGTGTACAATTCTAATATAATTATTTTTTATTTATTTCTCTAGACAATATTTGATTTATTACTTGTTAAATCAACTGGTTTGATCAGTCATTACAATATTTTCACTACCTACATCAAATCGAATCAACTTCATATTCAAAAGGATTACCGAGATTTAATTTACTGTGGAACTATTAAATTATATTATCATGGTTATAATATATTTCAAATGGTAAATAATAATAATGATAGAATTATTTTTAGCTATTTACTAATTGATTTAATCAATAATGTTTGTTTTATTCATTTTAGGGATTCAATGAATTGACAATTAAATACTTCCAACCGGATTATTTGAATGTCGAATCTCACCAGACATTCGATATATTGGCAAATGAAACAGAGATAAAACAAAAGTTTTTAGTGAGCTCTATGATTACCACTCTCGAGTATTTCTTTTGCTTCAAGAACCACTCAAACGCCACGAGCAAATCAAAGATAATCACAAGTATTTGCGATTACTATTTCTCAAAAGCAGAGTTACTTTCACAATCCAAAGTCAGTGGTCATAGAAATATATCAATTGATATATTAATACATTTATTAATAATTATTTCAACTTTTGAAAGATGTAAGTTTAAATATTTAAATTTTAATTATTATTTAATTAAGTAACATTATTTTATAAAACATTCTAATAATAGATGGTAATACATTATGCTTATGCTTAAACTTAAAGAAATGGAAATTGTTTGATTACTTTCCTTTGTTGAAAATCGTTGAATTGATATCTATTGCCATCAGATCAACTGTGAAATCTAAACAATCAATCAAGTTACTACAACAGTTTAAGAATATCGTTGAGAAACAACTACAAAAACAAGAGCAACCATCAAATAGACCAACAATAGACACCCAATCGCTCAACAACAATGTAAATAACTATAAAACATATATTGCAAGTATTAAAGGTAAGATATTATATTTTATAATCTATATTTAAAAAAGTTAAACTATTATTTTATTCTATCACATTTAGATAACAAGTTTATGATAGAAATTGATAAAGTATTGAATGATAAATTAGAAAGCAATAATAATGATAAAAGAATTATACTTTATGATAATAATAATAATGACAACAACAATAATAATTTTAATAATATATTAAATCAATTTGATCAAGCAGTACAAAAACAATTAGAATACAATATTGTTCAAGAAGAAGAAGATGATGATGATCAAGGAAAGCATGTCAATAATGAAGATAAGAAAGCAGAAGTAGTAGATGTAGTAGATGTAGAAAATGAAGAACAAGAAGAATATATTTATTATGAATTAGTAGATCAATCACTTGGTTCAAGTGACGAAGAAGAGGATGTAGAATATATGTATATCAATAATAGTGATATTGAAGCAGTATCTGAATATGATATAGAACCAACGAATCCAAAGAGATCAAGATCAGTTTATTAAATTTATAATAAACCAAAGCGCATTTTACTTTTTATATTTACAAATGTTTATAATAAATTTATTTGTTTGTTTAATATATTTTATATTTAAAAAAATAAAGTGAAAAAATAATAATTATTATTAAAGTAATATTATTATTATTAATCAGGTGCAACATCTGGTATCTTTAAAGGTGATTTCAATGAATTATTAAAATATTGTTGTTGATTTGTTTGATGTTGTTGAAGTGGTTGTTGTTGTTGCTGTTGCTGTTGCTGTTGAGTTTGTTGTTGAAGTTGTTGTTGTAGCTGTTGAAAGGTTGCAGATTGCATAGATGTTAGTTGTGGTGGCAATGGTTGTGTGAGTACGGTCGGTGACACTGAGAAAGATACCGCTTGTTTCACAAATGTCTTTAGACATGCCACCTGCTGTTTCATTGCACCGTTCTCCATGAGTAGTTGCTCGACCTTTGAATTGGCGAGATCGTTCGAACTCTGCAGTGAGTTTGCTTTCGACTCGAGATTGTTGATGTATTCCTTCTGACGCTGACGAAACAGCTGTGCCGCCTCACGATTCTTCAGTAGACGTTTTCGTTTTCTTTGGTCTTCGTTGTCGTTTGGATCGTCGTCGGAATGATCGTGGTCATGATCGTGTTCATCGTCGTAGTAGTCGTCGTCGTCATCGTGACTGTCATCGCTATCGTCGTGTGACGACATCATCGTCGATGACGACGATCTCGAGGGTGGAACAACAGCAGCTGTTGCCGACTTTTTTCTTTTCTTATCTTCTTTATCTTCATTATTATTATTAACAGTTTGAGTTGTAGTAGTTGGTGGTGGTGCTGTTGCAGCAGCTTTCTTCTTTGGTCCACGTTTTGGTTTCGCTACAACACCGCCACTGCCGTTTGCATCTTCTTTCTTTATTGGTTTAGATGATAGTTCAACGTGTATGCCCAGCTCTGCAAGTTTATCTTTTTGTTTCTTATATTTTCTTGTTGGTTGTCTACCACCGTTCGTACTAGTGTTGTTGTTTCCGTTGGTGGTAGTTGTAGTGGTAGTTGTCGATTGTTGTGCCATCAATGCACTCTTTCCGTTTTGATTATTTAGATGACTATGATTGACAGCTGATGCAACTATATTATTTATATCTAAATCAGGATTTATATAACTATGACTATTGTTACTGCCGCTACTACTATGATTCTCATTAATACTATTTATAGAAATATTACTATGATGGTTGTTGTTACTATTATTATCGAAATTATTATTAATTATATTATCAATATTAACATTATCATATAAACCATAGTTGAATGTTTGTTGTTGTTGATGTTGATTCTCCATGATAATTTTCAATACATTACATCGTCATAATGACGTAAAACAAATTAAAATTAAAATTAAAAAATTATTATTAATTATTAATTAATTATTGATAAAACAGGATAAAAAAGAAGGAGCACACTTCTTTAAAAAAAGGAAACAGATAATTGTTTTGTCATTTATTTTTTTTGAAACCAATTTTATAAAGATTTTGTCAAAAAAAAAAAAAAATTTAATTTTTAGAAAAAGATTTTGCAAAAAAAAACTGATCGATTTTCTTTATTGATTTGGGGTGTCATAGATCTTTTAAATTTAGTAGTGGTTAATGACTGATGATTTGATTTAATAACCATAGAACTTTCCACCGGCTTGTTTGAATAGAATTGATGTTGTTCCTTGGAGATCTTCGTCTGTTTCGATTTCGGTGTTGTTGTTGTCAATGCTGAAGAGGTTGGTGATTGATTGGGCGGGAATAGCGAGTTTCTCTGCGATGGCGGCAATCACTGATTTAATGGTGAGTGATTTCACGGTGATTCGCTTGAATGTGATCGGTTCTTTCGAGACGGAAATCTTGATGGTGTGTGACTCTAGCTTTTCCGAGGGCAACTCGTAGTCGGTGACCAGACCGAGTTCCTTGATGAGAGCGATCATCGATGGATCCTGCGAGTCGAGATCGATCATCAAACGCTTCTTGGCGTACTCCAAGAGCGATTTGGTTGCGCTGCCCTGCGAGAATATCGTCTTGGAACCGGTGTTGGTGATGGTGTCCCAATGGTAGACTTGATAGGTGTCGAATTCCCTGGTGTGGAAATTCAAGTCGATGTACTTTGTCTTGATGACGCGCGGCGAGAGTGAGAGAGTCTCCACTGGTTTACCACCGGTTCCTCCACTGACCGAGACGTGTGAGACTCTCACATATTGCAACTCATATTCGATGATGTTGATCTTGAAGGCATCCTCATCCTTTTGGATCTTGTCCAAGATACGGATTATAGCATGTGGAATGATCTCACGTCTCAAACACAAGTAGTTCAACGATGGTGTGGCATGAGAAACAAACTTGGTGCAAGTAAACTCACCAACATGAGCTTCCTCATCGCCATTAACCATTTTGATTCTTTTAGATCTTAAAGATTTCGATCCAGCTGCGGATGCAACGTTATGTGAAAAAGACATGATATCAATCCAATTGAAGTGTTGAGCTTTCATAATCTAAAAATAATAATAATAATGATGATAATGATTAATATTGAAATGATTTCAATTTGAAATAGTAATAACCAACTTACTTTTTCCTCTGCTTTCATTTCTTGAGTTGCTTTTCTATTATTGTTATTAGCAAAGTTACCAAAGGAAAATGAGTTAACATTGCTCTGTTGTGGTTGTTGGTTGGCTGCTTCCTCTGGCTCTTGTGGAGCACTGAGAATAGCCTCAATCAATACATCCTTTTGATTCTCAATAGTTGGTATTTCATAGCTTTTCGAAGTGTCAATATCGATTGGGAGGTGCAAGTAGATTCCTTTTGTCATTTTGTTGTTGTTGTGTTGTTTTGAAAAAAAAGTAGAAAAATGAAATATATATATCAAATAATAATAATTTAATAAAGTAGAATAATTTAATTAATATATTACAAATTGATTCAAAAAAGATATATTTATAAAGATTGGTTTTAAGTTTACATTTTTTTAGATTTTTGTAATATCATTGCCAACACATTATTTTTTGCGAGCATAAGCAAGAAATAATCTGCTTTTTCTCAAATTTTTATTTTTTTTATTTTTTTGTTTTTTTAATTCCAAGAATTTATTATTTATTTATTTGTTTTAGCATTTAATTCCCGAACCAAACAAGATTCCTTAGAAATCAGAATTTTTCTGAAAAAATCAAAGATATCAAAATATTTAAAGTCTTTCAATGTTAGAGCTCCGAATTATAATCAAGAGAGTTATATAAATTTACAATTTCAAAGTGAATAAATGAAAAAACAAAATAGTTTAAATTCTTTTTTCAAAACTTATAAACCTCATCAATAATCACAAAATATAAGTATTGTCTTTTTATTTAAGAAAAAAAAAGATCTTCAAATTTCCTTTTTTGAAGATTAAATTTAAAAGTTTTCTTTCATTTTTTTCTGCGACAGTTAAATCAATCTAGATCTATTAATAACTTTATTTTTATTAATTAATCAATCATTCAATTGTTCAATTGAATTTTCACCCATCTTATCATCTTATCAAAAACTGAATCATCTTATAAAACCGAAAGTCATAGCAAATGAAAAAAAATCTAATAACTTTTCATCTGTAAAAAACTCTAAAGAAATTTCTGAAAACCATCAATCCATTTCTACATTAATCGAAATATCGCGAACGTTTGTAAAATTTTTATCAAAATTAGCATTCTAAAAAAGATATTTTCAAGATTTTTTGTTTTGGGAATGGTATACAGATTTTTGTAACTACTTTTTGTAACAATCAGAGTGTCAAGTTTTCGAATTTTCGCAATCAAACAAAAAATTTACTAAATTTCATTGAACAGGACTGTTTAGCCGGGGTTTGATTTGTTCGTTTCATCTTATTTAAGATGGATTGATCTTGAGAAAAAAAAATCAATCTTAATTTTTCTTTTTTTACGACTTTACTATCAAGATATATAATATTCATATAGATAGAGACATATAGAGAGAAATGAAATTATTTATTTGTTTATTGTTTTTGACAGTTTTGGCAATTGCAAATGCAGATTTAGGTATTGATGTTTCATCTTCAACTTCAACCAGAATCACAAGTTCACAATGGTCTTGTCTAGCTCAGAAGAATCAACGTGTAATCATCCAAGTGTGGGCAGGTGGATACGGTTTGAACAATGGTGTCGTTGGTGCCATCCAAGCTGCTCAAAGTGCAGGTTTCCAAACTATTGATCTTGTAAGTTTGTAGTTTTAGATATAGATTTAGAAATAAATAACTAATTGTTTTTTTTTTCTATTTTATTTTTCATGTTATAAATAATTTTAGTATGCATTTTTATGTAATCAATGTTCCGGTAATTCACCATCGTCCAATGTCATCCAAGAGATTGTTAGTCATTTGAAACAAAGTGGTACCAATTTTGGTACTCTTTGGATCGATGTTGAACAATGTAACGGTTGTTGGGGAAGCACCAGTGCCAACGCTGCCTTCGTTGTCGAGGCTGTCCAGACCGCCGCTTCTTTGGGTGTCAGAGTCGGTGTTTACTCATCGCTCGGTGAATGGCCAGAAACCGTCGGTTCACTCACATCACTCTCTTCCTATCCACAGTGGTACGCTCACTACGATGGTGTAGCTGCCTTCACCGATACCAAATCCTACCAATACGGTGGTTGGAACAACCCAGAGATGAAGCAATACGTTGGTAACACCAACCAATGTGGTGTCTCTGTCGATCTCGATTACTTTGACGGATCAGCATCAAGCGGTTCAAGTTCATCGGGTTCCACCAGCTCAGGTTCTGGTAGTACCTCTGGTTCTGGATCATCATCAGCATCATCAGGTTCCGGATCTGGTACCACCTCCTCAGGAAGTGGATCATCATCAGCATCATCTGGTTCCGGATCAGCTACTACCTCTGCCTCTGGATCGGGTAGTGGATCGTCAGCCTCATCTGGTTCAGGATCATCCACCTCTGCTTCAAGCGGTTCAGCATCTGGTTCAGGAAGTGGATCAGGTTCAGGATCTACCACCCACAGAGAGCCAGAATTCCAAACCATGCTCGGTGGTTCAGCCGGATCAGGTGAAGCCAAACCAAAGGAGCCACAATTCAACACAATGTTGGGTGGTTCAGCCGGATCAGGAGAAGTCAAACCAAATGAGCCAAAATTTAACACAATGCTTGGAGGTTCAGCCGGATCAGGTGAAGTCAAACCAAATGAGCCAAAATTCAACACAATGCTTGGAGGTTCAGCAGGTTCAGGAGAAGTCAAACCAAAAGAACCACAATTTAACACAATGTTAGGTGGTTCAGCTGGTTCAGGAGAAGTCAAGTTCAACACTATGCTCGGTACTGCCGCAAGCTCTGGTCCAGGATCAGGATCGGGATCCGGTTCAGACAATAGCCACGCCTCTTCAGGTCCAGGATCATCCGGTTCCTCAGGTCCAGGATCTGGATCTGGATCGGCTTCGGGTTCAGGTTCAGGTGCCTCCTCGGCTATGCCTCACAGACCAACTGTTACACACACAACCAGTGTATCAAGCGCACAACCACACGCACCAGCAACTATCACCTCGTCATCATCATCGTCATCATCGAGTGCACAACCACATTCATCGGTCTCCGGTCGTTATAACATGCCACACAGACCAACCTCTTCACATACCACCAGTGTATCGAGCGCACAACCACACGCACCAGCTACCATCATGTCCTCATCAGGATCAGGTTCATCTGCACAACCACATTCATCGATTTCCGGAAATAACTAAACTATAATAATAATAATATTATACAACACATCACAAAAGATAGTGATCAAACCAATAATAATAAAACATAATTTTTTTTTTCTAATAAAAAAAAAAAGTATTTTTGGCGCAATCCATGCGCTATTGTAAATAACAAAACCAATATTTAATAATTTGTATTTAAATTATTGTTTACTAATAAATTGAGATTACAAATATATAATAAATAGTTAATTATAAATTTATGGATTGAAATGAATAAGAAATTTAATGAAATTAAAGTTTGAATATCATTCACAAAGCTTTGAAATAAAGATTTTCAAAATATTTTATAAAGATATTTTAAATATTATAAAATATTTTAAATATCTGTATAAATCAAAATAAAAAAATATAAATATCTATATATCTGGATAAATTTTTAAATATCTTTTTTTTTTTCTGGTTAACTGGAAAAACTAAAACAATCCGAATCTGATTTTTTCACAATATTTTTTTACAACAATAATAAATAAACATTTTCATTTGACTCTCTGGAACAAAACAGATATAGATTATACGATAGAGATAAATAAAAATGGATAATATTTTATTCTCAAAAGTATTCAATAATTTATTTCTTCAAAATTTAATATTTAAAGAAGTTTCTGTGATTTCAAGTCCACAGTAAAGTGCAATTGAAATGGAGTGAGATCACAAAACGACCGCAATTGCTTGCATATTACAACTATTTCGATTCACTAAAAGTATGTTTAAATGACAGAAGCAATAGGAAGGCAAGACTAGAGAAAATGGGTGTGTTTGAATGTGCTATTGCACGTGGCACTACAGAGATGCTTGAATATCTCTTGGAGTTCTACAAGATCGATCGTCACTTGGAGAATGAATCGCCATTCGATCGCGTACTCAACCGGTTTTTGGTGTTTGCAGCACAGTATGGTCGACTTGACATGGTGGAATACCTCTTCCAACGATTCCCAGATAATCAATCGCAGTGGGAATTGAACCGTGCGTTGTCACTCTCGGTGTATTCCGGAAATTTCGAGCTCTTGAAATTCATTTCTGCAAAGCTCGATAGCTGCGGTGAGGAAGTGAATAAGATTGACAACAAAATGTTTGGTGGCAACGTCTATAATGATGCCGCACACCTCGGACGTATCGATATCATAAAGTGGCTGTTAGAGAACCGCTCGCAAGACCTGGCGCGAACCAATATGATCATTTGTGCAACTCAAGGCAATCAGCCAAAGGTGATTGAGTTTCTTTTGGACGAGTTGAACTATCCTATGAATATGGAGTCGCGAGATTACCTTAGAATTGCAGCGAGAGCACCAGATAGAACTGAGATCTTCAAGATGTTGTATCAAAGAAAATGCGTGTGTCCAGTCAATGCTATGAATGAAGCATCGGCATTTGGAAACCTCGAGCTTATTAAGTGGCTACATGAAAATACAACTATTGGATGTACTGAAGATGCTATGACAAATGCCGCTGAAATGGGACACTTGGAAACTGTCAAGTGGCTCCATGCAAATCGAACTGAAGGATGTAATGAAGATACAATGGATCTCGCTGCTGGCCAAAACCATTTGGAAATTGTCAAGTGGCTCCATGCAAATCGAAATGAAGGTTGCACGGAGAATGCATTTTATAATGCTATTAGTGCCAATCATCTAAACATGTTGAAATGGTTGCACAAGAATAAAAATGAGGAATTCAACCCGTCGGTTGAGATGCTAGATCATGTTGCACAACTTGGATTTGTCGAGATGCTACAATGGTTGGAGGAAACCACTGGATTGCAATGCTCGGAATCCGCATTGATTGAGGCACTAGCGACATCTCTGCCAATGGTGAAATATCTCTACAGTAGAAATGGACCGGACAATCTATATGGTTTCAACGAACAAATATTCGATATTGCTGTCGGTTCTCTACATCTTGGCAATGTCAAATGGCTACACGAGAACCTGACAGGTATCGAAGATGCCAGAACTTTTAGTCTACAGTCATTCGGCAGAGCACTCCAATCGAATGCCTATGAATTGGTTGATTTCCTAGCAGAGAAAGAGAGTGAGCAGTGTAAGACTCACTTGAAATCAATGAATATCGATGACCTTATCAAATATCTTTTGAAAAACAATAGTTGCTATACATTGGAATGGGTACTACAAAATGCAACTACTCTCAGCATTGATCAACTCCAGCAACATCAAAAGTCAGTTAGTACATTGAATTCAATTGAAGCAATCGATGTATTAACATTACATATCGATTCACTTTCACTTTCAACCAAATAATAATAATCAAACGAAACAAACGAATCAAACATAAACATTTAAATAAATCTAATTAAATGTTGAATATTCTATTTTATTTTCCTTTAGAATTTGATTGAATTTCTGTATTGCTCGAAATTGGTGCTCGGTAAAAGTTGTTATTTCAATGATAATTTCATTTGTCAACTCATCTTGTTCCTCTTCATCTAAATATATATAGTTTTCTTCTTCCTCTAGTTTGTACAGTTTTTTAAGTTGTTTTTTTGTTTTCCTTAGAAATTCATCGGGCTCACCGACTGCAAGCGTATCAACATAGTCATCCATATTCTTTATGATTTTGGCATTGAACAGCTCGATAGATTCATCGCTAAACTTATTCTTTAGTTTGTCTTTGAGGTTCTCAAGTATCCTTTCAACGACTCGCTTCTCTTCTACACCGAAATAGCGCTGAAGACAACCGAGTTCACTGACAGAGTTGGTGCAAAGCATGAATCCACAAGGCACCTGTACCAATTTTTCGTAGTAACTACAGTATCTGCATTTTCTCGTATTATCAAATTCTTCCATACATCCATTACTACAGAAATTATAATTAGCAGATGCTCTGTTCCTATAATAACTTGAGGTCTGTGAGAAATATTCTTTTACTGCATTCTTTCCACATATTGCACAATGCTTCATATATAAATAGTTACGTGTTGAACCATTTCCAAAGTACATGTTTTTTTTCTTTAATATAAATTATATTGAATATATAAATTAAAATCTATGTTTGAAATGAAATAAAATTAAAATGAGGCTTTTTTCACTTTTATTTTATTTTAAAATTTTTACATATTAATTTTCACTTTTTCTATCAAAAACTTCAAAACAAAAAAAAGTGAAACAACCTTAAATTTAAAGAAATAAACGAACGAAAAAAAAAAAAAAACATTTTTAGATTGATTTGTATTTTTAAGTCATTATTAGATATTTAAAAGAAAGAATGTCTTCAACAGATATCTTAAAAAATGAAAATAATAATAATAATAATAACAATAGTGTAACAAATAATGTTGTTGCTGCTGCTGCTACTGTTGAACAAAACAATAATAACAAAAATAATGAAACAATAACAACATCAATAGCATCACTTATCAAATCAATCTTTGATGAGAAAGAATCAATCTATTTCTGTGATACATATTGTGAGGTTGCAAAGGCAGTATTTGCTGAATCACTTACAACCCTCACAGAATTTATACTAGAGAGAGACATTGCCAATGTAAACTATCAAATATCAGCTGATCTAAAGAGAAACGGACCGAATTTCTTTACAAACCTTTTACCAAAACAAGAAAAGACAACAAAAGTAAAGACAACAACAACTAATAATAATAATAAAAAGAATAAAAAGAATAAGAATAAATCAGAGAGTAAAACAACGATTGTTGAAGATCCAGCTGTAATTATGAATCGTATGATGCTACTGTTTGCAACTGCCACCGGTAAAGTAGAGATTCTAAAGACGCTGCTGGAGAAGGGTGCCGGAGTTTTGATAAATGTTCCCGACCCCATCAGTAAGTTGACGCCACTTCATATCGCTGTGATGGCGGGTCGACCAGAGATGGTAGAGCTACTCGAGAAGAACGGTGCCGACCCGATTTGTAGCGATGCATTCCGTGCGCGACCCATTGACTATGCGTACTTGCGTGGATTGCCAAAGCAACCGATGCCACCCGCATCCGTAGCCATCTACAACTACAAGAACGACAGTGCACTCCAGCAATGGACAATCGATCGGTTAGAGAGAGAACTCTCGATTGTCTACTGTCCTCGAATCTTGGCAACCACCAACTACCTGGTGGAGATGTGTTTCAGTTCGATGGAGATCAACGCCGACATGGCGTTCCGATCAAAGTATCTCGATTTGATAAATAAGACCGGGGGTGAGGAGAATGTAATATTGGGATGGATTGGCGAGCAGGTTGGTTGGGGTGTCTACGCAGCCAGAGATATTCATAAGGATCAATTCATTGTGCGGTACGGTGGACGTCTCACTAACAACGAATCGATGGTCACCGCTTGTTACAACATGATGACATCGATGGAGGATTTCGGTTTGGATGCCTATCGCTATCGATCGATGGGTGGTATGATCAACCATTCATCGAAACACGCCAATGCAGAGTCGATCTGTATGTTTGAGTACGGTGCAGAACAAGCTATCATCACAGCAACCAAATTCATACCAAAAGGTCAGCAAATTTTCATAAACTACTCAAATTCCTTCTGGAAACCAGAGGCTGCCAATGACGAAAAAGAACAACTTGATATGATAGAATTGGGTGGAACTAATAATTATCCATCAATAATAACAAATTTAAAATAATAAATACTAATTTATTATTATTTATATATTAAATTTTATTTTATTTTATATTATATTGACATTGATTCTTCATTTGTTGTTGTTGTTGATGATTTAAATAGATATGAAAATGTTATTGGAATGGATTTAGATGCATTCAATAGTTGTGTTAGATATTCATTTGAACAGAGTGGCTGGTCATCTGTTGGGTTATCGATGGTTGCAGTTATGTAACCTCCAGGTCCAATCTGAATATCAACAGAGTTGAAATCTATTTTGTTTGGTTGAAGGAATGTAATACTAATTGAAAATGGTGGTTGTACCATTACTTCGAATACTGGTATATCTTGATTTGATGAAATTGTTGTTGTCGTTGTTGTTGTTGTTAATGATGGTAATGGTGATGAAGATGGTGATTGTTTTTGTTGTTGTTCAATATTCATTGAATCTGAATCAACTTCAGATGAACTATTAGTTGTTGATGTTGGTTTGTTTGTAAAAGGACAAGCTGTAAAACAACTCTTAAATAAAAGGTTAAAGACAATCTGTTGTCTTAGGATTTGAAGTACTGGTAGTAGTTGACTGCAATGCTCAATCGGTATTCTAGATACTTCAATGCCAGGATGATATTCACCACCAGTATAGAAATAACGTTGTCTATCACCCAGTACTGTTATATCGTTTTGCTCTAAAGTATTGCTATTGTTGTTGTTATTGTTATTTTGAGTGTTGCTGCTGCTGCTGCTGTTCTTTCCATTGCTGCAATTTGAAACAACCAATTGATTCTCTAACATTGCATTGGGATTGGTTGAGCTGGAGGCAGTTGGATTACTCTTTACACCGACACACTGTAGCAACTCTGTCATTGTACCGATGGTAATGTTGATAGGTGGATCCAACTTTACCACCAATCTAACATTGGAATTGATTAAGCTATTGACATCTTGTTGCTCGTTTTGTATTTGCTGTTGTTGTTGTTGATGTGGAATGAACGACAGTCCATCCTCTGACAACTGACTGGTGAGTGTAAGTTGATACATTGAAGTTCTACTTCCCTCTTCGATATCAAGCGTCAGTGAATACTGTCCTTCATGTGACAAACGTTGTTGTAAAGTTGTATAGTAAACCGATTTAACACCACAAATATCCAAAGATATCTTTCCATAACCACTATTGAACAACTCCAATTCATCGCCAATATCAATAGCTTGTTGTTGTTGTTGTTCTTGATGTTTCTTTCCGATGCTGAGGAAATCATCTTGTAGTACCTGTAGTGCTTGTTGTAGATTGACGTGTTGGAACTTTCTAAAGAGTAGATCCTGTTGACAGATTCTTCGGATTTTCGCATCAAACTCTTTGATGTTGTTGCGCAGTGCCGTTGTCAACTCGTTGTTGATCGATTCATCGGTTTCTTTATCCTCACCGGTTGCCATTGAGATGTGTACCAGCTTCACCTCTTTGACGGTGCCATCGCCATTGATAAAGATATCCAGCAGGAATGTCGAAGAGGAGATATTGCAACTGTAGACCTGATCCGGTGAGATCTCCGCTGGATCGGTCTTGGCAAGTGCAGTCAACTCATGGAGATCAGAGTAACTGCCGTAGCGATTATCGAGATCGGTCATCGTTTCACTCAACCGACATATCAACAAACCGAGACGACGATAGCTATCCTTCGAGATCGACTCCAAATGAATCTTACCGAGCAATGTACAATCTGCATTGGTCTTTAACATTTGTTTCAGCTTTAAATTCGTACTGACATATTGCTAAGAAATAAGAAAACAATCAGTAAGTAAATAACCATTGTCCCAAAAAAATAAAAAAATAAAAAAAAAGAATCAATCAATAACTTGTCTTTAAAATACATACTCTTTGATTGGTAAGTAATTTCTGTAGATCTTTATCACCTTCCCACTGTCGGTATTGAGCAAATGTCAATTTCATTGTTTCCAATAATCTTTGAAGTGTATTACATCTTTCATCAATATTTCCTGGTGAATATGGATGAACTAAATATATATATCAAATTAGATGATTGTGAGTATACTCTAATGATATTAACTAACATAATAGATGCTTACATAGATTCGGTTTAAATTGTTGATCTATATTCGATGTTATTGTTGTTGATGATGGTTGTGAATCTGACGATGATGGTGTAGATGGTATATATGGTACATTTGTGTTGGTAGCGGTTGCAGTGATACCTAAATCATTGAACAACGAATGATAAGTTGAATATAATACATCTAGACTATGTTGTATAGTTGTATCTTTTAGTATATTCATATTATATTTTACTAATTAAGAATTAATAATCAGATCTTAATTAATAAAAGAAATGATCAAATTTGATCATCACATCACCCACACACTTTTATTTTTTTTTTTAAGAATTTGATGATGTATCTTAATTTCCCTCCCTTTTCAAAAAAACTAACTTGTTTTTATTTTTTCATTAATAGAATTAGTCAGACAGTCTTGTTCAATTATAGATATTTATACTTTTATAGATATAAAGATAGATTAGATAGATAGATAGATAGATAGATAGATATATAGAATAGGAAAATGAATACAAATACAAATACACAACAACAAACAGCAAATAACAATGATAATAATAATGGTGGTAATGTGAATAACAATGGTACAGGTGGTGGCGGTAACAATAATGGTGCAAATCAAAACAAGGATCAACAGATACTGGCAAAAGAATCGATAGATTCTATAATGAGAGAGTTCATCGGTCTTGTAGATATAGGAAAGAATGCAACATGGACACTCTCCTCTGCGAAACCTGGTTTTGGAATCGAACAACTATTGGATGAGAACTTATCAACCTATTGGCAGTAAGTTACTAACAACTAACAACTAACAACTAATCAAATTTCAATTCAGTTTTGAAAATAACAACAAATTATTATTATTATTATTACCATTTAGATCAGATGCACCACAACCACATACTATAAATATACAATTCAATCGTAGATATGAAATAGAGGTAAATTAATTTTAGCAACATTAAAAATCATATAATATATATTAATTATATGTTATAATATTTGTAGAGTTTATTATTGTATACAGATTTCAAAGAGGATGAGAGTTATACACCTTCAAAGATATCCATAAAGATAGGATCTACTTTTCATGATTTGGAAGAGATTATCAATACTGATTTAGAGGAACCGAATGGATGGATCAATATACCATTATTAAATGAAAAACAAAAGTAAAGTATTATTAATTTTTTTATTTTTTTTAACAGCCATTCATATTCTAATTAATTTTCTATCCTCAAAGGCCATTGAGAGCAAATTTACTACAGATCTCAATCATTGCCAATCATCAAAATGGTAGAGATACACATGTTCGTCAAATTAAAGTTTTAGGTAAAAAAGTGTAAGTAATAAAAACAATAAATACAACAACAACAATCATATTTTACAATTATAGTATTTATAAAATAAAATAAAACTAATAATAAATAAACTAATAAACGATAATTTATAATAATACTTTCATTTTAGAACTTTGGAATCTAAACTACGTATTCCAAATTTTTCACAACCAGAATTCAATTTTTATAACAACATCAGATAGATAGGTAGATTGTAAATATAAACTAAAAGGGAGTAGAGCCGCAGCGAGAGAAAGTAAGTAGATAGATATAACAAAAAACATAAACAACACTCAGAATCAATAGTTAGATTTGTCATAAAACTAAACATTTAATTGTTTACTATTGGGTTTAAATCAACAAATTTAAAACAATCATATTTGTGTAAACAACCAAATTGCCTTGCCCAACCACCTGTAATTACCTAATCATGATCAAGTACTCAGCTCACCTTCCATTTAACAAATTAAATGTGCACATTTAATTATGTTATACTAATCTATTCTCCCCTTTATCTCACAATTGGTACACGAAATCAACAAAAATCCAATCAATCAAACAATCTGATAGTCACTTAATTGACAGTGAAGTCACACTACACACAACAACTATTATTATTTTGCAATTTTTTGTTTTGTTTTTTTTTGTTTTTTCACCACATACACACTCACCCACTTAAAATCAAACTTTTAATCTAACCCACTTTTTGATATCAAAGTCATGGCAATTCAACACTTTCATTTACTTTTCGCTCAAACATAATTGAATTTTTTTTGTTTATTTTGTATTTTTTTTTTTATTCAAAAATTTTGCTGTCGATTATTATTTTTTTTAATTTTTTATTTTTGTGCACTTTTGTCCGTTAAAAACAAAAGATGATGTTTTGTGCGAGATAATAAAAAAGAAATTAGAATTAGATAATATTACAAAAAAAAAAATAAAATAACAAATTTTTTTTTTTTTTTTTTTAATGTTCCACATTTCTCTTTCCAGATATATATGGTTTGGTTCTTATTATTATTCAAATCCAATTGGGTAGAATAGATATTCAACCAAAAAAAAAAAAAAAAAAAAATTAATAAAATTTTTAGATAAAACACATTTCATCAACATAATATATTTATTTATATTTATCCTATATCATATCATATATATTTTTTATAACAACAAATCGAATCAAATCAAATCATAACATAATATAATCAAATTTTTTATTAATATTTTTATTTTTTAAAAAGAAAATAATAATAATAATAATAATTATAATCAGATAACATTAAACAACTTTTTACTTTTTACTTTTTTTTTTGATAATTTGATTAGTTCTTGATTGATCAAAAGAAAAGAAAAGAAAAGGATGAGTGGAAGTAAAAGATCTATGGCTGTGTGCCCGATTTGTAATGTCAGAGTTCCAGCGGCGGGTCTACGTCAACACAAGGTAGAATGCGAGAATACAGCTGGTCCACTTAGAATGAGGGCCATTCTTCAGACACCTGTGCCCGGTCAGAGAATTCCACGTGCTGCCGCTATCGCTGCAAATGAAGTCATCGAATCTGCAACGAACAAACGAAATGGTGGAAAGATTCGTCCATCAGTCAAGCTAGTGGAAATCAAAAAAGAAACACCAAAGAAGATGAATGCAAAATCACCAGCAAAACCTGTTGCTAAATCGCCAGCAAAATCACCACCGAAACCAATAGCGAAATCATCAGCAAAGTCAGCAGCGAAATCACCACCACCAAAACCAATAGCTAAATCACCAGCAAAGTCAGCAGCGAAACAAGCAGCGAAACCAAAAGTTAAAGAAATTATCGAAGCGAAAGTAAAAGAAAATCAAAAAGGAAAGAAAGGAAAAGCAGTAGCAACAAAACCACCACCAACAACAACAACAGCAACAAAAACAAAGACATCAAAAGTAAAAGCATCAAGAGCAAATATAGTTATTGAAAATATAGAATCAGAATCGGAAATGGATGAAGAATCAGATATTGAAGACAAAGTTGAAGATGATGAAGAGTTAGAATCACAATCAGATTCAGAATCAGAAGTAGGATCAGAGAAAGAAACAGAAGAGGAGGAAGAAGAAGAAGAAGAAGAGGAAGAGGAAGAGGAAGTACAAGAAGAACAAGAACAAGAAGAAGAGGAAGAAGAAGAAGAAGAATCAGATGATAGTGAAGTTGAAAGAGAGAAACAACTTAAAGCGAAAGAAGAACAAAAGAAAAAGTTACCACCAAAGAAAAGATCATCACCTTTAAAGAAAGAGTTGGCAGCAGCCTCATCACCTTTGAAATCATCACCATTGAAATTATCTCTATCACCTCCAAAATCACATGATGACATTGAAAGCAAATTGGATAATCAGGATGAACAAGAAGAAGAAGAGGAAGAAAAAGATGAAGAAGAGCAAAACATTTTAAATTCATTATTGAAAGAGAAAGTAGAGGAAGAAGTAGAAGCAGAAGAAGCAGAAGAAGTTGAAGAGGATGAAGATGAAGAAGTAGAAGTTATTAGTTTGGATTTAGGTTCAAAATCGTCAAATCATATGAATCATAATGTTCATCATAAACATCATGACTATGATAATGACAATGACAATAGCAATGACAATGACAATGATGGTATGGTAATCGATAGTAATAGTAGTCAAGAGGAAACGAAAGCAGAGGATGTCAATCATGTAACTACTACTACATCCACCATAACAACCACAACAATGATAACAACAACTACAACAACAGCAAAGGTTGCATCGTCATCTGCTCAATCCAATACAAATGAATCGTCGATATCAAATTCATTGCTCTCACAATCACCTCTATCCACTTCAAATTCATCTTTGATAACAAAGGAGTCGTCGGCAACTACAAATGTTGTGGCGAGTGGTCGATCCTCTGGTAAGATGATGTCGGGTGTCTTGATGTCAAAGGAATCGAGATTAAAGAGATTGTCAAGCGATGGTCCAGCCGACAGCAATGGATCGTCATCATCGCCAAACAAACAAAAGAAGTTGAAACAGGCACCGAAACCAGTCGATATCAAAGCAGCGAAACCATGGGACAAAGAAAAGGTGAAGCGTTGGAAGATTCAAGAGGCACCGGTATTCTATCCGACTGCCGAAGAGTTTAGATACCCGCTGGCCTACATCGAGAAGATCCGTCCGATCGGCGAGAAGTATGGAATCTGTAAGATCGTTCCACCCTACAAGGCAGAGTCTGTCATGAAGGAGATGGACCCAAAGAACTTCAAATTCAAAACGAAAGTACAGAATATCCATCAGTTGAAAACAAGATGGTCAGGTCCGAGCGAAGTTTTTGTTGCACAGCTCTGTGGATTCCTCGAGGATCACGGTGAAACAATGACCGCATTCCCTCAGTACGATGGTCGTGACCTAGATTTGTATCAGGTGTTTGTAGAGGTCAATCGTCGTGGTGGACTGTGGGAGGTGACTCGTGGCAATGGATGGCAAGAGATTCTCGTTGGTCTAAAGGTATCGGACCAGTGTCCAAAACCAATTCAAACACTCAAACGACTCTACAACAAATATCTCTATGCCTACGAGCTTCACAAGAAGAAAGAATATCAAGAGATGGTCAATTCACAACCAAACAAAAAGTTTCCACCAATGATCGATATGTTTATTTCTGAATGTATACAGTTTGGAGGTTAGTATTTAAAATTGATTGATTGATTGATATATTTATAAAGTTATTAACTGTTTGTTATTATTTTTATTAGAACAAATTGAATTTGATGATGATGAAGAACAAGAGGATTTTGGATTCTATGAAGGTAATATTTATAGTTTGGAAGAGTTTGAGCTGTTGTCGTCAAAGTTTGCAAAGCGATGGTTCCCAAATGATAATAACGATCCCGATTCAGTTGAGAGTGAATTCTGGAGAATCGTTGAGAATGGTGATGAGAATGTTCAAGTACACTATGGCAGTGATTTGGATGTGCGTACTCATGGCAGTGGATTTGAACGTGTGCTAAACTTTGATGGCAATGAAGATACACCGAGCGACGAGCATTGGAATCTCAATACTCTGCCAAAGATGCAGCGATCGGTATTCTCTCATCTCACTGAGCCCGTGAGTGGAGTGACCGATCCGATGATGTACATCGGCATGTTGTTCTCATCGTTCTGCTGGCACAACGAAGACAACTATCTCTACTCGATCAACTACCTACACACTGGAACCTACAAGACGTGGTACGGTGTATCGGGAGAGCAAGCCGAGCTCTTTGAGAAGGTGATGCGCGATTCCCTTCCACAGCTCTTTGAAAAGACACCGAATCTCCTCTATTTACTCATCACCATGATGTCGCCAATTGCGCTTTCCGATGCTGGTGTGCCAGTTTGTCGTACTCTCCAAGGTCCAGGCGAGTTTGTTATTACATTCCCACAGGCTTATCACGCAGGATTCAGTCATGGATTCACAGTTGCCGAAGCTGTAAACTTTGCACCACCCGATTGGCTGCCCTACGGAATCAAGTCGACCGAGCACTACCAGGAGGTCAGTCGTAGCAATGTTTTCTGTCTCGATCAACTGATGATGATGCTCTCACTGCAGAATCCAACCGTAGAGTTGTCGCGGTTCCTCTACCCCTGTCTGCAAAAGATGCGCGACAACGAGCTGCGACTCCGCGAGAAGATTCAGAAGCTTGGCATCAAAACCGAACAGGTATTCCGCGACTTTTCAGAGCCTGAGCACATCGATCAAGTCAAGCAGTGCTCGATTTGCAAAGCCGATTGCTATCTCTCGTACATCCACTGCAGAAAGTGTTGCGAAGAGGAAGACGACGACAACGAAACAGTGGTCAAGTGTTTGAAACATGTTTGTGACTGCGAAATCACCAAGAAATCACTAAAGATCAACAAGTCACTCAAAGAGATTGAAGCGGCAATCGATATCGTCAAAAAGAAACTCGCAGAGGACAAAGCACATCATCCAGCCACTCGATCGACCAACGTCAACAACAAAAACACTGGTACCATCAGCACTGTATATAAATTCCCAACACCTTCATCCAACAAAACGTCACCAACACCATCATTTTCACTGATATTCTCAAAGAGCCAAAAAACACCGACAAAGAAAACACCAAGCTCACCTATAAATTCCAATCCGAAATCACCAACCTCATCAAAAAATAGTCCAATTAAAACATAAAACAAAATAAACAAACAAATAATAATAATAGTTTAAGTAGTATTTAGTATTTTAATAACGAAATAAAATAAAAAAAACAAACTTTTTAATAATTAAGTTGTTATTCTATTCTTTATTACGGTTTTCTTCTTATATCATTTTGTGGATAATTGTGATATTGTTCTTGCATTTGTCTTTGAAAATTCTGTTGCGATTGTCTTAGTTTTTCCAATTGCTCTTTTTGTTCTTTGGTGAGATGATTTACAGGGAATCCTGAACCACCTTTTTGCTCCCGTTCATTGTAGAGAGGTGGAATTGTTGTTATATGTACAATAGTGAAATGTGTTACACCTGACAACAAAGTATCTACTTTTTTACCGCTTGTCGTTCCGCTACCACTAGAAGGATGTTGTTTGCCAAAGTATGCTTCTTTCTCTTTTTGTAGAAATTCTCTATTTCTCATCAGCAGTTCATGTTTATTTCTATTTCTCTCAAACAAAGCACTCATTATTTTTTCTTTTACATCATGAACTTTCTTTTTTTCTATATTTGAAAATAAATCATCATGTTTATAGTCATTTTCTAACTCTGTCATTAATCTCTATTATAGTTTAAAAAAATATTAATAATAATTCATTTTAATAAAAAAAGAAATCAATACATACTACTATTTCATCATTATCATAGTCTCCTCTAGATATTACTATTACAACTTTTTCTATAACTAAAACAAATAAAAATAAATAAAATATAGATTTCATACTTTAACTATATCTTTCATAGTAATTAATAAATAAATCTGATAAGAGATCAAAAATTTGATTATATATTTAATTCAATTTGAAAAAAAATGATTATTACCACCAAATTTCTTAAACTATTAATAAAAATAGAATTAAAATCAAATCTTGACTTGCTTTATTAAAATCACTTATTTTAGAATACCAACTGCACTTGAAACATAGTTAAAAAAATTGAAAAAGAAAAGAAACTTCTGATTAAAAATTAACAAAAAGCCAATAATTATCTTCAGAGATAAAAAAAAAAAAATATTTTAAAAGAAAAAAAACAATAATATTTATATTTATACATTGGCGCCATAATTACTATTGTTTTTTAACTTTCTTATTTTGTTTTTTGATTTAATTAATATTACATGTATTATTTATATATGATGTTATTTCTTGAATTCCTTTTCAAATTTATCCAATAGATTGGAATCTAATTTCATATTTCTATCGGGTATAAATCCACAAAGATAGGTTTCTTGAAGTAGTGTTTCTTTGTCGAGAATGTTGATCTGATATTGTTTCCACTCTTTAGTAAGTAAGAATGGATGAGATGATTTCTTTACCAACTTTGATATCTCCAAAAGATGTCCAAAGTTTGGACTTCTACTTCCTGGCAAACCATCATTCTCCAAAGTTAAATAAGTAATTAATCTACCAAGATGTTCAATATTAAATACCTTTTTTTTAAAAAATAAATAAATAAAAGAATATTAATAAACTAATGAGTTGGAACGACAAAGATTATAATAACTTACAGATTGTTCAAAATTATTAAATATAGCATTTTTAGTTGTTGATACAAATAGATTTAAAATCTTTTGATGTAATATATTATTATATGGGAATTCATATATTAAATCCTATAAAGATATTATAAAGTTTGTTAGATTTATAATGAATTTCTGATAAATATTTATATAAACATACCAAACATTTGTTAAATATTATACAATCATTTAATTTTTCGAAACATTGTACATTGTCGGATTGAATTAAAAGGTCAAAGAATTCCAAGAGTTTCAAAAAGAATAAATCGATTTTCTTGAATGATCTGTCGAGAATTGAAACTAGTGATGCCAAGTGATTGAGGAAGCTACTGAGGAAGTCGTGGTTACCAAGATGTGATGGTAGAATATCGACTAGTAGTTTCAATGCGTGACTGCTATTATCCGATTGATTCTGATTGACTTCGACGATTTGCTTGAAGATCTTTGAGAGATGATTGGTATCGAGTTTGAAGTGTTCAAAGAGTTGCTCCTGTTGGATGAGTGGCGACAGCGAGAATCCATTGATGAGCAAATCGATAATCTTCTCCTTTGTAAAGTGCTGTACGATCAGCTGTATCTCTTCTTCCTCCCATTGATTGATTCCTTCGTCTTTCCAAATGACTTTGGTCACTACAGTCTTTTGTTTCTTTGACATCATTTGTTTGCTGGTCATGAGTGACTGCAGTGCCATTTCACCGTTCAACTCCCATGGATTCAGCGAGAGATCCAACAGCGCAATAGTGGTATTGAACTTACAGGCATTCGACAGCTCAATGGTTCCACGCTCGCCGACGTCGGCATTTCGCATCTGTAGATGTGTCAGTGACTTGTTGAATTTTAAACCTTCCGCGAGAAGACACGCACCGTCGTCACCGAGGTAATTCTCATCGAGAATCAACGTCGTCAGAAAAGTATTACGTACCAACGCACTACTGAAATAGCTCATACCGATATCGGTGACAGAGGCATACGTCAGATTCAAACCAATCATATGAGGATACTGGTTGGATCCAATGTAGTTTGCAAGGTACTCAGCACCTTCGTTTTCAATTCCGGTTTCCTTTAGATTCAGACCGAATCCTTTGTAGCCTTTCTTCTCGCGACTGATATTTCCAATCGATTCCAAAAACACTTGTAAATTAGTTGGCGAAATTGAATTTCCTTGGAGACTGAGCGAGGTGAACAGCGATTGAGTATCGACCAACATTCGTGTGAAAGCTTCCAATCCTTCACCACTGATTTCATTCCAACTCAAATCGGCAATCTCTAGATTTCCAGGACAACCCGTTGCAATCTCCAACAGTCCTTCGTCACCCAGCGAACAATTGGCAAGATCCAACACAAAACAACGACCTCCACCTACACCCGGCAGTGACAATTCAAATGGTTTAGCAAACTGCTCAAGACACTCTTCCAAGCTGGAGACATGCACTTTCAGAGGTGGGATGTCTACTAACTCAAATTTGGTAGCTTCAATCAGACTTCCAACGGAACTGGAACGAGCACGTGTTGTTTGTAGCAATACTTCCAGTCTTGGATTGCTAAAGCTGATTCCACCGCTACTTGCAGTCGTTATGATCTCGGCACGCGATGGTGAGAGTACAGGCGAGGAAGGTTCCGACTCTGAGATGATCACAGCAGACGAACTCTCTAGTTTGGCAGATGACAACTTTAACTCCTCGGTAGTAGCGTTCAGTCTATTCATATTCTTGGCAATAGAAATGAATTTGTTCTTTGGTGGAGTATAATCTCCTGGTGAAGAAGGTGAAGAATAACTTGTATTATTATTATTGGTACCAGCCAGATCCTTACGAAGAATCGTAATGGATTGTGAGACATATCGCTTAGTCTCTGGTGGACTACCTGTTTGTTGAATTACCAAATTCGATTTATCCTTATTACTCGTTGATAACTCTAAACTTGATCCATGTTTACGTTGTGTTTGATTTAGATATGGATATTGTTGTTGTATTTGTTTTGATTGTTGTTGTTGTTGTTGCTGTTGTTGAGTTGGTATACTATCTGCACTTCCAGTTACCAACATATTTCTAATATTATTATTATTATCATTATTATCGTCATTGTTTGAAGAAGAAGTAGAAGTTGATGTTGTAGTATTATTATTGTTGTTGTTGTTGGCAGTCGATTTTAAAGGTGGAGATATAATGAATATAGGTGTATCTTCAACGGTTGAAGATGATCGTTTCATTCGTCTGAGAGTAGCCCATGAGAATATCTTTTCTTTTGAGGTTTCCAATGAATCATTACTATTACAATCATTTGATACATCCTTACCACTAATAAATTTACTATCTTTAAATTTGTTATAATTATTATTACTATTATTGTTATTGTTATTGATACTATTATTATTATTATTGGATGAAGAAGATGAAGAAGAAGGTGAAGGTGATTTCTTTGGTGTCGGTTCCTCCTGTGACATATGACGAAAGATGTTTGTAGGTTTCAATTCAAAGGTACTCTTTGACTGTTGTAGATGAGGTCTGGGTGAAGCTGGTTCTGTCACTGCGATAGACGACGACTTCTTTGATGAATCCGGTACACACTCGTCGTCTTTTGCCTTCTTTATCCAACTGGTATCATCGTTGAACTGTGGTGGTGGTACTGTTACACTCTTTTTCTGACTCTTTGACAATTGAATCGTTCTGGTACTCGGTGAGTAGTTGTGTTGATACTTTGAGGCGTACAACGATCCCTTAATAGGAGAATGTGTTAAATCTAATGATTTCCTTCTAATCGCTAAAGATGGTACAATAGGTATATTCTCTTTTTAAAATTTACAAAAAAAAAGGATTAGTAAGTTAAATCTTCACAATTTAAATTATAATCAGATGATACATACTTCTAATTGCTTCATTTATATAATAATAATACTTTCTTTCACTTGATGATATTTGTATCTCTTCATATTCGATATCATCTTTCTCTTTTTCCTTTTCTTTTGATTTCGATGCTTGTTTCGCTTCTTTCTCTCTTTGTTTGGCTTGCTCTTTTAACTCTTTCTCGTGTGATTTTAACTCTTTCTCTTGTGACTTTAGCTCTTTCTCACGTTCACGCTGTTCTTTTTTTTCCTCTTTCTCCTTCTCTTTCTTCTCTTCTTTCTCACCACGTTCTCTCTCCTTGTCTTTCTCTTTGGTGTGTTTGAATCGATTGCTTGTCAATGAACTCAATTTATCCAAAACAACTGTTTTCTTTGATTCAAACAATCTCTTTAATTCTTTTACATTTGAATGTCCTTTATTATTTAATTTTATATCATTATTATTATTATTATTATTATTATTATTATTATTATTATTATTATTATTATTATTATTATTATTATTATTATTATTACTATCTATATCACTACCACTACCACTTTTTAAATTTACATTTCCAATTCCTTCAACAACAACAGTTGATGAAATGATAGTTGTAGTTGTTGTCTCTGACATTTTATCTATAAATGTAAAACAAAACAAATGTAAATCACATGTGCATTGAAAAAAAATAAAAATAAAAAAAAAACAATCTCAAGTATTGATATAGATAGATTTAGATATATATTATATAAATAAAAGGTATTGTTTGTTTTTTAACTCTGACTACTTTCTTTTATCTCTCCCTCTACACTCTAGTAAAAAACAAAAATTATAATCCTTAATTTGGGTTGATTGTAATCATTGAAAAAAAAAAAAAATTAAAATCAAAAAAAATCAAAGAAAAAACCCATGTTAATAGGCAAATTCTAATAATAAATTTTAGTAGTGTGTGTTTAAGATTCATAAATCATGATGCAAAAAAAATTGATTAAAATTATAATTGATTGAATCAAAAAATTTATTTGATAAATATAAGTATTATTTTATTAGTACAAACTTAACCCAAACCATTGTCTAATTAAATACCCAAACCCATTCGAATAACACTAGTACTTTTAAAATATTTTTATGGTTTGTGTGTATGTTAATATATTGGTGGGAAAAATCATATGATTAGTTTAATTTACTGATTTTTTTATAAATTAGATAAAAAAAGAAAATTGGTTTATTTATTCGACAAGAATTGTTGTTTTATTTGTTATAACTTGTATTTACATATTTTAGTATGAAAAGTATAGATTTCTTGATTTAGACTATCAATTGGTCACCATTTATATATCGCATGTAGTCAATTATTTTCTTCAGATCTTGATAAACGGAATCGTCTTTGTTGTAGATATTAAAACTATCTTTTGCCATACATATCATTTGATCTCCTACTGACAGTTTATTTAGGCCACTAGGAAGTCTTAGAAAAGCATCCTTCAGGAATTCAAGATTTTCTTCAAATTTAATGTTCCATCGGTTTTTATGGTTGGTAGTAGGAATTGACTAATAGAGTATTTTCATTTGTTCTAAAAATCTCTGTTTTTGTATCTAACTGCTGAAAATCTATGGGAATGGAAGGCACAAGGGACGTCAAGTTGGAGTGGACGAAGAATACTATTTTTGGTAAGAGTTTGGTGATCTTTGTTAACCTTATAAAGTACTTAATATTTTTATTATTATTTAAATTCTATTTTAATAAAATTGTATTAATTAAATAAAATTTTATAGTTGTTTTAAAAATAAAAAATTGATGTGAATAAATTTAAACTGTTATTTTTTTTTTTTAAATGTTGTATGAATGTATTTACACCATCTGTTTTTAGTTAATACAACTTTTATTTATAGTGCTAATAAGAGAATATATGATCTATGACTACCATTAATACAATAATTTATTCCCTTTTGATGATCGATCTACTATTTATATAATCTTTTTTTTTGTTGACTTTCTACCTCCTTTTTTGGGTATTTAATATGAGTCTAATATGAGTTAAAAAAAAGGCATTACACCAGGGAATGTGATACATATTTAATACCCAAAAATCATGTTCATTTTGTACCCACACATAATTCAAAAACAAAAGTGGAATTTCGATCATTTTGTTACTTTTTTCTGTAGATAGATATTAATTGAATGTTAGAGATTTCATTAAATTTAAACTTTATAAACATTTTTTTAGTGTTTTTTTTTTTAAATAGAATAAATTGTATATTTTTCTGAAAAAAAGTAAATAATTAAAACAATGAATAATAATTAAAAAAAAAGAATAAAATTTTTATTTAAATAAATTTTCACCATTCTTTTCCTATAATCTATTAAATGTCAATTGTATAGAATGTCATCGGTCTAAGAGGATTAAAAACAATTGTTTAAAAGGAAAAAAAGGTATTTATATTATCATTTATTACTTATTAATATATAATATACTGTTTCAATTTTAAATATAATATTCCTTTCAATTAATTTATCTTTTCTAATTATTTATAATTCTGTTTAAAAATAATAATTTTATTAAAAACACTTTTATACCCAATTCCTTTTTTTACAATCAGATAAATTCTCCACAAACAATAATAAAGATTTTGTAGAAATAAAAAAACAAAAAACCACTTTACATTGAAATTTGGTATTTTCTGAAGTGATGAAGGAGTTCGAGATAACCATGTGCAGAACCTTTGATGGTCCAGATACGAAGCAATAGAGTATGTCCAAGATCTCAAAAACTTTGTAGATTTAGAAAAAAAATCAAAAAGAAGATCTAGATAATGTGGCCCAATATTTAAAAGAAAAATTTATTTAAATAAAAATTTCATTCATATTTTTAATGAATATCATTTAGTTGATGTTGATTTATTCAAACTGACTACATGAACTACTAATGATCAATCATTGCTGATGTTTTTTACAAATTTTCAACTTTTGATAAATATAATATATAAAAATCAAAATATAACAATATTTTAGAAAAATGAAAGATGTCTGTTTTCTGATCCGATTGTCCAAAACATTTTTAACAAAAAAAACATGTTTGCAATAAAAGTAAAAGTTAAAGTTTATTAAATGCAAAGATTTTTTAGCTGAGCTTTATTACCAGGCTTTGGAGTTTGTTTATTTAACAAATGTATAGGTTAGAGAGAATGTTTGTATGATGGTGCATATTAAAAAAAAATAGTATTTGAAAAACATCTATCTGATAGTGCGTTTTTTTCTTAAATAAACTTCATTTTATCAATTATATTTGCAAATAGTTCAAAAAGGAAGAGGATCATTCTTCTTTAATTCTCCTAAATTTTTAATTAATTTTAAATTAATTTTATTTTTAAAAATATAAATTTGACAACATTGTAATCTGGTTAATATTGATAATTATAATGGGAAAGGGAAAGAAATAAAAAAAGGTTTTTTTTTTAAGAATATTTGTAAAAAAGAATAATAAAAGTTAATAATTTTTTATTTGAATCTAATGAAATAAATATTTATTTATAATTTTTGTTTTTAATCTACCATATAAAAAATTTAAAACCAAACTCTTAATAATATAAAATTTAAGTTGAAAAAAAATTTTAACAAAAAAGTTAAAAATAAATTTGGTTAATCACAGTTAGAAGAGATTATTAGCATGTCAACGGTCGATATCATTTTTGATAAAAATAAAGATGGAATTGATAGAGGATTATATATTGAGGTTTCAGAGGAACCAATAGATTTTAAGGTTGGTGGTTACAATAGAGTTGAAGATGATAATGCAGGTGCCATTTCGACGTTCCTAGGTACCACCAGAAACAACTTCAAAGGCAAAAACGTTGAGAAACTAGAGTATGAAGCATATACACCAATGGCTGTAAAAGAGATTGCAAAGATATGCAGTCATCTATTTACAACTTATAATATATTACATATTGCTGTTTTACATAGGTATGTTGTTTTTGTTTTGTTTTGTTTAGTTTAGTTTAGTTTAATTTAGTTTAGTTTAGTTATTTAGTTAGTTAAAGTTAACATATCTATATCTTTAAATTAATAATCTTCAAAATATTCTAAAAAACAACAAAGAATTGGAACTGTACCGATAGGAGAAGCTAGTATTTTAATTGCAATTTCATCTGCGCATAGACATGATTCATTGACTGCCGTACAATATGCTATCGATACAATCAAAGCAACTGTACCGATTTGGAAGAAAGAGTATTACACTGACGGAACTATGTCTGTTTGGAAAGATAATTGTGAATCTTGTCATTATACAACAACAAAATCAACATTAAACAATGATGGACATGATCATCAGCATAGTGGTCACAATAAACATTAAAAAAAATAAATGTAAATATAAAATATAAGTAAATATAAACCAACTATTTAAGTTTGTTTTATTTTATATACTCGAGTTAACTTCTAGATTTCTACATACAATTGGTCACCATTTGTACTGCGTAAGTACTCAATTATACTTTACGATCTTTAAGATTTTAGCATCTTCTGACAATCTGTCAAGATCCCTAGGAACACAAATAAAATAATTCTTTACAAATTCGATATCATCTTTAAAACTATTTTTCTATCGCAATTCCAATTTGATAGAGTTCAAGATGACTATTGACAAATAATCATTCTTTATCTGCACTTCAAGATCTACTAGATAATTCACTTTGGTTTCTGGTCCAAGTAATTTTCTACAAACTGCTTTTTAAATTGATTAACAAATTTTCTCAAAAGATATCAAATATGGCAATCATAATCTTCCTCTCCGGTGAGTTATTATCGTCATCGTCTGAAATGCTATTGTTTTCCTCCTTCGACTGTGAATTGCTCTTAAATTTGTTCATTTCATCAATAAGTTCATTATTTTTCTTAATATAATAATCTATTTCTTTAATTAACTTATCTCTTTCCTCGATGAATTGTAGAAAATCGATTTCTGCTGATGCGAGAGATCGGAAACATAATGAGTCTGTTTTAATATAATATGATTGTTGAAATGTGTGTAGAATATATTTAATTGAATTGAAGGAAACAACAATAACTTAAATAGTTGATAATAATAGCCATTAACAAATAAAAGTGATAAAATTTATTAAATAAATTTGATTATATGGTACACAATTATTCAAAAACAAATATGTTTTTCATTGTACCACCAGAAACAACTTAAAAAGCTAAATTGTTTTGAGAAACTTGTAAAAGATAGAAATTGATATATATTCATCTATTTACAACGATTATAATATTCAATATTGTTATTTTGTATTAAAAAAATGTAAAATAATTAAATTATAAACAATTTTTAAGATTGATCATTTTTGATCTTATAACAAGCAAAAACTAAAGATCATTTGACTCTTTGCTTGATTGATTGATTGATCTAAAGAACTGGTGTGTGTTGATTTTAAAAGTCTATGATATTTTTTTTTTTGGAATAAATCAAACCAACCACAACCCTCAAAATAACACCAAAATTTTAAAAAAATTTGTCAAAAGTAAAAAAAAGTTAAATTTTTTTAAACTCTTTTTTGTTATTTTTATTTTTTACACTCAAGATAAAAAAGATATTAAACAATCTTTAGGTTTATTTGTTTTAATACTTTCAATATCAACAAAAGAAAAAGAAAGAAAATCAAATAAAATAAAATAAATAGTAAAATAACTTATTTATTTATTTTAATGTAATAATAGTAGTATAAATAACAAATATATTTAAAAAGATAAAATACATAACTATAATAGTTAGTATTTATACAAAAAAGAAAAGAAAGGAAATAAAGTAGATTAGATAATAGATAAAAAAAAACAAAGAGAGAAAATAAAAGAATTTTTTTTTTTTTTTTAGTGTGTTGTTGTAAATTATAAAAAATAATAATAATAATATGGATGCAAGATTAGATGTCAATGCTCTGGGCATTACATCAACTCTTATATCTAGATTGTTTGATAATCTATCGGTTTCGATTGACACTACGCTGCAATCGATCAACGATGCATCGCAACAGCAACAGGCAACCGCTGCAGCTGCCGGTATTTCAAGTAGTCAGTCACTGAGGATGTCACGAGGAAACACTCTGCTTAGACGAGTTACAAACATCAATAACAGTGGCAGTGGAAGTGGCAGTGGCGGTGCCGCGATTGGCACGATCGCTTCCTCTACCAACAAGATGCTCAATGCACTCTCCGATCCAGGCGGCGAAAAAGAGTGGACAAACTTTGCGAGATCGTTCTGGTTCTATCATCCTTCGTTGATGCTCATCTCTGAATCCTCAAAGAATTGCAAGTCATCTGCATTGCGGCTACTTCTCGAGTTGCTGCCTCGGCACATTCAACAACTAGCCCCGCAATCGGGACCAATTACCGGTGGTTCCATCACCTTTGGTATGGGATCGCCACCAGCCACCTCACCCATTCTCGCCGCACTTAATCCAAATGGAAGTGTAGGTCGATCATCATCAAACCCAAATCAACAACAACAACAGCATTTCAATATTAGCAATAACAGTGGTAGTGGGAGTAACAGCAGTAACAATAATAGTAATAGTAATAACTTATTAAATGTTAATAATAGCGGTAATAATATAAATAATAATAATAATAATATCAGTGGTAGCGGCAATAGTAATAATACAAGTCCTACTTCAATTGGATATGGAGTTGTTTCGACGTCGTTAGTGTCGATTCTCTCGTCGTCGTCGAGTTCGCAAACCAAGTTGTTTAGCTTCGAGTCGTTCCTCAGTTCGATCACTTGCAGTATCTATCAGAACGATCTCAAATATCTCGATTTGATAGAGTCGACTGTCGAGATTGTGGTGGCCGACATCATAACACAGATACTCGGTAGTTCACCGGCATCGTCCATAAACGATCAACTAATGAACCGACTTCGTGATTTGGCATTCTACTACTTCAAACCAATCGCACCACGCTCACTCAACGTAACAACATGGATTGCACTCAGACTATCGATTGCAGATCAATGGTCATTAATTTTAGGTCAACTTTCACGTCTATCGTAAGTGTTTAATAATACAAATCAAATACAAATACAATCTAACCTAATAACTCTTTTTTTTTTTCTTAATGAAATAGTTTAACACCAATTTATATGAGTTTAAATAAGGTTATAGGTACTAATCCATCTGAAGAATTAATACCAACATTTAAAGGAATTAGATGGTTATCTCTGAATGTAAGTTAAAGAAAAGAAGATTAAAAGATGTAATATATAATTCTAACTTTTAATTGTTTTGTTTTGTTTTGTTTCGTTTTGTATATAGATGTCAGATAATGAAAGAATGAATGAAGTTGAGAAATTGTTGGGTCAAATGTTATATTGGTTGGAAGGAAACAAAAAGAATAATTTGCGATTGGCACAGTTGGAAGCGTTGGATGGAATGTTGTTGTCGATGTCTGATTTTACAATGTCGACTGGCATTGTCGATAAGATGAAAGCGGTGTATAAGCGTGCCGAAAAGATGCTGAAACACGACGATTTCGAGGAGAAGTCGCTAAAGTTGATGACTACCATTCTGACGCGTGGTCCCAATTCGATATTCGACGACGAGTACGACGCTGTCCTGAAGCGACTCTGGAAGACGCTGTCCGTGCAAAAGAAGCGTGATTTCTCATTGGAGTGTATCTTGCGGTTGTTGCAAGGCAAGTTTGTACCGCCACGAAAAATCATTGGACTGCAGGCGAGTCTGTCGGCCAACTCTGATTCGCCGGGCTCGTCGATTGCCGCGCAGCTTCAGCAGCGTATGGACCGTGTCTACGAGAACAGCGGCAGCTATCTCTACGCTGGACTGGCCAACAATCGCGCCAAGATGATTCCGCGACTCCACGACATCATCGCCACACTCTACGGCAAGAAGCAAAACATACCGCGTGTCCTAGAGTGTATCGACTTGCTCACAGCCATCACCGTTCACATCTCTGTTCACTCACTCAAGCTACTCACCGACACTGTTCTACCGTGTCTGTTCTCCAACCAATCGTTGTTGCTACATGTAATAGCGCTGCGAACTCTCTCGATTATCCTGGATCCCTCCGATGTCTTTTGGAATACAAGTCCGTCGGCCAATATAAATACTCGTGCCATCTCCAACGATATCATCTACGTCAAGAAGGAAGAGATCCAACTGACATTCGAAACATTCCTCACCAAATCATTCAAGTACTGCGAAGAACAATCCGGTGGTGACAACGCACCGACCGCTGCCGATCCACTGCCAATATCCACCCAATTCGAACCGACCATCTCGCTCTACTCGCTCATCTCTGACCAAACATCAGTCCACAAATTCGAATCGGAATCAACCGTAGAAGCAATCAAACGTTGGTACGATGTCTGTACCAAATCCACTGAACAAAGAGAACGTGAATTCTCTGATCAATATAGATCAAATGTAAGTAATAACTAGTTATTACATTGAAATTGAATAATCAATCAACTAATTATCTCGAATATTTTTATAGTCAATTAGTTTAATAAGTAAAGTGTATCAATGGGAAAGTTCAAATTCATTACCAGGACCAGCATTAGAACCTTATCCATTGAAGAAAAAGACACCAAAGAGAAGAACTATCAATCCAGAGTTGTTAGAGTTGTTTAAGGAAACGATTCGTTGTATTACTTTTATGCCAAAGAACTTCTTGGCACATAGTACTTTGCACAAGTTGGTGTTGCACGAAGAGGATGAAATCGCTATGGCTGCATCACATGCCATTCAGGTGATTATGTGTGATCATCCAGAGCTGAGAACATCTCTCGTTCAGGGATACACCTCATTGATTCTCCAATATGTTGGAAAAGACCATGTTGCTTTACAAACACTACTCTCACAGCTGTTGGGTCTGATCGATCTCTGGAATGAACGATCGTTCATTGAGTCACGTCATTCCTCTGTGCCACTGGACTCTTCTTTCTACCCACCAAAGATGTTGGAGACAGAGATTGAAGCGTTGGGTCTTGTGCATATGACATCACCGAATCCACAGACACGTATGATTGCATTGCAATTGGTTCGATCGATCTCTGGTATTCGTAACACTGAGATTACAAACACTCAGATCGCCAGTGTCTTACACAACAGTTGGCGAACTATAATTCAGCGTGCCAGACACCAATTGCTACTCGATAATTCCTGTGGTGTTGACAAGGAGATTAAGCTTGGACCAAACGACGATCTTCCAACGATTGAGGAATTGGCATACAGTACTCACGATCGACTTTGGGCATTTACTCTTTGTGAGATAGGACGTGCTGCTGTCGAGCAAGACTGCGTGCGTACACTCTCGAAAACTCGTGGTATCCTGTTGGGTATTCTCTCGTCTATGCCCGCACCAACCATCGAGCAGACAACCGACGAAGCCAAGCGACATGCCTCCTACACTCAGAGATACCTGTGGATCAATTGTCACTCACTGATGTTCTCGATATCCGGAATCAGCTCGGAATATCCACTGAAGCCGCCAGCCGGAGTCGATCCACTGGTCGACGAAATGATCAATTTCGAACACGCTCTTCAAGCCAAGATTACCAATTATCTACCGAGTTTCTGGGCTGGACTTCTCTCTGACGTTGGATGGATGCGTGAGAAACTCTCGTTTATTTGTGGACTGCTGCATTGGCGTCTGTTGCCGTGTGTCATCGACTCACTCAATCGATGGTGGACAGCCAACAAGATGAATAAAAAGTTGGCAAGAGTGCGTGTCGATCTCTCTAATATCTTTAGACGTATCTCACAGCACAGGAACTTTGGTCGTGCACTTGCCGAGTCGAACGACTTGATTCAGGTGTTTGTGCAGTTCATCCAGCAGATCGAACCGATCTTTGGTGATGCCACTAAACTTCCATCGTTGGCACACTCTAGCTATTTCGCTGACAATGCAGTGGTTGTACATAACTTTTGTAATGCACTGTACACACCGACACCGTGTGCACTCGAGGACCGATTCGCAAGTCACTCGTCTCAAGTATCCGTTCGATTCCATGGACCGTAGGTGAACGTTACAAAACATTCAGAACCATATTGCAGTGGAGTGGACATCCACTGGTTGCTCAATCTAGAATGCAGCTCGAGGGTATGGAACTGAATAAGCGGTTGGCCAAGAAAGACTCGATTGCGCGTGAAGAGGAGCGTGCCAAGATCAACGCTGAACTGACAAAGATCCGTACTTGTTCGCGTCTGGCTGCCGAAGCAATTCTCAGACTTGGAACATTGTTTGAGGAGGGACATCTCCAAGACGATGTTATGTCATGGGTAATCGATTCCGAATTGAAAGGCAATCGTATTCTCCGATGGGTGTTATCCTATCACTTTGACGAAACCTATGGATTCTTCCTCAACAAGTCGTATGCCTCTATCGACAATCCATCGGAATCCGTTCTCTATCTACATTCCATCTATGACCAATACTTGCCTATTCCCGCACCGAATCCACCAACTCTTGGTATTAGCGAGGATATCTATCAATATTACTATGAAAAGGCGTTGGAGGAACGTGCTCAAGAACAACTGGAAAACGAACCGGTAACAGCGATGGATCGTAACTTTGCCAGAAGACTTACAGAGATTGGAGCTTCTCTCTTATATTTATCGTGTCTCAATTTGCTGCATCCTGCATTCCTGGCACGTATTCGTTCGTTTGACTTGATTGCCCGTCTCTCTCCGAATGCATTTGGTTTGCTTCTTGAGGAAGATGTTGCTGTGCGTGCTGCTCTCCTTCCGAAGCGTCAGTCGTTCGCGTCGAGAATCACACCGACCTGCAAGCAGAATGCAATCGAAGTGTCAGAGATTGCATCGGAATCCTGTGCCGCTTGGACAGAACGTTTCTTTGAAGAGGCATTCACACGTTACACTCAGTTGTCTGTTGCCAACCGACGTTGGACAGTGCAACTGCTACTGCCATGGTGTAAGAATGTCTCGCTTTCCAACACCTCTGAGAATGGACGTCTCATGAGAAACACCCCAGGTCGCTTCTTGATGGCTATCTTCAAGATGACCGAGCTACTCCAAGAGAGCATTCCAGACTCAAAGAACTCTGAGATCAGTCAGGAACTGATCGATCTTTGGTTGGCACTGGCACGTCGTGAACCTGGTAACCTGTCGACCATTGTCAACTTTTTGATAAAGAAGGGTGTCGCCACCAAGGAATCAATGAGAATCTGCAAGTTGCTACTTCTCCAGATCTACAGATTGAATCCAAATGCAACACTGGAACCATTGGTATTCCCATTGAGTTATGCAGGTGTTGTTGCCGAACGTCGCTCGGAATCGATCGCAGAGATGACACCTCCACCCAACGGAACCAACGCAAACGCCGACGACAAAAAGACAGCGAAAGCACAATCCTCAAAGATTCGTGAGGTCTGTGTAAAGTTTATCAGTGACTTGATCTCTGACAACTTGAGACCAATCATTCCACATCTTCATATTCTATTCAACTACTCGCTATTGAGAATCGACTCTACAACCGAGGGTGAAACCCTTGTAAAGATGATCAATGTTCTACTGTCGGCCATTAGAAACAGTATGTATGCACAGATGTCACAGGAACCTGAGGAGCAGAGATACCACTTCCGTGCGGTACTTAAATCGATTGACACTATCGTCACCAGCTTGCGACTCCCAACATTCCAAATCAAATTCAATTTCCACGATGGAAAGAAGGAAACCGATATGATTGGATTGATCGATGGTAACTCCTCAGGCAACTCGACCAAGAAGATGAAAAAGAAAGGTGCCAACCCAACTCTTTTGTCGACTTCGGCACACATCCCAGTGCCAAAAGGTGGAAGATCTCCTGGAAGCGGATCACCTCTACTCGATGGCAGTAAAGACGATGTCATTGAGCATCGAAATGAGATGATCAAGTGGTGCAACGGTTACATCTATGTAGAGGAGCTTATCACTGTGCTCTGCAAGTACTGTGAACTCTCGACACCCTCCACAATCGACAAATGGGAGGCGGAATCGCTGTTGTGGATCAAGAACTACAAAGATCCAAGAATCTCAATCAAAGCTTGTCAGACCTATCGTTCAATCATCTATTGTCAACAACAACTGCCAGATAGCTTGAAAGATGCTTCAAAGACTTCAACTCTTAAACGTCAACGTTCTCGTTGGACATCGAGTGTGGAGCATCTCGTTGGTTTGCTGCACGATTGGACCGAGGGATTGGATGCTTTCATCCTTCGTATCATCGCTGCCACATCGGACGGTAGCAGCAACCGCAGTGGATTCGGATCGACTTTCAACAAGCAACTGCAAGCTGCACACGACCAGCCCGACGCCTACAACCGCACACTCTGCGTTGAGCTACTGCTAGCGCTGAAACAGATTGTCCAGTCACAAAACATTGATGAGTTGTCACTCTCCTCGATATTCTGGAGTGCTGCTGCCTATTTGCCTGCGCAACACCGTTACTATGAGCCACTCTACGAGACTGCTCTCGATCTTCTTCACCTCTTGGTAGTCGAACAAAAGATCTTTGAAAGTGCACAGTCTTCTGTTTATCAAGAGATTCTTCGTCGTGCCAAAGAGATTTCAATTCCACGTGGAATCCAATATCATCTCTTCAAGGGTATTCTCACACCTCTAACAGAGGAACTTGCCAGTCCATTGATTATTTCGTATTTCTCTATACCGGATAATCAGTTGGTCGACCCAATTGGTGCACCATCGCGCTATCTCCTTCCGGTGCTTGCTCTCACTCCTTGGTTGCACAACAAGATTCTCACATCAAAGTCATCGATTGTCTACAAGGAACAAAAGGTCATTGCCGATAAGATCTCTCTTGATCTTGCTGAGCTTTTGTTGGATCGTAAACGTTTGCCACAAGCGGGTAACCTCTCTGAGATTTTCAGTAAATACTCTCGTGGTGAATATAATTCTAATCCCGATGAATTCTTGGTGTCTGTAGTCGAATCGATTCGCTCTGTTTGTATTCCAGAGTTTGCCAATCATTGTGCAGATCTCATGGGTAACATGCTTGACAATTCACAGCTACTGAGCAACTCGATCCTAAAGACAGTTAACCTACTGCTAAAGAATGCACCACTCAATGTCATCCCAATGTTTAAGAACATAATAAAGATGGCATGCGAAGTTGGTTCTGCTTCACCGATTGCCGGTGACTTTATTCACTTGGTTACATCCATCATGAAGACCGAGGTGATCACTGCAAGCAATTTGCCACCGATGTTGATTCCATTCGACAAGACACCTTCAGAGATTATCAAACAGCTCGTACCAACAAAGGCACCGGAGAACGGTAACCAGAAACGTGGTCGCGGTCATCGTAGAAATAAATCGGGTATCACCGACCATCCATCACTCAAAGAGAAGGCTGCCAATGAGAAGAAGAACATGCCAGTTGCACCACCGAAATTCTCCAATGTATTCAATCAGCATCCAACCGCAGCAACTGGACTTCCACAACAACAGCAGCAGCAGCAACAACACGCTCAACATCATCAACAAGCTCAACACGCTCAACTACAACAGCAGCAACAAGCACATCACCAAGCAGTTCAAGAAGTAATCGCTGGTAACTCCCCATCGAAAGGCGAACTTCCAGATACATTGTCTGAGGAGTATGACTTTGAGTTTGGTGATGACGATGAATTGAAAGAAGTCGACGATATCATTCACGAATCACTCACCATATCAATGCAAAAATCATTGTGGCGAACCTCTGATGAATACAATGTCTATCTCGACGACATTGAAACTGACTTGACCGACGGCCTCGATGATTTGAAGATTGGCTTGGACGGTGTCGATACCGTTTCACTTCTTAGCAAGTTGAATCCAACTCAATCGCTATTGAATATCAATATTCCAGCTAGTTTAGCTCAGTCTCAAGTCGGAAACCTAGGCAAATCGATACTCAATAACAATACACATGCCTCCATTTCAAAGTCGTCAAGTAGATCCAACGAGAAACTGGTAGAAGAATCAAACAATAATACAGGTAAATCGACTGTCAAACAACAACCACATAACAATAGCAACAACAATAACAACACTGCTACCAGCCACCATCCTCAACCAGATGTCTCAATCGATAGTCTACGTGAATTGTTAATGACAACCGATGACGGACCTTCGGTTATTACTGAATCCTATCAAATCGATCAACTACTCTCAAACTTGAAGGATCTAGATCAATCAATTGATTTCGATAAGTTGGATGTTGATTCTATAGACTTTAATGAATCATTCCTCACTGTTTCTACAGCCAATCCTTCTCAGAAACTAGCTCAATCCGTTCAAGCTCAGCCATCTGCTCAGCTCGATGGTATAAGAAGTATCTTGGCCGATCCAAAACGAAGACGTGCATTCCTTGACTATCTAAAGAAACGACACTTCCAGCGTGCCGTAAACGATGTTTGCTTTGTTGAAGTCGTTCAAGACTTTAAGACCGATGTATCAAGTGATGGCACTGGTGAGTTGGGTGGTGATGGACTTGCCTATCTGATGCGTCATATCGTTGAAGGTTTCGTTTTAGAAAATGCACGTCATTCCATTTCAATCACTGAAACAGTAAGACAAGATGTAATCGACTCCTATCAAGTATTCGTCACAAACAACAACATGGACCCAACCATATTCGATGTAGCATTTGAAATGGTCATTGATGGATTAAAACCAATTTTAGATGAATTCCTGAAATCTCAATGATATTGTAAATAAAATAAAATATTAAAAAAAAATAAAATGATCATATATAAGTTAATTTGTTTGATTCCATCGAAAAACTTCTTAATTATAAAATTTGACAAAAAATAATTATGATTTTTATTTAATTTTTAATTTAATTTTTTAGGAACAGTCAAAAGATATTGAGGATTGAATTGATTTTAATTGATAGATTTGTTTCTTATTTATTTTTAAAAAGTTCATCAGTTTCTTTCATTGTTGTTCTTTATTTTTTGTGAAATGTTGTTTTATTTTCTCAAAAAGAATTAATACTACAAGAACTGGAAAACTTAAACATTTAAAGATATCCATGAATTTACTTAATTTTAATTATTTTTTAGTTATTTTATAGTTTGGTGAAATTTTTTTAGTAGTTTTTCTATTATTAATTTTTATAAGTATAATATTAAATTTTCTTCTTTAATAATATATAATAAATATTGTTTTATCTATAAGATGATAAACACAAATAAAACCCCAATACATTAAAAATTAAAAAGTCAGAATATTAAAAACCAAGATAAATATGTAATTTAAAAAAATATCAAAAAGATCTCCAATATCTAATGTATTGATATCAAATTCCTTGTATTTTTGAAAATTCCTTCTTTTCAAAATTAAAGAACAAAACATAAAAAGGAGTGATATTTTCTGTTTCGTGCAAAGATTCTTAGTTAAACAGAAAAGTGATTCGAAAAATCAGCAAAAAAAGTTAATTTTGATTATCAAACATATTAGAAACAAATTTGTTAATAAACACAAAAAAATTTTTTGTTGGTCAAACTACAAAATGAACTTTAGGATCACTTTTATTCTATTATTATCTATTAAAATCTCTCTAGTGAGAAGTATCGATGTTAGTTTTTATGTGTATCCAACATCAACTAATACATCCGTTGTATGTGGTTCTGAAAATAGTGTAACTTCTGCTTGTCCAACCATTCAAGCAGCAATAACTTCTTTCATTACACAATACAATGATACTCAGATGGTACAGCAATACAACATTCTTTTGGCAGGTGGAACCTATACCTCAGATGGCAACAATAAATTGTGGATTGGAACTTCACAACTCACAATTGCACCGATCGATACAACTCAAACCGTAGTAATAGATCTAGGTCAAAAGTACTTTATGAATGCTTTGGAATCTCCGTCTGCCACTAGAAACACAACTCTTTCGTTAACATTATCAAATCTCAAGTTTATCAATGGCTATGGTCCAGGAAGTTTGATCTATTCAGTCTCGAATATAGCTGATAGCAATATCACCCTCAATCAGTGTCAACTCGATAGCTTTTCATCACCGCTGACTGGTGGTGTTTTCAAATCTATCGCACAGTCACTCAGACCAAGAAATAGATTCATTATTTCTCAAAGTAACTTTACCAATATATCTGGAGTCAAAGCCATTTTGATAACTGCTGACTCTGATGTGGAGATTACCATTGATCGATCGCAAATCACCAACTCACAAGCCAGTGGAGGTGGTATGATAGAAACATTCTATGGTGCTCTAGACATTTCGAATAGTTTGTTTTTCAATAACAGCGTTGGAAATCACATCTTTAGTGTAAACACATTGGATCAAGATGGCAGCGTTACCAACTGCAGATTCTTGAACAACAGTCTTTCACTGAATGACAACTCTGGATTGTTCACATTGATTGACTCTACCGTTACTTTTGACAGCTGTGAATTCACAAACAACACTGGTGGTTCGATACTTAATATTATTCGTGAAATTAAAGACTACAAGACACAAACCTATATCAATAACAACAAATTCATAAGAAACACCGGTGCTCTAAACGGCGGAGTAATAAACCTCGGTGAACTCACCACTCTTTATGTAAATGGAACAGTTTTTCAAGAGAATTCCGCAACAGAGAAAGGTGGTGCTATTTTCGCAGAGGAAGCATTGTTGGTATCGATTAAAAGCTCGTCATTCATCGACAACCAGGCAACAACAGATGGTAGATCTATCTATACCGACGATACAGTTGTAATGAACATATCAAAAACAGAATTCAAAGGTTTGGGAAATGAAATCTATTGTGATGGTGGTGGATTTTCATCTCTAGTGCTCAATAATATCACCTATGTCAATAATTTGGTTGATTGTGCTGGAGAAGGATGCACTATTCAAGGTGATTACAACAATAATAATTGCTCAAAGAAATCTGGTAACAAGAGAATTGGAGAAATCATAGGAATAGTCATTGGTGTAGTTTTTGGTTTAATTATCATTGGTGTAGTGGTTTACTTGATTTATAAAAGAAATCAGAGTAGAAAGCAATATTTACCAATGAGCTGAGAAAGATTTCGAAATCTTCAAGCAATAATTAATAAACTTATATATATTTATGAATCTTAACACCATCTTTTTAGAATTAAACTGTAAACTAAAAAAATTTAAAATTTTTATAATTTTAAGACAAAGATACAATGACAGAATCTTAAGAATATATTCTTTTATTTGTTTGTTAACTGTGTTGCGTATTTCAATATTCGGTGTTTTTATGATGTATTTATGTACAAAATGATTGTTATAATTCACCAAAATGGGTGGTATTGGTGATTGATCTAGTTGGAGGAAATTGAATTCGATACCAAACTAGATTTGAAGTTGTGTGTTAAAATTATAAAGTTTGGGATTGTTTTCATTTCTCTTTGAAATTCTTTGGCATTGAGAAATGAGAGAACAAAGGACTTCCATAAACTTTACGGTCAAGTGTTTTAGGTAGGATACGACGACGAGCATTGGTAAACCAGTTATTGATTTGACTGAATGAAAGTGAAGTGGCATTGGCAAGCATAGCCTTCTCGTCCTCAGTTGGATAGGGATGCATGTTGTGCTCGAACAGCCAACTCTTTAGAATTGAAGTGGATTCTCCTGGCAACTTTCCTCTCTTTCTCTTTTTGGTACCATTACCCTCTTCGCTCTCACTGGAGCTGGAATGTAAATTATTATTATTAAAATCATTATTATTATTATTATTATTGTTGTTGTTGTTGTTGTTGTGAACTGCTGTGGTTGTTGTGGTTGTTGTGCTATTGGTATTTAAACTATTAATTGAATGATTGCTATTATAAACTAATGTATTGTTATTTTTGTTGGTATTTGAACTATTATTATTGTTATTATTATTATTATTATTATTATTACGATCACTCTCATTGATAAAATTGAATTTCATGGCGTTGTTGTTGTTGTTGTTGTTGGAGGGCGGCTTGGTATGTTCACGCTTTTGCTTCTTTTGACTGTTGATTCTCTCTTTTTCTCTTTCCATGGAGAGATGTGGAGGTGTGTTGCTTGGTGTCGCTTGGTTACTAGAGCTTACCAACTGGGGATGGTCGTTCAACTTGAGAAGTGCCTCAGTTGCCCAATCTTCCTTTGGGGGATCAGTAGGAGTGGCTTTGACTACTAGCTTATTGTTCTTTTGATACTTTGGGTGTGGTGTTTTATTATTATCTTCCAGATCACTACTGGTATTATAGTCGGATGACTCCATATCATCGAATCTATTAAACTGTTGTTGGTCATTATTATTTGAAATGATAGAACTGATTCTACCTTTTGATTCACTATTACTATTATTATTATTATTATTATGAATATGATTCTTGTGATTGTTATGACTATTGTGATGTAGTTGTTGATCTGATGATGAAGCTCTTGGACATAACTTTTCACTTAATTCACCAATCAGAAAATCTTTTTCTTGGACTAATTGTTGAATACTACTACATGCTACGTTAATACTGTTTTTAAGGTTGGAAACTAAAGTTGTAAATATTTTATAATCTATTTTTAAAAAAATTAATACAATGAATGGTGATGGTTTTTTTAATTATAATTATTTATAAATATTTACCAATAATATTTCTGGAAGGTGTTTCCTTATTTACTTTCATTTCAATTTCCATTAGGATATTGAAAATTGGCTCAAAACTATTTGATACATCACAAGGATTGTTATGAATCAATGGAGACGGCAGAGGTGACTGCGATGGGGATGGTGTTGAGACTGGAGATGTCGAAAATTGATTAAAATATGAAGGATTATAGCCACCGAAAGGTATATTGTGTTGTTGATGGCTGTTGTTTGTAGAGAGTGTTGATTGGTGTTGGTGGTGATTGGATATTTCGTGTGATTTTATGTGAGCATTGTTGTTGTGATGATGTGAAAAATGTGGATTGGTGTTTAATATATTATTTTGTGCCGGAAATTGTTGGAATGGTGGTAAAACAGTAGAGCTATCGTAGGATGGTGGAGATGCAAATCGAGTACGGACATTATCGTAGAACTGGGAATTCTCCATCTCGCGAGTTGGTGAGACACTACTTTGATTTACATTATTATTATCGAGCAGCGATGAAATTGGTGACAATGACTTTGATTGAGAGTTATTATTTCTGGTTGACATTTTTAAGATTTTTGTTGATCAAGAGGAGGAAATAAATTAATTTAATGTTGTTATGTTTTGTTTGTTAAAATAAATAATATTTTGATAGTGAAAAATAAAACTTTTAAGAAGAGGATGGTGTAAAATGTTAAAAGAAAAAAAATATATAAGGTCGATTTGGCAAAGATGATTAAGAGAACCTCAGGTTGTAACTTGTTTCTTGGGCTATTGGATGAGATGGGACGAAAGAAAAAAAAAAAAAAAAAAAAAGAAAAAATTAGAAAATGTAAATTAAAAAAAAGAGATTTAAGAGATTAAAATAAAAAAGTTATTAGAATAACTGGAGGGAGTACCGGATTTATATTGATCAGTATAATATACCAGAAAAATAAATTTTGTAGTTTAGTAGATTAATGGAAAAAAATATATATTTAATGTCAAAGATTGGGATTGAATGATTATTTAAATATGTGAATGCAAAATTGGATTATTAAATTTTTTTTGTAAATGGATTGAGGTAAAATGATGATCGACAATAGTATTAGATGGATGTTGTTATTGCTTTTGTTGGTTGTGATGTTGTTGTTGTTGTTGTTATTTCCGTTGCCTTTGAGGTGATGGAGTGATGTTTGATATGAAAGCAGTATTATATTTATACTTTTTTCAAACTACATCATCAATCAGAAAAATAATTAAAATTTTAATTAAAATATATATTTCTGAATATTATAATAATTGTTGCCAATGAATTGATAAGGTGATATATAAATTTAATGTGAACAAACACTGTAGTATAGGTATTGAAATGAATATAATAGATATATGGAGGCAAAAGTTTGATGTATATCGACTTTTTAATGTATTCAATCAATGTAATAGAAATTAGACTATTATGAAGTGTGAATGAAAGATGTGGTTCTGGTGTTTTGATGTTATAAATCAAACATATAATATATTTAGTTTGTGTTTTAAAACTCATCACACTAATATTTGAAATGGAGGTTGTCATTGGATTGGAGGATTGAGAAGGTGGGGTGAATGATAGAATTCTGAATCTGATGTTGAAAGCAATGACAAAACAAAAAAATTATTTATAAAGTGTTGTTGATTGAACATATGAGTTGTTCAATCAACTTGAGTGTTGAGAGGGATGAGGAGGAAGTGAATACTTTTACTTATGTGACATTTACTTTCTTTCTTTATTTCAATAAGTTTAAAGTAATAACACTTGTGTATGTATATAAAAGTGTGTGAGTACAGTTCACCACCACACTACTGTCATACCCATCTAATACCAAACCAACTTTATACATATATATAATTTTATTCAGTCCAGTCACTCTCTAACCTCAATCATTCATTTTTCTTTTTCATTTTCGTTCAGTATGTTTGTCAACAACAACAACACATGTGTTTATAGTTATCAAAATCAATATGGAGTGAAATATTTAACAATATTAGAAACTATGATGGTTTGAGTTGTGGTGAGTATTAAATTGAATGGTGGCAATGTTAGATTTAATATAAAACACAAAATTTACACTGTGAGCTTTGAATGAATTTTAAATTTGGATTATAAGTAAATGCATGCACTTTTATAACAACTGCTCTTTAAAATCAATTGAAACAAAAAAAAAATGAAGTGTAATGAAATGAAATGAAATGAAATCAAACACACTCTCTGAATAATGGCGATGTAATGTTGATTTCTATACATTTTTTTTAATCTATCCATTCTTATACTTTGTTGTTGGAAGCAGTGTGCTGATGGGGGTGATCACTATTTTGACATCAACACATACCCCCACAATATAAACGTATGAGATCAACAGCAAACACGAACACTAGATTATAATATATTTCAAAAATGAATATAATAATCATAGACATACGTAAGCCTTACTGCTGTCACTCTTTGTTGAGCTTTCTAACTAAATACTCAAAACAAAAAAAAAAAAAACGCATCGAAAACAAAAGAACAGATATATACTTTTATACTTTGTTTACTTAGATTTATCAATATTAAATATTGTTGTTATTGCTATTTATTAATAACATGTTGGTATGTTTGTTATTACTTTTTACAAAATTAAAAAAATGAGTTATTTAGGATACTTGTGAATTTTGAGTTGTGGGTGGTGTGTTTCTGATTAGATTATCGAAATGTTATAGTAGTGTTGTTTTGATTGTTTTTGGTGTGGTGTTGTTTAAAATTGGAGTATTACTATGAAATAAATATGACAATAGGTATATAATTATTTTATTTTTGGTTTAACACATTTAATGTATGTTAAATGTTAAGAGTACCATTTATGGAATGTTAAAAATTATTTTAAATTGCTCTATCATCAGTCTTTTCAATATCCAAGCGTTGATATGGTTTGACTAAAGATATTACTTTTTGATCAATCAAATTAGTGAAACTTGATTGTCGATTTCATTCATCTATAATAACAACATATAGCTCTTATTAAACAAGATCTGCTGCTCTGAACAAGGTAACAAATAAGTAAGCTTGTTCTTGATGATGATGGTACGACTAATTTGGATGTGCATCTTCCAGTATTGGGCACATTGATTTTAAATTTAATTTATATACAACATATATCAAAAATAAAGAGTATTGGGATGATTAACATTTTAAAAAAAATAAAAATAAAAAAGGAAATGTAAAAAGAAGTCATTAAAAAAGATGAAATTAAAAAAATAATGATGGGTAGAGATATCAAAATGAGTATGAATATGAAATAAATTACAAGTTCTCTGAATGCCACAATATAATATTATTGCTATTGTTTTTATGATGATTGTTTATACTGTTGCTTCTTACCTTTAATATGTTTGATGAATCTGCTCTTAAAAAAAGTCAAGTAAAGTTAATTTATCCAAAAAGTGGAAAAAAGGTGATTAAATCATTATTTTGTTGGAGTATAATGATAGAATTTCTAGTGACTGTCAAAATTTATCTTTATTTTATCTACTTTCAAAAAACTGTAAAACCTTCTTTTTTTTTTTTTGATATGTATTTGTATATAAATGAATTAATTAGTTGATTTGATCTATTTTTTAGAATATTGTTGTTGATGTTACGACAAACTGTATTATTATTTGACCAGTGTTTATTTTAAGTATAGATATTTGAAAAAAAAAAAAAACAAAAAAAAAGTGAATGAATTTTAATTTCTATTAGGAAAATGTATTGATTGATTGACAGGTGAATGGTGAGTGAAAGAGGGTTGCTGTTGGGTGCTGACGATGGTGGTCTAAAATTGTTAATAATAGTTATTACGATTTATGTTTGATTGATAGGTAAAGTGTCAAAGCTGTAGGGTTAGAAGTGCTGGTTGTTTGAAAGAGAGACGACAGATGTCTTGTGTCAGTTTTGTGGAAAAAAAAAACAATATCTATAAAACAGAACAGTGAATAGGGGAAAAGAGACAAAACAAAGAAACAAAAGGTTGTGTGTTTGTTTTTATGTTTTAGGTGTAAATATTTTGAGACTTGTCAAAAAACAACAGAATAAAAATTGACACTTTGTGATTGATATGTTTGTAAGAATTTTTGCTTTTGTCTGCACCTTTTTAGCACTACTTTATTGATAATAATGCCACCAAATGCCACACTTGATTGATGGAGTCTCTCCAATAACCACCACACAACACACCATTTTCTGATTCTCATCCAAATAAACAATCAAAACACATATCATTAACATGTTGCTTGTGGGGCTAAAAAAAACTGATCCATAGATAGCAATATCCAATGCATTGAAACAACAAGAGTTGAAGGTTGTCAAAGACAGAGATAGTGTGTGGATGATTCACAATAATCAATCATTTCAAGACTTTCAGACTCTGTTGGTCAGATTGATTTTTTGTTTTGCATGACATATCAAACAATAAATAAACTTGAATGGAAAAAAAAATAAAAAAACAAGAGGTCTGAAAGTCAGCGAAAATCAAATTACAAAAAACCTTAAAAAAAGGTGACCACACATTATTTTTACAATCTATCAAAAAATTACCCCACCAGCAAACGTCGATTGAAAATAAATGATGACAATTGTAAATAAAAACAAAAAAATTTAAAAAAAAAAAACCATTAATTTTGTTTTAGAAAATTAAATATTTGGTTTCGTTTCGATTTCAGGGCTACATCCCTTTCCTTTAATTTCTCAAAGTGTTTCGTATTTATGTCGATCTAGGGGTACATACAACTCAACTTTTCGTAAGGTTTCATTAATTTTTTTTTGATTTTTTTTTTTGAACGCGCAATTAATGTGTTCTATCGAAAATAATATCTTGGAGCCAGGAGTTGGCAGGGCTTAAAAAAAAACAAGCTTGCCCCAACCTTTTGATTTTTCTTTTGACAATTTTATTCAAAAAAAAAATAAGTGTCGCTCTGGGTGATCAGTTTTGATGATTTTTGATGTGACTTTTCCGAAAAAGATGATTTATGCTGGAATATAGTTGACAATCCCATTCCCCAATAGTTTTTTTTAACTTTTTTTTACACCAGTGGTTTCTAAAAAAAAAATATCTAGAGTCTATACGATACTTGTATTATGATTAATGCGATACCACCCCTCAAAGTATCTTTAATCTATTTGCCAACCATTTCGTCATCATGTGAACTTAAATGGTGTTAGGAGTCAAAGATTTATCAAGAGATATAATTAGTTATTTTTTTACCACTCCTCCAGATGAAAGAAAGTCTATCGAGCAATAGATATTTGTTAAAGGTCTGGTCATTAAAATTCAGGCTGAAATGTTCATAGAAAAATTTTTAAATGGAAAAACTGCAAATACCACTGAAAGATATTCTTTATAAAGAATCGGTACCTATTTACCATCGATTTGTCAAAACTAATGACTATAAAAAACAAAAATACATTATACAAAATAATTTTTACTGTTTTTTTGATAGTTTAATAGTTTATGAAAGTTTTTATTGAATTTATTCTAAAAATTAATTACACATTACTATTAAAATAAAATTTATATCCACAAATCTCTCTTCTTTTCTCCACCAGTATGTTTATCTCCATCCTTCTTAATCTTGTAAGCACTTTCTGGAGGTACTAAAAATTGGTCAGTGTCGATATCTGGATGGTGATATCTCTTCTTTGGTTCAGCATGAGAGTCAGCTCCTAAATTTTTTTTGTAAATTTAACAGATTATGTAAAACAACACAGAGTATTAATATTATATAGATAATTCAAAATCAACTTTTACATACCCTTTTCCTTTGCTTTTCCTTTATATCCTGTTAAGTTTTGTGTTTGAGTATACATGTTTAGATGTTGTTGGTTTGAGAGGAAATGAAAGAGAGATAGACGATTATATAAACAGATTGTTTGAAATCCTTGGAATATTTTAATTTAATTTAAATAAATAAAATAATTATTCTGGACATGTGTGGTGATAATGTCTAGTATAGGACCTTAATTTAATAATAATATTATTTTCATTTAATATTGTGAGAAAAAAACCACTAAAACATTGTCAAAATTGAATTTTATACTAAAAAGGTAAAAAGATTTTAATAAATGCACAAATTGGGGTTGCAATTGAAAATATGTGTGAAATTTAAATAAAATCAGAAAATGACGAATAAATAATAATTATTTTTAAAAGATTTTAAAAAAGTAAATGAATAAATAGGACCTTCAACTTAATAGGTGATTTGTTATATAAAAGGAAAAAAAAAAGAATAATAATTTTTATTTATAAGTTTTGTTTTTTTTAATCTTTAGATATAAGATTGTTATTGTTTGTTGTTTATAACTATTTTTAATATTGTTGTAGTTGATTATTAGTATACTGATCAGTTTGTTGGTTTATACCAAATTCTTTGATTGTCATTCCTATTTGAACATAATTATCGTCTTACTCGCGATGCTATTGATTTGGTTTGGTTGTTCTTGTTGATTTTGTTGTTTGTATTTATATCTGTTTTGAATTACCAAAGACTGAATAATCCTTACCTATATATTGTAATTTGAGAAAAAAAAAGAAAAGAGAGTTGGGCAGTAGTAATTGGAAAGAAAAAAAAAAAAAAAGAAAAAAAGAAAAAAAAAGTAAAAAAGCGAAGAGAATGTATATAGATACTCTATAGTTGTGTTGCGTGTATAGTTGCTGTGTGTAATATAAATATATATATATATATAATTATAGTAGAAGACCGAATTTAACCAACATTTAGCCACGAATCAAATCAATCTTTTTGATTGCTGGTTTCTTATCGGTGTTGCTGTTGTTGTTGTTGTTTGAGGATGATGAACTAATGAAATCTAATTCATCAACTTCATTGATTATATTGTTATTATTGTTGTTATTATTATTATTGTTGGTAGTACTACTTAAAACTGGAACTAGATTGTTATTTACATTGTCAGTATCTGGTGTTGGAGATAAAGTAGTTGTAGATTCCGTATTTGTATTGTTGGTGGTGTCAGTTGGAGATTCGTTTGTTTGGTGGTTGGAAGTAATTGCGGTAGTTGTTGTTGTATCCATGCCTGTTGTTGATGGTACTGGAGTTATAATTGTAGTTGAAGTGGAAGTTGTTGATGATGTAGCTGCCACGGGTGAACCATTGTTATTTGTAATGTTGACTACTGGTTGTTGATGCTGTTGGCTTGGAGATAATGCTTTTGGTGAGGAAATTGGTGTAGCTGTTTTTGGTGTTGTGGATGATGTCGCGACAACGATTGGCGGCGAGGAAATTGAATCTGAAGATTTATTTATTGCGCTTGTTTTGGAGTCGGCGTTTAGAAGTGGAGTGGTTGTAGTTGAGGAGCCAGTTGGTGAGTTGATATGTTGTTGTTGGTCGGTTCTGTTCTTTTTCTTGGCTACGTCAGCAGAGTTGGCAGATCCTCTCTTCTTTGCCTTGGGTTTCTCTTCGGGTGGTGCTTCCGCCTTGACAAAAGCAGGCAGTTGTCTACGCTTGATGTAGTGCACCTTCATTTCCATGGTCGGACCTTTGCCTGCCCAGTCCTTGATGAGATGAGTAAAGTCAATGACAGCCTTGGTGATATCGACCGACTTGTCGGCACCAGGAGCATTCGAAAAGTTGAATCCCAATCCCATGAAGAAACTAGTACAAACATTGGAGTTGTTCGCATCGGTCACAGCTTCGCCATTGGCTGCGGTTGTAGTAGCTGCTGGAGTAGGTTTGTTCTCAAAACTCTTTGGGAATGGAATAGCAAATTTCATCTTTGGTGTTTGTTCCAAGAATGAAATCAACTTTCTCAATTTAGATTCAATCCAACCTTCCCTATAATTTTGAATTGAAATAAACAAAAATTAATATAATTAAAAGAAAAGAAATATAAATATAGATATGGTGGTAGCCTACCATTTTCTATGTTCTTCTTCGTTTTGAGCTGAGCAGTCAATTTGTAAATAGAATTGGTATCTAGAGAAAAAATCTGATTTCTCCAAAAGTTTGTTCCAATTTGCTTCACCAGACTCTAACTTTTGAGCGATTTGATTTCCTCTTGCAAATTCATCCTTTAATAAACTGAGAGTAGACTTTGATACATTGTATGTTGAATTCATCGATGGATATGCTGGTGTAAGAATTGGCATTAAATGACTTTTATCTCTCTATATAATATAAAATATAAGTAAATTATTGTTACAAATATAATTAATAATTTAAATTAGACTTTACCTTTTGATTCCAAACTTTGGCAGCAAAGATACCACCATCTTGAATAGGACACAACAATACAGGTGTTGGACCTGGTACACCCCATCTCCAAGTTTCATAGATCTTAAAGAAACGATTGATAATTGTGCTGGGTGCTGCATTTGGATAGAGTTGGCATATTCTAGCGGTGAGTAACGCCCATGATACACCTCCTAAGAATCCAAGTACATTTGAATATATTCCTCTTCCTGTTTTATTATTAAATATTAATTAATGTATTAGTTTAGAGTTGTTAATTATGTTTGTTAACTATATATTTATAATCTTTTAATAAAGATGATCAACTTACTTTGTGCCCATAGCTTTATAAAACGCAATGCCATTCTAAAAGTCGCTCTACTCGGTACTAAAGTTAAAATTTTATCAGTGACACGACAACCATTCAAACTGGTGATGGATTGATCATCGAGATTCTTTAGATATGCATCATCAATTAAATCATTCATGTCTTCGGAAATCGAAGACAATGACAATCTTGCAAAGATAAGATCAATTGCAATGCCTGAGAATATCATTGTAATAACTGGCACATATGCATCTTTAACCATCTGATAAATCATTAACGATGATTATTTGATTAATATAATGTGTTTGTTTGTTTGTTTGTAGTTTGTTTTTTTGTTTTTGTTTTATTTCAAATGATAGTAAGTAAAGAGAAAGAAAGAAAAGATAGAAGAAAAGAAAGAAGAGAAAAAAAAAAAGAGAAAAAAAAAAAAGAAAAGAATGAAGAAAATAGAAAGAAGTAGAGTTATGTAAATATAAAAAGTTCATTATATTTATTAAATCAAAATTCAATATATTGTTGTCGTCATCGTCATCCTCATCTCCACTTGTATTATTGCAATAGATTGTACTTACGTTAAGTTCTGTGATATCTGGATGTACTTTGAGAGCTTCACCTAGGAAATCGAAAAAGTCAGATCTCATAATATGCTTGGGTGCTACACAGAGTGTATCGATATCACTGCTGGGTCCAGAAACACCAAGTCTATACGAACCAAATGTAAAGATCTTTGCTACAACTTCTAGTGACATTTGTTCTGTAAATCCCTATTAATAATAATAATAATAATAATAATAATAGTAATAATAATAATGGTTAATAATAGAGCGCTTCTTTTGTTTTTCACCTTTTTAACATACTCTTTTTAAACTGACATCTATGACCCATTTTCGAACGATTAGATTAAGTTTACCTAAGATCTCTTCTTTTTTGCCACTCTCTTCTGGAGTTTCGAACAGATTGAAACTCTTGAGTGTATCCTCGAGCTCTGTACTTAACTTTAGATCTGCTGGTGTCGGATTAGAGAATGAGATTGGTACAGTTACACCATAGGTAATTTGCTATTGACAATGAAAGAAAGGAAAGTGAATCAAGTTAGATACAATTCAGGAGTGTAAAAGTAAGTCGGTACAAATATAATATTACTTACATTTGTTGGTGATGTTGTAGAAGCAGAAGAAGTAGTTGTTGTGCTTGCTGCTGTGGTAGTAGTTGCCATTGTTTTGTATTGTTTGAATGTATTTCGAAATGACAAACAAAGAGAATATATAGATAATAAAAAAAGTGAATTTAAGCAGTGCACATTCGAATGTGCACTCTATGTAAAATTGGTGTTTAGAGGAAAAAGAAATGACAGATCTTTGAATGATGGTGATGTTATGTTTTTGTAACGAAAATTAAAATAAAAAAAACAATTTTGTTTGTTTTTAACCGGTTTAATAATTCTCAAAAAAAAAAAATTAAAAAAATGTTGCAAAAGAAGGAGTGATAGATGTTTTGTTGGTATGTTTTGATTTGTTGGTTGATTGATAGAAAGATAGATTGTTTGAATGATTGTATTTATAATTAATTGTATAGTTATCACGTTGTCAAAAGAAGTAGTTAATTTTATGTATTTTTTATTATTTTTAGTTTTTTTTTTTTTTCTTTTTAGTTTTTTTTTTTTTTTATTTATGTATTTTTTTAACAAACAACAGTTTGTTGCTCTTTCTTTCAAAGTAACCGGATTGTTTGATAGACAGCCTTAAGAATCGATGAGTATGGATGAGTTCAACTAGATCTACAACTTTTTGTTATTTTGTTAAAATTTCAAAAATGCTTCGGACTTCTAACAAACTTGCTGAAAATTGATCACCTAATCTTCTTTAAAATGAATATAATATATATATATATATGTAATAATAAATAAAGAATGTTTTTTGGAATTTTTTTTATGTAACTAAAAAGAATTTGAAAATTGTTAAAAAATGTTTGAAAAATTCAAAAAAAAAAAAAAAAAAAAAAAATTGAAAACAAATATTTTTATTTATTTTTTAAATAAACACCAAAGATATTTATTTCTTTTAAATACAGCCGCAGTTTTGATCTAGTATCATTGGATAACAATATATATTTATATATTTTTATTTATTTTTTAAATTTAATTTGAAATTTTTAATTTATTATTTTGATTGGTTTCAAGATAAAAAAACAACAATTTTATTGTATGTTCTATTCTTCAATTAATACATATTTATAAATGTTTACATTTGAGTATTAATAACATGTGTCAGTTTTTCTTTTTAAATCTTTGATTTGAAGTTGTAAGAGTGTTTTCACTAAAATATTTTTGAATCGTATTTTGTTTTTTTTTCATCGAGGAAGAAGATAAACAAACATGTCAAGGTTGATAAAGAATGTCGTAATTGATATTGAAGGTACAACTACACCAATAACATTTGTACATGACGTTTTATTTCCATATATTACCAACAATCTTACACGATATTTGAGTGATAGTTGGTCGGATTCACAGACTATCGCCGATGTCAATGCTCTCAAAAGTGAACCACTGGTAGAGTCGGTGCCAGCCATCCACATAGATGACGGCAACCGAGAGAAATCAATAGAGTCGGTGTGCAGCAATATAAAGGCACAGATGTCAATCGATCGTAAATCGACTGCTCTGAAACAGCTGCAAGGTCACATGTGGCGTGCAGCCTACGAGAGTAAGCAGATCGCCGGTTTGCTATACGACGACGTCCGTCCAGTCTTGGAGAGACTGAAGCAGGAGAGCGCCACACCAGTCTATATCTACAGTAGCGGTTCTATCGCTGCACAAAAGTTGCTATTCGGTTACTCGACTGCCGGTGACTGTTTGCCATTGCTCGCTGGTCACTTTGACACCACCATCGGACTCAAAGTCGAGAGTTCAAGCTACACACGTATACTCGAACAGATCAAAGCAACCGAGCAACCATCAGAGACACTCTTTATCACCGACTCACAACGTGAAGCTATCGCTGCAAAAGACGCCGGTCTCTCTGTACTGGTCAGCGTTCGTCCAGGCAACCCAGCACTAACACCAAACCTAACCGATCATATACAACAAATTACAAACTTTAATCAAATTTATAATAGTTTTAGATTTAATTAAAAATCAAATTATTATAATATATAATATTTATTATTAATAAATTAATCTTTATTATTCTTTATCAGCTCAAAAAAAAAAAAAAAGGTAGTAGATTTATTTAATTTAATTTAATATTGTTATCAATAAAGTATTGTAGATTTGCAATTGTAGTATCTTTATCATTGTTTGTTGATGTTACAATGATCTTTACCTTTGATTGGTCAATGGCTTCATTAGAGTCGATATGATTGGCGGTGTTGTCAGTTTCAGACTTTTCCTTTTCTTGACTCTTGATTACTTCATCGAGTGACTGTTGTAATTGTGATAATGCTTCATAGTCAATATCACATAGTCTAATATTTTGAAGGCAAAGAGTACCATTCTTTTTGTGTTCCTTTACAAATTCAACCACTGCTTTAACAATGAATTTAGCAGCAATATCTTTTGGTACACCATAGATTCCACTTCCAATTACCTAAAGAATATATAGATATTTAATATTAGATGCTGATTTAATTGTAATATAATGAGAATATATAAATGAATGAATTATTAACTTACAGGTATAGATATACTTTTGAATGATTGTTTGTTTGCAATGATAAGTGTGTTATTGATAGCAGAGTATACTAATTGTTGACATTCGGCTTTGTTTGAATTCCAAATAGGTGCAACTGCGTGTATGACAGCCTTAAAGTTTAGTTTGCCTGCAGATGTCAATGCAGCGGTACCTGTCTTGACTCGACCATGTGTCGATACGTATTCATGTGACTCGTTATCGAAATCACGACCGGCGGCACGAGAGATGGCACCAGCAATACCACCACCATGTGCCAAACTTTCATTGGCAGCATTAACAATACAATCGGTAGACTCCTCCAAGATACTACCTTTGATAACCTCTAGCAATACACCACCACTGGCTTGCAGCTTGGTAGACTTTAGCACTGTATTGGAGGACACTCGAGACTTGACTTCACTAACCAATATCTGGTGTTCAGTAAACAGCTTTCTAGTGACAGGATAGTAGTGGAGTTCTTTCGATATCGATGCACTGATTTGATGTTCAAACGATATTGCTGACTTCTCTACACCGCCTATCCAACTGTTGATTTTGTTTGCCAGCTTATCGATATCAGCTTGCTTACCGTATAAAGTAAGGTGTCTCTCCTCGGACAATGGTAATCTTACGGTACACTTTTCATTATCATTTAAGATCTTGTTGATTTCACTCTTTTCATTGGACACTTCATTGAAGAACGTTAGGAGTACAAAGTTTGATTTAAGAACAATGGATTTGGCCACTGTTTCGAATTCTCGTTGTGGTAGTTCCTTTAATATCGATATGGCTCTATCGATATCCTCTTGATTTCTTGCTACTAGTTTGAAAGTATGTTGTCTATCGTCGTAGCTCAAAGCGTACAGACATAGATCTTCTTGCAGTTGATTGAGTTGGTAGTATCGCAACGCCGGGTAGTTGGAAGCCAAAGGAGTGTCAGTGTCGGATGGCCATACCCGTTGTAGATGTGCCAATTGCTTCATGATAGAATCTATTTCATTCCATTTCGCATCGTCTTTGGCATAGAGACCAGCTAGTTTCACTTGTGTAACTCTCGATACCGGTTGTGACTTTGGAATGGTGACACGAATACTTGGATGCAGATGTAATAGATTCTCCAAGTATGCAGGCATAGCTCTTTTGATATAACCAGAAATAGTGTATTCTTTAAAGGTCAAGTTTCTATCAATGAATTGTTTAATGTCGTTGGCAACACGTTGGAGTTTTTCTTCCGACTTGCCAATAAGTGAAATAGATGAGCCGTCATCAGCCATCTCTATTTCGATAGAATCGGCAGTAAATTCAGCCAAGGCACTATTATTTACTCGGAGATACTCTACAACATCTTTACCAACTTGAACCTTGATTGTTTTTTTATTGTTATTTTCATTATTATTATTATTGTCATTATTTCTATTACTAACGATAATATCATCTGACTTTAAATGATTATCAATATAATTTGTAATTTCTTCAATATCAGTGAACCATTTCTTATTGAATAATATTGTATTATTATTAAATATTGGAATTAATGATATATTATTATTATTTTGTAATGAACTTGTTATTTCTTTGATATTATCAGTTGTAATATTGTTATTATTATTATTACTTAATAATCCAATTCTATCATTGATATAATTGATATTTGTTGGTTTGATATTTAATTTGTTTGATAATAACTCTGTAATACTTTGTTGTTGATTAGTTTGAGTATCTTTATCTGTAGCGACTGCTGTCTGTCCTCTTAATACTAATAATACATTATCTAATATCAATGAAAATTGTACACGGTGTGATTTTAACATTGTTATTGTTGCCGCTGATCTAATATTGTTTAGGATCGAAATACAATCTTTTAATGATTCTACTCTAACGATAAAGTTGTCTTCTTTAATATCAATAGAATCGATTGTAATGGAAAGTTTGAATTCTTCACTGAATAGCTCCACCACAGATTGCTTTTCAACAACAGAAGTAATAGAGTCTTGTTTTTCACTATCTCCACTAACAGCACAACTAATCACTATTCTCACAACTCTTTCACCCTTTAATAACTCTAACAAAGAATGATTGTAATTATTTAAATGAATTATATTAAATTCATCAACAATATTATTATTATTATTATTATTCATTATTATTAACTATCTCTAATTTTAATAAATCATAAACTAAATTTATTTTTTTCTCATTTGAACCAACATCTTTTGATAATGATCAAAAATTAAAAAATCAAGTTTTAATAAACCTTTTTGTGTGTTGAGTCACCAATTAATGGATCACTCAGATTTGAAAAAACAAAGAATCAAATAGTTTGGCTGATGAATATTGTTTTTATAAATTTTATTTTAGATCCAAATATTTATATATTATATACTTTTAAAAAGGGTTTCTATTTATATATGGATTTGTTGAAATTGTTGTTGTGATTGATGAAGTTGGTGTTGGGTGATTGTGAGTATCACTTGATTGACTAGGATGTCAATGTCATCTTTCCAGAGTCTATTGATGAACAGTTTTCTCTTTGGAGTGTTAAAGTGAATACCTCTGTGAATGTTGGTGTCAACGAACGTGTTTTTGAGATAGTTGAATTCCTCTAATGATATGTTGCTGATTTCCTGTGGACGACCCTCCTCTTTCGATTCGATCAGCTTGATCTTGGCCATGACCGAATCCCAATTCTTTTTGAATCCGACAAACTCCAACATGACGTAGACGATCTTCTCCGAGTAGTTTCCATCTTCGTTGTCATCATTGTTATCATCGTCATCTTCGTCATCAGAATCCAAAAGCACACCACTGTTGTTATTGTTGTTGCCATTTGTTGTACGGTGTTGTGATTGTTGCTGCTGTGGTTGTTTAGATAATTTTTTAGATTTCTTTTTGATAATCTTGTGTCTGATAAAGACCATTTCATCTTTGGTGAAAAACTCTTTGAGCTGATCGAGTTCTTTGACAGTGGACTCTGAGAATAGTTTCACCAACCTGTAGGACTCTAATTGTGACTTCAGTTGGTCGATCTTGGCTATGGAATCCTGAATCTTCTTGTTCTCACCATTGAGGAAGACTGAGCGCGACTTTAAGACAACACGCACGCCACTCGCTTGAATGTCATTGTGGAGTTGTCGTCTAAAGAAGAACAGCTCTCCATAGGTCATTGCAATTTCCTGGGTGACTTCTTTCTTTGCCTTGGAGGGGCTAAGCGACTCTCTGGTGGACTCTAGCCACTCTTCGAAATTGTTAACATCCTCGTGTGGACCACATACATGAACGGTGTGCTGCTTTGGTTCCATCTTGATGCTGATGTTGAACTCCTTTGACAGTTGCTCGGCGTCGATCGCTATCGTATTGGTCTTGCTTCCGTCGATCAACAAGCTGAAGGAATCCATTTGTAGATCCTCGAGGAAATTGGCAAATTGGTCGATGTCCTCCTGAGGACCGAATAGAGTTGTGCAAATAATGGTTGTCTCACCCTTTCTCTCACCACCCTTATTGGTGACGGTCTTGTTCTTGTAGCAATGCTCATTCAACGTCTTGTAAAAGAGTTCACGATGATGAGAATTGATAACCGGTGTATCGACACGACGCTCCTTAATACTCGACATCAAGACATTCATGTCTTCGATGGCCAAAGTCAACTTGTCGGGGTTGGGACCACTAAACTCGATGAAATAATCATTTTTCAGTTGCTCCGGATTGACTTTTACCGAGTGTTCCGATCTCACTTTGTTTAACAGGTCACGTCGCTTGTTAAAGATGTTATCGTAGAGTGTCTTGGTGACGTTGATCTTGCCACTGTAGATACAGTTGGTTTCGGCGGTGTCTTCAAACACCCAAGTGTAGTGGTTGATATAGTTACCCTTCTTTGCATTGTCAGCAGCTTGTTTTCCACCTCCAGCATTGTTGTTCGTCTGTGATTTGTTTGTCTTGTTGTAACTGAAAGACTGGACGAGAATCATATGCTCTTTGAGTAGCTCATTACGACATTCCTCTGTGCCAAGTGGAATCTCCAAGTAGCCAGCAGTCTCTCTAAATGGTCCATTCACACTGACAAACTTACTGATTCGATTAGCGATAGCACTATAGTTTGCTTCTGGAATAGGGAACAAATAAACATTCCAATATGGTACACGCGCATTACTACCATCTTCTAAATATAACTAAATAACAGTGATAACATATGTTAATTAATTTGCTAATAGATGTAATTGTAATAATAATAATAATAATAATAATAATAATAATAATAATAATAACTTACCCAAGCACCATTGTTTGCTTTAAACTTAAATGTACTTAGTAATCTATTGTGTGAAGATTTATCCAATTCAATGTATGCAATATTGTCTCTGATGGTGATGAATAACACTTGATATCTTTGTTCCTTCAATGATTCTAATAATATGTCATATGTTACTTTTTTAGGCAAATTTGTACAAATAACATATTTCATATCATTATCATTATAATAATTGGTTTTACTATTTTTGTTATTCTTATAGTACTTGTTCATATTATTTTTGTTATTGTTACTGTTATTGCTGTTGCTTATATTTATACTACTACTATTATTACTATTGTTATTGCTATTGATAATGTTATTATTTTTAACGTTATTTGTATTTGTAATGGTCGTCGTAGTTGTAGATGTATTTGAATTAGGAAGATTGTTATTAATGATTGGTTGTTGTTGTTGTTGTTGTTGTTGCTGTAGTTGCTGCTGCTGCTGTTGATTTATATTAAGATTGATATTGTTATTGATAGCTGGAGATGTTGGTTGTTGTGGTTGTGGTTGTTGAACAACAGGCGGAATAAAAGTTACTTGTGGTATATCAGTATTGCTTATAACTTTTGGTATATTATTATTATTATTAACCGGTATATTATGATTAACCACAATATTATTATTGATATCATTGCTATTTACAGGATTGTTACTAATATTATTACTATTATTACCACTACTACTACCAGTACTAGTAGTGTTTCCATTACCGTTACCATTGGTTGTATTTATATTATTTATAGTAGTTGTAATAATAGTTGCTGGTTGAGCTTGTTGTTGCTGTTGTTGTTCCAACAATGTCTGTTGAAGTTGTTGAATCTGTTCTTGTTGCTCTTGTTGTTCCGGTTGTTGTTGTTGTTGTTTACCTAAGGATATTGATTTTCTAGTCAATACCATCTCTTTTGGTTGAACAGTTGTAAAGTTGATAACACCACTCTTGTTGTCATCGAAAAAGTAGTATTCCACTTGACTGGGCACGGGAGTAGCAACACCACCATTACCGTTGTTGTTGTTAGCATTCTCTCCGATGATTGTATCAATTTGATTTTTGAGTTGATCAATGCTCTCGATTGGAGTGTTACACTTGAAATGCAATGAATGACCAAAGTATGGCAGAAGCAGTGCCTTCTTACGCTTGATAACCAATGTGTTTTCAGAACGTTTGATCTCCTCTACGAGTTGATCGATCTCGGCAATCGAGAGATTCCTGAGCGAGATGAACGCCATACACTTGTTCCTGTCGACGGTGATATACTCTTCGAGTACCGGCACAACATCGGTGGCAGAGTAGGACGATGGTTTAAAAGTCAAACCAAAGTTGTTGTTCAAGAGCGATGCAATCGAGTCTACCTCGAGAATCGGCTCCTGAATGACGAGTAGCAAGTTTATTTCGAGCATTGGCGATACCGTTGCTTTGACACGTTGGATGATAATGTTGCCCTCCGCGAGCATCGATGCGCAGTTCTCTTCTGACATGGTAACAACGAATGCATCGTTGCACACCTCGATTGCTTCCAGTGGCAGATCAATATCCATAGAGAAATTGAAAACTGTTGAGATGACCGTCTTTTCTACTTGATTCACATTGAGACCACTGATTTTGATTCTACCGTAACCACCACCACCAGAGTTAGCAGCACCACCAGAACCAACGAGATAATCTGCACCATTCGCTGTTGAATCGCTGTTGTTGCTTCCATTGCTTTCACAATCATTATAATCAACAGATATCTTTTCGAAAACAACCTAATGAATCAAATGTCATTGTTAATATCTTTAGAGCTATAGCAATAAATCTATAATGAAATGAACATACAAATTGTTTCTTTATCTTTAAACCTGATTCACTTAGAAGCTCTTGAATTTCAGGTCTTTGATCGGTGATGCTGAATGACAGTGTGGATTTGTCGACACGAACAACATCAGATACAGAGAGAGCCAGTGAACATTCTACATTTTTAATGAATTCATCCAAAGAATAGTTATGAGGCATATTCTTTGCCAGATACTTTAATTTGTTTGATTTTCTTTGAATTGATACATTTTCAAATTCAATTATAATTTCATTTTGTTGTTGTTGTTGTTGTAATGGTGCAAGCTGTTGCTGTTGCTGCTGTTGTTGTTTTTGTTCTGTAGCAATCCTCATGAATATTTTGTTGTTTTTTTGTTTTTAATGTTTAAAAGATTTATTAACTTGATCGAAATTGATTAAAGAGATATATAAATATTATAATTTTTTTTACAAAAAAATACAATACTAATAATTCTTCAATTCAATTTAATATTAATAAAAAATAAACTAAAACCTATTAAATTATAATAAGAATCTAGATAACAGATTGATTGATTGATTGATTTATAATATATTGAATGATTTTAATATGTCTATAGCTGTTTAACACTTAACACTTCTAAATTTATATAAAAGTGTTTGATTGTTGTTTGTTATTGCTGTTTGTGTTAATGAATATCTATATATTTATGATGTTTCGTTTTGTGTTGTTTTTTTGTGTTTATGTTTGTGTTAATATTTTTTAATATAAATTATTCATTAATGTTAATTAAAAAAAAAAACAAAAAAAAAAATTGATATTTTTTTTAAATTAAAAATTTTTTAGTCAAAAATTTTTTGTGTCATACTTGCACCTTTAAATTTGAAACATGTTTTCTTTTGAATTTTTTTTAATATTTTTGGTGAAGTTAAAACCAATCTAATTCTAATTTTTATTTTTGCTATTCAAACTTGTAAAAATACATATTGATTGATTCTCTTATTTTAGAATGAATCTTTTAATTTTCTTACATAGCCTAAAATATCAATCGGTGAAGCATCGGGATTCTCACGCTTGAATTGTTGGGCTGCTGTCGAGTCAAGATGAACTCTCATGAATGGGTTAAATGACTTCTCCAAACCAACAGTACTTGGAACTGTTGGTTGTCCTTTTTCCTTTTGTTTCTCTGAAAACTCTAACATTTCCTTAAAATTTTTTAAAAAAAAAAAAATTAAATTAGAAACACAATGTGTTTTAAAAAAAAAAAAAGCCGATGTTTGTTACAATGTATTTATGATAATAACTATCTATACTTACTAATAAATCCTTGTTATGAGGCTCAAGTGTTTTTGCAAATAATAGATTCTTGTAGGTATATTCATGACCGCAATAGACGAGTGTGTCGTTGGGCAGTTTTCCTATGACTTCGTAGAGTGCGTGATACATTTGTGCGGCACTTCCTTCAAAGAGACGACCACAACCACCAATGAATAGAGTATCTCCTGTGAATACACATGAGGAATCGTCTTTGTTGACATAGTAAAGAACATGTCCTGATGTATGTGCAGGTGAGAACAACACTCTTACCTTTAACTCACCAACATTGATTATATCATTATCCCCAACCTTGTTCGATATCGCTTCAACTCTATCATCTCCACCATAGATTGGAACATTCGGTAGTAATTCTTTCATTTTCTTATTACCTCCTGCATGATCCCTAAAATATTAAGTTAATTAAACATTTAGAAACAATTTTTGAACTCTTATTACCAATGATGATGAGTTGTTAAAATAGATTCAATTGTTAAATTATTAGATTTGGCAACTGATAGCACTTTCTCGGGTTCAACAGAATCAATGGCAGCAGCTTTATTGGTAAGTTCATCCACTAACAGATAACTGTAGTTATCTTGTAATACGGGTACAACAATGACTTTGAACTTATTCTTCGTCACCATATTCTGTATAATCTTACTAACAATAGTAGTTCCTGACATTCTCTTCTCTTTAAATATTCAATTATTAAATATTGAATTATTTTGTCACATGTGTGGTTTGAATAATTTATAACTTTATTTTTCATTCCACTCATTTTCTTTTTTTTTTTTTTGTTTTTCGACTTTATTCTAAAATTTATTGTCACAGGTGATAACATTATGATTATAAGTGAGTTTAGAAAAGAATCTTCAGCAAATTAACTCATTAAGATGATATTTTGAAAATAATTAATTAATTAATTAAATCATAATATCGATCTAAAACAAAAAAAAAAAAAAAAAGATGAAGATCATTGTTTGAACAAATCTCTCTTTTGGTAAAACCCAACAATTAATGGCAATGGGTTTGTTTTTTAAAAAAAATTTGTTGTTATTTTAATTTAATTTTTTAAAAAAATTTTTACAACACTTTGGTTTTTTTACCATCAATTTCAACTTCCATATTTCTTTAATTAAATAAAATTTAATAATAAATATTATATAATCATAAAATAATGAGTACCGAAGGTAAATCAACACAAGCAGAGGAATTCGATTGGGCTGTTAAGAATGGTGATCTCGCAGGTGTTACTGCTTTCCTCCAAAAGGATGCAAATCTCGTCAATAAATTAGATGGCAATAAAAGAGGTCCATGTCATTGGGCTGCTGATTTCGTATGTTCATTCAGTCAATTATGATCATAATATATCAATTGTAATTCATAAACTAACATATTCATTTATTAAAAATACAAAAATAAAGGGTCAAACAGAGATTTTAAAACTTTTAATTTCAAAGAAAGCTAATATCGATTTAAAAGGTAACTTTACATTAAATGAATTTGGATGTTAATGTCAAAAACAACAATTATTAATATCACATTGTTGGTTGTTTTTGTTATTATTTAGATAAATATGGTATTACTCCATTATTGGCTGCCGTATATGAAGAACATGTTGGTTGTGTCGAGTTACTCTTGAAGAATGGTGCTGACAAGAATGCCACTGGTCCAGATGACAGAACCGCTGTTGAGGCCGCATCAGAGAGTGCCAAACTCAAACCACTCTTCAAATAAATTAAAATATTCCAATAGCATTGAAAATCAAATATTTATAATTAGATAATAATAATAATAATAATAATGTGAAAGAAAAGATTATCGAGAATTTAATAATAGCAATAATAATCACATAGTCAATCCACCCCTTTTGTTGTACAACATATAATAAAATATATATATTTTTCTTTTTTTTTTTAAAAAAAAAAGGTTAAATTTTAATTTGTTTGTAATTATAATTAATAAATTGGCATACATTGACCAATTCTGTGAAATATCTATATATATCACCTTTCAAGAAAGGTAAATATTTTAAATTATCCATTACCTGTTGTTGATATTATTCATCATCTTCATCCATATCATCTTCAATATCATCGAATCTAACAGTGAGTAATGTATAAACAGAATCTGCCCAACGAAAGAGTGCAAGGGCTACATCACCAAATTTAGTTAATCTCTCTTCAGTAAACTCTGGATGTAGTGTTACTTCGTCAGAGGTGTAGTAACTCTCTAACAACTTGTAAATATGATGACTAACTTTTTTATAATCGAAACTCTTGATTGATCCAACCAATTGAGCTGCTGATTTACATGATAATGATCTTGCTTCCTATTAATTTTATTATTATGAAACGATACAATATTAGTACAAATATCGTTATAAATTTGAAGATATAAACACTTACAGAATAAGAACATAACTCTTCATTTAAAAGTAAGCATAATACAACGAATAAACTTTGAATTGATGAATCTATCGATATGTTGGTTTTGTCTGCTTGTTGTAAGAGTTGGTCTACCACAGCTTGATGTTGATCCAACAAAGGAACTAGTACTTGTATATCCTCCATTGCCATATTAGCAACTTTTAACTGAGCCTCTTCAAATGCTTTTTGTCTATATATTTGAAATTCTTCCTGATTCATCTTTAATTCTTTGATTAAATATTAATAGAATAATAATAATAATTCAATTATTCAAATAATTTATCTTTGAGCGCAACACTTTCGTTCGTTTTTTTTTAAATTTTTTGAATTCAAAAATTCAATTTTTGTTATCAAAAGAAAATCAATTAATATTTTATTTATAATTAAGAATTGGTTCTATAGAACTCGAACCAGAGAATCATTGAAAGAACAACTGAATACTCCAACCTTGCTCATCACTCTCAATCACCATAGTGTGTTATGTTTTGAATATATTGGTCAACCAGTCAACTAATACTTGAGATAGAAACCAATTAGCAATCCCACAGAAACAAAACCTAAACAAATAAAAAAATAATTATTTTCAAATAAATTCTTTAGTTTGTTTATGATTTTAGTAACTTTATGTACAAATTCAACTACTACTTTTATTGGTATGTGTTAAATATCTTATTTTCAATATAAATCGGTTGTTTTACTGATGATTACATTGTGTTGTTTCATATTTTCAATCTGTGACTGTGTAGTGTCTGGTGCAACACCACGACTTGCATCCTCGAGGAAGTAGGTTTTGTATCCTGCCGAGACGGCATCCAGTGCAGTGTAGGAAACACAATAGTCAGTGGCTAGTCCACAAACATAGACTTCTTTGATGTTTTTCGACTTGAGCACATCATCGAGTTCCGTTTTATTCTTGTGGTCGTTGTCGTAGAACGCAGAGTAACTATCGATCTGTTTGTTCTGACCTTTGAGAACTATTACATCGGTTGACTCGCAGTGTAATGATGAATTGATGTCGGATCCATGCGTGCCTTGTACACAGTGGTCAGGCCACATTACCTGAGTGCCAGAGTGATATGCAATACTTTCAAACAGTTTGGTGCCAGGGTTATTCGAAGCGAACGACACATGATCTTGTGGATGCCAATCTTTAGACAACACCACCAAATCAAACTGTCGATTGTTTCTCAACTTGTTGATTGGTTCGAGGATCTCCTCTGCATTGTCAACCTGCAGACTTCCACCTTTCATAAAATCATATTGAACATCTATAAGTAATAAAGCTGACATTTTTATATTTTATATTAATATTAATATTTCTTTTTTTTTTTTTTTCAAAATAATATGATATTAAAATAATATTTTAGATCTAATTAAAAAAAATATATTTACTTTCTCATTTTTAATATTTCTTATAAACGGTTTTTTATTTATATTTTAATTATTAATTTACATGGATTTAGTTTGTTTGAAACAATGCTTGTTGTTTATTTTCTATTATGATCATCCAATCTATTCATTGCAGTATCAAATGTAGTTGTTCGATAGAAAATAGTAGCTGTATCATTAAAACTGTTACTTGATTACTATTATCATATCTTATTCTATTGTTGTTCTGTTTGTTTTGAAGATAGACATTTTACTATTTAAATTTATATTATTTTATTGAACAACTTAAAAAATGTATGACCAATCTTTAAAATTTTCTAACGTGTTTAGTTATTTAACTCCAATAAACAGAAAAGGATATTTTAAATCGACAACTATTTACATTGTAGTAAATTGAAAGATAAAACAAGTTATTATGAATATTTTGTATTAAGAAATAGTTATTAAAATAGAAATGAAATTACAAAATAAATGATGAACCCAAGAATCTACCAGTATCATTGTCTTTGATCGCAGCTTCATAGATAATGTTGTCAGCAACTTCAGGTTCGAGTTCACCTGTAAAGTTATTCATTGGTGTTTTTACGAATCCCGGTGCAACTGAATGAACTTTGAATCCATCGGCAGCCAACTCCTTTGCCAACATAACAGTGAATGCATTGAGAGCAGTCTTGCTACTATTGTAGGAGAGTGAGTTGATCTGTGAAAACTTGTAGTCAGTGTAGTTCAATAGATCCAACGAACCCAAGTCGGAGGAGATATTCAAAATTACTTTGGCAGCTCCATTTCTAAGCAGCCTTTACACTCTCGGTATAATAAAAATAAAGTATTAAGAATCCTTTAACAGTACATAAAAGTGTATTTGAGTCCACCTTCATCATTTTAATTAAATGTATCAAATTTACTTCAAAAATAAATAGACTTCAGATTTTTAATATTTATACAAAATTGGTTTATTGTTTATATTTTATTAATTTACATGGGGTTTGTGTAGTTTTATTTTGAAATAATGTTAAAACTACTGCACTGTTGTGTTGTTTGTTGTTTATTTTCTGTTATGATCATCCAATCTATCCATTGCTGTATCTAATGTAGTTGTTCGATAGAAAATAGAAGCTGCATCATTCAAACTGTTACTCTGATTATTATTATTTCTTATTCTATTATTGTTGTTGTTGTTGTTGATGACGTTCTGTCTGTTTTGAAGATAGACATTTCTACTATTTAAATTTACATTATTTTTATTGAACAACTTAAAAAATGTATGACTGACCAATCTTTTGGTTTGAAAAATGGTCAATCTTGTATTGTAGATTGTTTTTGTAAATGATTTAATAAAATGTTCCATGTCTTGTTATAATATGATAAAGAAAAAAATAAAATAAAAATGCAATAAAAATAAAAATATATATACAAAGAAGTCTTAAAGTAGTAGTATAATTATGTTAAATTAATTGATTGATGATAACTTCTTTAAAAGATAAACAAAAAAAATTAAAAATGATGCAAAATTAAAAAAAATAAATCATTTGAAAAATCCAACAGCTTATTGTTCTTTTTCTGAGAACGGAATGAATGACAAAAGAATGTCTTGGCAAAAAAAAAAATTTTTTTTATTTGTTTATTTAAATTTCTAAAGAAGACTTAATCTTTTAGCTTTTTTGATACAACAAAAGTTCAAAAAATTGAACAATTCTGTTTCTGTTTCTGTGAGTTAAGATGTTTCCATCAAGTGAATGACTGATCATGTGCTATGTTTGTTGAATTACCAAAAAAGCTATTGAGTGGCTGGTTGATTCTATAAAGTTATTAAATCCTAATCAAATCCAATACGTTGAGCAGTCGAAGGCGATTTAGTATTAGTGTTTGAAGGATTGGAGGTATTAACGAGAGGTAGCTTCTTTTCAATGTTCATTCCTTCTTTAGGTGTGGTTTGAGCATTCATTCTTAGCATTTGATTATATTCTTGTGTTTGTTCTCTCTTTAATTGTTCATACTCTTCTATATCTTCAATATTTAATTCAATTCTAGTTGCTTTTCTTGATATCATTTTATTTTAAATATGTAATATATAATGCTTATAACAGTTCTAAATATAATTATTTTCTTTTTTTTTTTTTTTTGAGTCTCATTTGTAAAAGTTTTCCCTCCTTTTTATTATTATAAAATAATTGTGTAATTTTTTTGTTTTTTATTTTATTTTTTATAAAGAATAATTAATCTCTTTTGAATGCCTTATATCTATTGGTAGTGAAGCTGACATTGGTAAGGTATTGTTGTTGCTATTGTTGTTGTTGTTGTTGTTGTTGTTGTTGTTGTTGTTGTTGTTGTTGTTGTTGTTGTTATTTGTGGTTGATCTACTTATTCTATTGAATCCTATTATTGGTGTATTGCTATCTTTGTTGTCTTGAACGAGTGCATTGATGTCGAGTGTAGATTGTCTTTGTTTTGTGGTGAGTTCTGCTATCTTTGTCCATTTATAGGTGAGAGATTTAACGAGGAACTTTGCAACAATCTTTGAATCCCAATAGCAGATATGTGATATAATCGAAATAAAATAACTAGGAATACCATTTCTCCAGATATTTGAACCTTCTTCCAATATATAATCGAATCTCTTTGGATTACTATTTATAAACTCTTTTGGTTGACCGTTATTATTGTTATTATTTGGTTTTAGATCGTTACTAATGCTGTTATCTGTTGTCTGATTTGCTATGCCGTTTAAAATATTGCAATCTTCAGTGGCCATCTTTGGTGATAGTTTAGTTGGTGTAGATTCCAATGGATGTGATTTGTTCAATGCTGAAGTCAGCAATGATTCGGTAGAGCATTCTACATCTTTGTTGTTGCTGTTTTTAGAGTTGGTAGTTGTTATTGATGACATTTCCATTTCCATTTCCAATCTTATAGGTGGCGAAGATTCAGAAGATTTGTCAGAGTTGTTACTTTCCAGTGAAGTAGATAGTGATGCCATTGATGTTTCTGTTGCTGTAGTAGTGGTTGTAGTAGTGGTTGTTATTGTTTTACCATTGGTAGCTACAGCAGTGGCGCTACTAGTAGTTGAGGCGGTAACAGTTGTACTACCATTGGGCGGAGAAGTAGAGTTTGCTGTCGTTGTCTTTGATCTTCCAAAAAATCCACCTAACTTCTCCTTGTATGAATTGAATAGATTGTTCTTCTTTTCGACAACTGGATCGGGGATATCAATCAATAGCGGTTTCAACTGTAGATACCGTTCATCGATGTAGGGTTCGATTCTATAGGCTACAGGATCGGTCGGTGAGAATATATTATGCCAATGTGAACACTGTGGAATGACCTTCTCAATATCCAGCTTACCAAGTTGATGTCCATTCAGTCGGAGGAACAATCCAAGTGGTGATCCAACTGCAAATACATTTTCAATCTTGAAATTGACATGTTTCTTTGAAAGCAGATCGAAAACAATGACAGAACCCAGTGAATGTGCAAATATCGATACTAAACCTCTAAACTTTGGGTGATGATTCATAAAGTTCTGATAGGTACTATTTATCTGACCGCTAACTTCCTTCATAATTTCATTATGAAACTCTGGTGTCATATACAACATAATATCAAAGATCGTTTCATTTACAAATCCTCTTATCTTTTCAATTGAATTTGGTGATATCTTTTCTAAATCACTTTGAATAGAAAAACAAATAATAAATAATTGTGTTTAATTTTATAAGTTTTATAATGTAACATACTTATCTAAATTATCTTTTCTAATTTTTGAATGCCATTCAATCATTTTGAATTCTACATTAATTTGTCTTCCTGTTGTTGCAACTTTTTGAGAGATTATATTGAAATTCTTTTTCAATAAGTTAACTATATTATTTTATAAAGAAAGTTGTTTCATTAATAAATTGATTGAATTTATTTTTTAACTTTATTTTTTATTGTATCATACCATTTTGTTCTAGAGTAGCAATTTTACTTTCGGATAGCTGATTTCCAACACCATGTACAATGAATACTAAATGATCTACCATTGGAGTTTGATTTGAATCCTTTTCCATTTCTTTCAAATCAGCTTCCAGTATATTCTTTTTCAATACAGGGTCTATATCATATGATGTCTCTAAATCATCATAACTATTTTCCAATGATTGTATTTCTTTTAATTCAAAGTTATCATTATCACTGTTATTATTATTATTATTATTATCATCAAAACTGTTGTTATTATTATCATCATCATTTTTTAATATATTATTAACTTCATTTTCAATACTATTGGTGTTATTACTACTATTATCATTAATATTAATATTAATATTATTATTATTTAATATTCTATCATTTTCATTTGAACCAATGCCATCAATTAAAAATTCGTCTCCAACCATTATTTTTAAATAAAAAACAAACTATTTAAATAAATAAACTAAATATATATAAGTATATGCTTAATAAAGTATTATAAAAAAGATAAAGATATTTTATATAACAAATCAAACTATTAAAAAATAATTGATTTTAAAAAAACAAATTTAATAAATAAATAAAATTTTAATTAGAATAGAAAAATGATTATATTTCAATTATTTTTGTATATATTTATCATTAAAATTATAAAACCATTGTTTATCTAAAACAAGTCATATTGTCCATACCCAAAATTTAATTAACTTTTTTGGGAATGTGAGTGTGTGTAAATAAACAAAAAATTTCAGAAAAACAGATATCTGTTTTCATTTTATTGTTTTTCATTGTCATTTCATTGATTAAAAATTTCAACCACAAAAAAATAACAATATTTTATTGATAAAATCTTTTGATAATTCATTTAATTGATTATTTGTTATCATAAATATTTTTTTATTTGATTCAACTAAGATTATTTTATTAGATCATGTAATAGATTTGATAAAGTTTTAAAAATGAATGTTTTTAAAATGATTTAACTATTATCATTTATAATGACAATTTTCTATATACAGTTTAATTAATTATCAGGTCTCTCTTATAGTATTGAAAATCTTTAAGATTAATGATTGATTTATTATAATAAACTATAATGATTATTAATTGTTGTTATTATTATTATTATTATTATTATTATTATAAAAGTTAATATTTATTTAAAAATTGATATATAGTATATTTATAGATCAACTTTGTGTTCACTTGGATTCTCTTGTTGAGCATCTTGCTGTGCCATAATTCTTAAAACAGTCTTCTTGCTAGTCTCTTGAAGTTCACCTGCCATAATCAATTCATCTAAAATATAATAGGCTTTATGGAAGTTGAAAATCAAATCTAATTCACACACCTAAAATATTCAATAATTGTTAATGTTAGAATAATGTAACTAAGCTATTGTTTGTTTGTTTGTTATTGTTATTGATTGATTGATTATATAATGTATATCTATACTGATTAAAGAAATGAATATGAATGATTGTTTATGATACATTACATTTCCAAAATAACGATCTAAAATCTCTACAAAATGATGAATGATCTCTAATACGATGAGTTCATTATCAGAACGATCGACACAAACAACGAAAAACAAACTGGCATAACGCTTAAAGATGATCTTGTATTCTTTCCATTCTAAAAAGTTGCAAAGCTTTGGTGGTCTGCTCAATACCATGTTACTGATCTCTCTTGTGAATCTTGATTTTTCTTTGTTGGTGTATGGTGAGTACCATTTTGTCAATCTTGTCTTTCCTTGTCTACTTAGCAACAATAAAAAGTGAAACTAAAAATGATAATGATATATAATAAAATATAATACAATTTGATTATAATATAGTTTATGTTAATCAAAAATCATTCTAAAAACGATATATATTCAAATCTATCTATCTATCAATTCAATGCTATCTCATCTTATTTCAATAGATTTACTACTAACCATTCTTTTTTATGTTATTTATTTAATGAAATCTATCTCTAAATATTGGTAATGATATTCTATCTTCGTTATGTTACTACTTTTAATAAATAAACTTCAGTTGCTGTAACAATAATATAACATATATGATAAGAGTCTTTTTAAATAAATATACAATTAATATATGTTCTTGCAAAGTTAAATGAGCATTTGATTTTTCTCTAAATTTTTTTTTTTTTTTTTTTGAAAAAAATAAATTCAAAACGTGGTTAAAAATTTCCTGAATAAACTATTAAATTCAACAAACCAGTGATCAAATTAATTAAATTATTGGTTCCAATTCTACCGTATGCCTAATTCCACACCACTGGAATAAGAATCGCTCAATGGGCGAAAGAGAATCTACTTACAGAGCTTGATTTGGAAGAAATGGTCGGTGAATTTCACGTCATAGAGTTGGTTCAAACACAAGGTTATCCACCAACATTCTCTTTGCCACCAGAAATCTCCAATTAACTTTCATGTGATACCACCTCCAAATTCGAAAAACTTAAGAACTTGTTTTATTAATTAAAAAATAGATTAAAAATCAAAAAAATTATTAATTTATTTTCTACATTTTAGGATCAAAATGGCATTGCAAGCATTGTAGAACTATCAACAACTACTATAAAGAGAAAGTATTTGTCGATAAGGATCGGTTATGGCAAACGATATGTAAAAACTGCCGCAAAAAAAAATCAATTTTCTATAATAAGGATACACAGACTAAATATACACAGAGAAATTTATTATAGATTCAATATTAATCAAATTTTTTATAATCTATAGATTATGGTAGAGGTCCTGGACACTTTGGGTATGAAGGGTGTCAAGTCCTCGCCCTATGTCAAACGAGAAATGGAAGCTCAACTACATTACAAATTCGTCCGTACTGGTGTAAATTTGGAACAATATATTCAACATTATATAACACAACTTATTCTTTATCAATCAAATCTATACTTATACCTTGCGATCAGTTCAATTCAACAAATCAGTCATGCATTAAATTGGTGGCAATTAATTCTTTGAACATGTTATATTAATTGATTATTTAGTTTATAAATATTATCTTTTTTTATTTAATTTTCAGCATGACTCTTTAGATATGGTGATATTCTTAACTTTGTGTTGATTTTAGCAGCTCCTTTCCAAAGTTGTTGTTGTTGTTGTTGTTGTGATTCATTATTGAAACTATTATTTAAATTTTGATTATTACCATTAATACTTTGATTGTTTAGACTACTATTATTATTATTATTATTACTGTTATTATTATCATTTAAATCAAATGTATTTAAATCATTTGAGATTGATAATGATGTAAATGAATTGGAAGATAACAAAACCATGTTAACCATCTCTTGAAGAGAATCAATGATTTGTTGGAATGTGGGTCGTTGCGTATGATCTTGTTGCCAACATTGGTTGATCAGTCGTTTGTACGATGGGTTGCATGTTGTTGGTATAGCTGGTCTTGATCCCTTGCAGACACTTTGTTCGACATTGCCAAAGAATGATTCTCCCGAGAAGAAACCAACGGTCGATATCATCTCGAATAAAATAACACCGAAACTATAGACATCGACCGATTGATTGTAGAACCATTGATTTCTCATGATCTCTGGTGCCAAATAGATAGGATTATCTACCAATCTTCCATCTAAACGTGAACTATAAGTATCTCTAACAGTACCCAAGTCTGCAATCGATACCAATGAGTCAGTGTTCTCCATTAATTCACTCATTATCTTTTTGTTGTACTCTTTTATATCTTTATGATCTTTACTACTATAGCTATTCTCTAATATATTTGAAAGACTGTATTTCAATAAAAGATTGGGTGGTTTAAGGTCGTTGTGATGTAGCGGTGGTGATTGGAGATGTAACTCGTTGACTCCATGTGCAATGTCAAGAGCGATTCTCAAAGAGAGTGGGTAAGAGAGTGGTCTGTTCTTTTGAATGAATTGTTCAAGATCACCATGGTGAATGAATTCCGTTACTAGACAGAGAGGGGATAGTACCAATCCAACTACTTTCAAAGTACGGTTACAATTGGCAAGATACTCGAATGTGTACAACTCTCTTCTAAAGTCACGGAAGCAAAGTATTACATCCATATTATCTTCTGGTCTTAGTTGATCGTATTCAACGGTTGTACTACTAGAGGTTGTAGCTGAAGATGTCAACAAAGCATCTAGTGAACTACTACTATTGGTTGTGTAGCTACCACTTCCATTGCTGTTGTTATTACTGTTGATATCCATATTGATCAATCGTTTGATTGCAACTACTTTGTTGTTGTAACGACCTTTATAGACAATACCGAAACCACCTCTTGCAAGCTCATTATCATAGATAATAGAAGAGTGATCCATTATCTTGTTGATAGTGCAATGTGTAAGTGCAATATCCGAAGAAATATCGGTGATAGGAACCAGTGTTGTATGATCATTCGGACAGATTGCATCTTTCAAACCATTGACAAATGCTAGTTCCAATTGTTCGAGGTTGTAGTAACTGTAGTTGTCTTTCATTGTGCAGTGTGGACAAGGTACAAGAATCTGGTATCTATTCAATTGGAATCGATACTTTAACTGTGATTCGATCACTCTTATCGCTTTGTATAGTAGATCTTGTATGACGTAGAACCTATTAAGCGGGCCAACCACTGTGATGTTTAGTGTGGAATCTGATGACTGTTCAAACATCAAACGAACAGACTCTATTGGTGTGTGATTAGGTGATTGGTTGTAGTCTTGAATCGATGTGTAAGTAGTCAACTTGGTTGGATACTCTTGATTCATCTTTGCAAACTGTGCTATTCTTTGTGAGATTATTGAATAGACAACTGTTGGAAGTGTCGCTGAGAATTTGAATACACGTTGTATCTTTGTAAAGTCATTATCATAGCGATTGGAATGTAGTGATAACCATTCACTAAACTCTGTTCCAGATGACGGTATAGATGGTGATGACAATGTTGTTGTATCTGTTGATATGTTACAGTTGTTTACAAGTATAGTCTGATAATCATTCATAACTTGATGAGTAACACCAGAAGGCTGAGGAATAGGACAAGCATTCTCGATTGACTTTACAAATGATATTAAATTGAATCGATACGCTAGGTTGAGGAATTCGCGAATACTCAATCCACCTACGATCGTACCACTGCTTCCACTACTATTTAAACTGTTTCCAGCTAGAGGCAACGGCGGTAGTTCTGATATCTTAAGCAACCCGTGTGTTGGCAATGCTTGTAATACCAATGATGAAAACGAATGTAATAACCATTGTGTATTGGTTATGAAGAGGTCTGACAACTGAGTGTCCGGTGTATTTGCAAAGTTCAAAATGGAACCAGTGTTTTCCAAGTACTTTAGAAGCATTCCAATCTTTGATCTTCCTCTGATGTTATAGATAGCTGCCATCTCTACGATATCATCCATTGTCATCAAAGGACGTGAATACTTTCTCTCGATCAAATACTTTTCTAGCAAAACAAAAGGTGATGGTATCATCTCATTAACCATAGTAGCACTTGGTAAACTATTTACCAATTTATCTTTTAAAGTATCAAGATAATCTGTATCTGATAACTTTAAAAATATAAATTCTATTTGTCTATTTACATATACTAATAATAGTTTTGTTAGTTTTTGGTATTAATAATATTAAGTATAACTTTCACAGCTTACATTTATTCTTATTTAGTTGTTTCCAACTATGTAACCATTGATGATAGTTTTGTTCGTTTTGATTGGTTTCCGGAATTATACCGATTGCAAATATCTTACAGTTTGAATATCGGTGTGAAACAATATCTAACCAATAGTCTAGCACTTCATTGTCAACGTTAATATCGTTGATAAAGTTGAATTGAATGACATAGATTGTCTTCTCTGTGAAAAAGTGTGATTGTATTGGCCAGAAACATCGATTGCCAGAAAACTCCCATACTCTGAGATCTACCATTGTTGCAGTGCCATCAACCGTTTCAAACTTGGCAAACGGTGGTGAATTTACATAGATTGGTATCTGATCGATGTCCACTGCAAGCTTGTTGAGGTCTGCCACTACCTTTGTTGCTTTACGCTGGTAGAACAATTGGAAGCACAAAGATGAACGACCACCTCGATTGGAACCAAGGAATATCATTTTGGCACGCAAACACGGTTGTATACTCTCGATATACTCTTTCATCTGTGAGAGAATCGTTGTTACATCGGCAACAGATTGTGCACTATTTGCTGTACTTCCACCACCACTACCACTACCACCTCCGGATTGATCCAATAGCCTTCCAGACATACTCTTCAGCTTGTTACCCTCGATATCCAAGTTGGTGATAGTATTCATCATGGCGAGTGACTGTGGTAGATTCTCAAGTTGATTGTGTGGAATCAGGAATGTTTCCAGTGACTCTAGTGAGCTGATAGTAGGTGGAAGCCAACCAATATTGTTGTGTGCAAGTCTAAGACATATCAACTTTTTTAGCTGTGTAAGCTCGTCTGGTAGCTCTTTGATTTGGTTATATTGGAGGGAAAGCGACTTTAACTGTGTCATTCTAGATATTGTCAATGGTATTTCAGTGATACGATTGTTGTCGGCAATAAACTCTTCGAGCGATGTAATAACAACAATAGAATCAATCGATTGAATTTGATTGTTTGATATATTCAAATATTGAAGTTGAACTAGAGACGATAGTGAATTTGGTATCTTTTGAATCTGGTTCTCTTTCAAATTGAGCGATTTGAGATGTATTAGCTCTGAAATCAAACCTGGCAATGATTTGATTCTGTTACAAGAGAAATCGAGCTCTGTCAGAGAGTGTAGATTCACCAACTCTACACCAAATGAATCTAAAGCATTACGACTTAGATTCAAATATGATAGCTGGCTCAACTTTGAAATATGAGGTGATATCTCTGTGATTTCATTTGCCATTAGATTTAATCTACGCAATGTAATGAATAATCCAATCTCTCTTGGAATGTTGGTTAAAAAGTTATGGCCAATACTTAAATGTTCCAATCCTTTTATCTTTTCATTTAATAACATCCAAAAAGTTGATGGAATTCCATGTATTAAATTATTATCAATAATAAATTCTTTTAAATCTAAAAAAAAAAAAAACAAATAAATTAATAAATTGACAGTTTAAATAATAATAATAATAAACAACTTACTCTCAAATCTTAAAATAGAATTTGGTATTGATGCTAAGAAATTCTCTGAAATATTGATTGAATTGATTTGTTTGCTTACATGGGTGATATTTGGTTGTAAGAATGAATTTGTTAAATCAAATAAACCCATAAATGAAAGATTCAAATCAAATGATCTTGGTGATGCTGTATTGAGTTGTTGATTATTATTATTTGTTGTATTTTGTTGTTGTTGTACTGCAACTGTTTTTAAATCTATTTGTAATTTTTATGATTTCAATGCGTTGACTCTTGCAGATGATGTTAACCACTTTGTATAAAACTCACTCCATAGAGAAATATTGTTGAGATTGAATTGTCTGATTGGTAAAGCCGAGAGTGAATATGCTTTATAATAGGGGTTGATGAATCGCTCCGACGATGTGGCAACGCCAGCCCATATCGATTGTGTTGCTTTTAGGAGGTTGAGTTGAACTGCTTCTTTGTGACTCTTGGCCAAGAACGTACCGAAACGACCGGTGAACGACTGAGAACAAATGAAATTTACAAACGATTGGTTAAATTCAAAGTCGGTTGGGAATTGGAGGAGTAGTTGAACAATGCAATCACAGAAAATAACAAATAATAGAGGTCCCAGACTGACTTGAGAAGTTCGTTGGGGTGAATGACCAAACTCTGGTAATCCAAATTCGATCCACTCTTTTTGAATGAGAATTTGAACACCCATTAGTGTACGATAGAAAGGGTCGAGAATCAACTGGACAAGTGATGAAATTAGTATCTCTTCACAGTCATGTCCCGAACTTTGAATGACACCCGATTGCCCACTGGTGTAATACTCTGTGACACGAGTAACAATTCTCATGGTGTTGGTAATAATAGATAGCCACTCGGTGCCAGCAAGAGAATTACGCCAAAGCTGCTTATTTCGCTCAGTTGGTACACTCGATGTGCATAGCTCCAATAGCTTTGTAAAACTAGTTCTAATTCGCTCGCCATCATCCATTCCAAGATAGATGAATTTACATTGTTGATAATGAGTTTCGTAGGTCAATCGTTTCGGTGGGAATCCAGTTTCAAAGATATTCAGTGGTGTATTGTTGGAACGGTTGTAATTATGAATCTTATAGAGCTCTAACATCAATAAGAGATCCGATTCATCTTGGATATCGACTGATGGCTGTTGTGAAATCGCTACAAAAACATGGTATCCACTCATTGGCACTAAACTACACCATGTAACCGCTGGAAAACGTCGATTGACACGATAGTTGGAAATGTCACGAAGACTATTATCATTGATGCTAGCAGGAAGCACGATTGCCGATGAGTATGTAGGACAGATATCGAAACGTGCATTCATCAATGAGATTCTCCAATGTAAATTTAAATTCATTCTCTGATATTCCATGCCAATATTTGTGATTTTAGAAATATTATTACTAATTGAGTTGTTTGTAGGCGAACTTGAAATTGCATTTCCACTGCTACTCAGTGAAACAACAGGTTGATTTGAAAATCCATTTCTATTCTTACCGATTGCAAGAATTTGATTTTCAATCGCTGAAGAGGAATCCTGTGAGAATGCAAACAATGATTTGGTTGGCTTGTGGAATGATAGCTTTGTTACCAATCCAACAAATAGTTCTTCGTCATGTTTACTGAGAAAAGAGAGATAGATAACTTTGAACAATCGACTGACAATCTTTTGATATCGATTAGGTGTGCGTTTTAATACCATGATTGAAGTCAACTCTATACCATCCAGCTCTGCGGAATCCAATGGTTCACGATCCCATGATCTATATAAAATTCGATAGTTTGTAACCCATAGCTTTACACATCCCAGCAGAGGATGCATAGTCGGTTCATCGCTATTCGAACCAGTCGAATCCAACAATTGATATTTCACATATTCAATAGGACCAAATACAACCTCTTCAGAGGTCAATAGAGATGGAAGAGTTGGAGTATTCACTCTAAACAAACGGCCATGTTCAATAATCATTGAACGTAATATTTTTGTTGACATTGGTGTTTCTTTTGCGAAAAAGAATTGACTGTTCCTATTCACTATTCGTTGGAGTGTTGATTCATCTGTTGCCCATATATTCATAATTCTCAAAACTGCATTTAATATGGCGATATGTGTTGGTGAAAGTGACTGTTGCATTGCCAACAACATTGGCATTGGTCGTGCATTGGTAAATGATAGATCTTCACTAGCTGGTTGTAACAGTGGTACCGGTATATTTGCTAGATAGGTTCGTAGCAAGAGATAAACGATTTCCGATTCCACTGAAACCAAAAACTCTTTGGTTGACTCTGGTTGCTGACAATTTGAAAATTGTGTAATGAGACGATCGATTTGAGTGACTCTATGGTCTTCGAAACTCGACGGATCGTAGGAGTTCAAAAGTGATTGAACTCTACCATTACTCACCACAAACTGTAGTTGCTCCATACACCTATAAACAACAGTTGGGCAATTTCCATCGATTTTGAATTTCGGTGCCAACCTATCCAATTGAGATCCAAATAATATTTGACTATATCCATTTGCTAATCTATTTTTTTGCAACAATTTTATTAAACATTTTTTTTTTGTTTGATTTGATTGTATTTGAATTGTGTGTGTGTGTAAAATGATCTGATGTTTATTATTATGAATCTCTACTACTAAGCATGTGACACACACAAAACACAAAAAGTAGGTGATTTGATTAAAAATTAAAGTTTGGTCACAAAACAATTGATAATTGACAATGGTATTGAAAAGTAATGTTGAATTTCAATAATTAACAATTGTTAATTTGGGTGATAATATTGACTTGGTGATTTAATCTATTAATAAACTTGATGAAAAAAAAATAGAAATAGTTATAACTTTTTAAAGTGATCGGGGTGAAGAGTGATGATGTTGGAATGATGAAAAATGGTTTCTGATGAGGTTATAGTATGTCTTTTATTGGTGTTATGACATCATGACAATATTAAATAAATAAAAATAAATAGGAGTAGAGCAAAGTAAAAAAACAAACAAAAGAAATCAGATTTACAATTTTGACAACTTGATAAAAATTTATGTTGGGGATATTTGGTGTAACAGATTAGATATTGGTATTCATAAATTTTTATGTATTTTTTCTTTTCTCCCCTCTTGAAGAACCAACCTGCTAAAGCCTATTGGGGTGGCTTTATGTCTTGTTCCCCATTAAGTGAAAAAATCATAAAAATGAAAAAAAAAATCTGTGTCACCAAAAATCAAAAAGTTTAAAATAAATGGTTTTTAAAAAATAATCACGACAAAGAAATTTCAAAAAAATCTATTAAAAATAAATACAGTAGTTAACTGTATTAGTTTTTTTGAACTTTCTATTATTGTAGTAAAGGAAAAGTGTAATGAAATTTTAAATTATTTGGAGTTTTCTTTTTTTTTTAATTTCTTTTTATTTTCTCAATAAAATATATATTTATAATAGTTTTTTGATTTGTTGTTTTTTAGGTGTATTATTTTTGTTTGTTTTTGTTTGTTTGTTTTATAGAAGGAAAGGTACTTGATTTCCATACAAAATATATATTTCTTTTTTTTTTTACTTTTGTGAAAGTTCGGCACCGATTCTGTGACCCTTGATCTTGTTCCAGTTGATCTTTAACTTGGTGATTGGTAAAGCACGTCTCAAAGCCTTGAAGGTGGTATCACCCATTGTTGAATAGCTGGTATCCAATGAGGAGTGTACATTGAGTTCAGTTCTACCAATTGCCTTGAATACATTTGATGCAGTAGTATTGGCATCCTACAAGTTAAAAGAAATTAAAGAATAAACAATGTTAGTAAAACTTTAGTAATATTCAATATATATATATATATATATATATATGTATATATATTTATACTTACAGAAGATGGAGCAGTGGTTGATTTGTTGGTTGTGGTGTTTAATTGAACGTTACCATCTTCATAGTAGTGAACGTTGATTTGTAACTTTCCATTGAGTGTGACGTTACCGCTGTTTGGCTTGAAGGTACAGGTCCAAGTTGATCTCCATCTACCATTCCAAAAGTTGTTTGGATTGAGTTTGGAGGATGACAAACAGACAGTGATTTGATGTCCTTCCGATACCTTTGAACCGTAGACAGTGACAGTACCTGTTGGGTAGAATTCATTGCAATATTTGAATGCCTCCTCTTCGAAAGCAGCTCTGTATGATTCTACATCGGAATCCATTTCACCTGAAACTGGACGTGAACCAGTTACTGTCTAAATAATTAATAAAAAGTTAATATTATTATTATTATTATTATTAACAATGATAATATATAAAATAATACTTACTTGTTTAATATGATCGTAGGTAATGACAACTTTACCCTTTGGATCCAAATATTCGTTGTGACTGATTTCACCTCTCTTGGTGAGTAAAACCTTGTGTCCTTTTGGTGAAGCGACAGCAATCATTTGTTCAGTGTTATATTCTCTGAAAGTATCAGCAGCAGATGAATTTAAAATATTTTCATTTGGGCTGAGTAAAGTACGAACATCTAAATAATTATTTGTTATACAGGATAAGATATCATAGGTTAATATTTGATTTTATGTTCTATTGATTATGATTATATTGATTGCTATTCTTATTATTCTTCTTTGTTCATACCTGATACGATTTCGTTGAATTCACCTGGTGGTGCGCTCAATAAGAAGTTGGTGGCAATGCTGACAATTTCTTCGTTTGTGGCCATTTTTTATATTGTTGTTTAAAAAAGTCTGTATATAGGGTGTGTGTATCTGTGTAGATATTGATTTTGTTTGTATTTAAGAATTGTTTTGATTTGTTTTTTTTTTAATTTACAAAAATGAAAACAATTTGACTGAATATGTATGATTAATTAATAATTAATAACTGATATCCTTTCTATTTTATATTATAAGTAATAATGTACAACAGCTGTTTTGAGGAAGAAATAAAAAAACTATATAAAAAAAAATATCAATATTTTTGTTAAACAAAAAAAAAAATCGCAGTGCTTACTTATTAAAATTTTCACACTTCAAAGTCAAGATAATGAGAGAGACAAAGTTCAAAAAGGAATAAAAAAAAAATAGAATTTTTTTATAAATTAAAAAAAATCATCAAAAAAACCATTTTTTTAAGGCAAAGGGTTCATTTGAAAACCCATTTTCTGATTGCTTTGAAAAAAAAAAAAAACAATTAAAAATTAATATTTAATTTTTTAATTAAAATAGATAATTGAAATTTTTTATTGATCTATTTGTTTATTTGATTTTATTTTTAAAAACGATAAGTCTCTTCTGGTTTTACTAAAAATGGTTTATCTACAAAGAGATTATTGTATTTCTTCATTGATTTTGCAGTGATAAAGAGTGTTACTAACCAAAAGACAATGAATACGATGAGTGAGTTGAGTATGGTAGTTGAAGATGGTAGGATGAATGTGTAGATAAACAAAGCTACGAGGAGTACAAATGCAATCCATATCAGTTGCATTGGGTGTTTTGGTTGACGAAGTTGTTCGGCGTCGACCTTGTAGACACCGGTGAACAAATCGAATGCATCCTGACGGAATCCATCGATAAAGTTGTTAAGGTAGTAACGCTTGAGTGAGTTTTCACCGTCTTGGATCAATCCGGCGGTTGAACGCTTACCGGTACGAGTGTAGTCGTTCTTGAGAGCACCGGTTCCACTGTATTGTGTTGAGATGACATCGGCGTGGTCGGCCCACATGTTCTTGTAGATTGAATCAAACTGTGGTGAGTCTAGTAGTTTCTTATCGATGGCGAGTGCAGTGAGTTGTGCAACCAGTTGTTGTTTGGAGACGAGTGTCTGGACTACGTTGGTACGGTCGAGATTGTCGATACAATTGGTACGAACAATACCCTTTTGACGTTGGACTGGACTGCCACCCTTTGCCATGAAGAATCCATCGCGTTGAATGTCATCTTTAATCATATCCATGAGAATCGATAGTTTGTCGTAACGCATTCCTTTACAGATGGCGTGGAAGTCGAACCAGATGTATTTGACGTGTGACAACTTGGCGATTCCCTTCTCGTAGGCTTCACCGAGTTTGAGTTCATCGGATTTCTTGTCGATCAGATTAACGATGGTAGTATCACCATAGAGATCGTAGAGCTGAGAGAAATGTGTACGTACTGCAGACTGGTTAACGGTTTCGCTTCCGTAGAATTTGACACGTGGTTTGTAAGCGAGGTTGGGGAATTGCGACCAGAGCAATGGAACGGAACCACGAATTTGGACGAATGAGGTGTAGGTATCTTTTTGTGAGAGTGACTCAAAGATTTGCTCGGTCTCTACGTTGTTGGCGACGTTACCTTTTTGGTCGGCACCACGTTGGTAGTAACGAGTTCCTGCACGTTGGTGGTTACGACGTGACATCAAGGTGATACGATAGTCTTGTCCGGCGTAGTTGAATTTACTTTGTTTGACGAATCCCATTGTCAAAGGTACGACCCACTCTTTGGCTACCTCTTGAAAGTCGGTGACGTAGTTGCGGTTCCAGAAGAAACGCTGATCCGGTGCGGTGGCGGTGATCTCACGTTGGCGAGTATGGGTAATGTCTGTGGTGAATGAAAAGTAGAATGATTTCACCTGTAAGATCCATTGGAGCATCTCGAGATACGACTGTTCCTCATCGTAGAGTGGGATGGTAATGAGCGATTGTTGGTTGGCGTGGAACGGAATCAACTGGACAGAGTCGACACGGTAGATGTTGTTCGGTGTCGATGAAACACCTGGAATCTGAGCGACTACAGTTGTCTTGTCTGCAACAATCAAGTAACGACCGGAAAGAAGTGGAGCAACACCAATCAAACAACCTTGGATATTGGTAGTGGAGATGACATTCTCTTCTGATGGTATCTTTTGAGTGGTACCATCGTATCTACTATAGCTGAAATCTGATTTATTAATTGCAATACCATATGGTAATATTCTTTTATTTGTTGAAATCAACAATATTCTATCTGTTGTTTGTACAATTGATATATCTGCCATAATTTATTTTATCTTTATCTTTTTAATAATAAATTAAATAATAATAAATAAAAAAAAGTTAATGAAAATTTAAAAATTATTGTTTGTAAAAAATAAAAATCAAAAAGTAAATATTAAAAAAAAATGATCATATCAAAATCTACCTTTGTACAAAAAAAAAAAAAAAAAAAACTAAATCTATTTATTAAATATATTTTCTTGTTGATTCTTTATAAATTACTTTACTTGAGGGTTTGGATGGTATAGGAGGATAAGACTTTCCAGTTGATTTAAATAGAGGGGACGAAGGTGTGGATGAAGACGATGGTGATGTTGATGTGCTGAATGGTGTGGTCATATAGTTGTTACCATAGTTATCAGAGAGTGTAAGTTGCATCGGTGTGTTTTGATTTGATATCGATATGTAGGTGTTGGGTGAGAGTTTCTTTAGTTGTTGTGCCTGTTGTTGCAGTAGTGATTTCAGTTGTTTCTTCTTTGGTATCTTTCCATTAATAAATAGAGAGTCTTGCTGAGCGATAACATCCAAATGATCCAAACATAAATCTGGTATCTGTGTCTTTAAAATAGGATATCCACATCGTTGATCATTAATCAACTGATAATTACATCCTGTAAATAGTTTTTGTTGGCTATCATCCAATATATCTAAAGATTTTAATTATATTAGTTAAAATAGTTTTAGTTGGGTCAAAACTACTAATTACTTACGAGCATAACAATATTTTGAAAGTGGTAGAGGATAAACTTTACATCCACTATGTGAGCATAAACTTTGATTATTTTGATTATTATTATTTTGATTGTTATTATTTTGATTATCATTTAATACTGATTCCAAATAATGTCTTCTTAATATTCTTAATCTTTCTTTAATTCTTGTATATTGTTTCTTGTATAATAAAATTAATTTTGAAATGTAAATCTTTCTTCGTTGTACCAATTCTTCCTCTGAAAGTAATGATGTTTGTGCTAAATAAAAATCTTCATTGAAATCATCACATAAATGCCAATCGTCATTATCCTTTGGTTCCAAGAGTTGTGAATCTAACCATTTGTTTGATTGTATTGATTCAAATTTATAATATTTAGATGCATCCATATGATTATTAAAAGGTGTTGTTGTTGTTGTTGTTGTTGTTGTTGCTGTTGCTATTGTTGTTGAAGTTGAAGTTGTTGTTGTTGTTGTTGTTGTTGTTGATGATGATTCCGATTCATTTATTTCAGTTTGTTGAATATCATCTAACGTTGGTATCTTTAAACGTTTATTATTTAACTCTTTATTCTTATAATCTTGATAGTAATTTCCTTTGTTGATACCATGTTTTGCCAAGATTGCAAGAAGTCGCTTGGATTGTGAACTTGATGTGGAGTTTGAATCCTCCAGTGTACGTTTCTTTTGGAGTTGTGATACTACCATGTGCTTGTGTGTAGGACAGTATCGTGGTGTTGTCTCACGTAGTGATACAGGTGCTGTACATCTCTTCATCGACTTTGAACTTACAAACTCGCATTGTGCATATGGTGCAGTAGGATCCTCTAGTATATGCTTGCTACAGTAGAGTCTTCCCTCCATTGGTCGTTTTGAACATGCTTTCTTGATGGAAGCACACATTGCACGTAGAGGACGTCTAGATCTAGAATGATTACTACCACTTCCACGACCTGATTTCTTTTTTAATTGTTGAGTTGTAGGTGTAAAAGGTGATTCATCGCTACGAACACTTTGACTTTCATCATAATCATATGATTCTTCATCATCATCATCCTCTTCTTCTTCTCCATCCTCTTCTTCCTCATCATCATGATCATTTGCTGATATAACAACTGATGTATTAATATCAATCATATGACTAATATCATTATTCGAATGATTATGACCGACAATATTGTTTGCTCTACGACCTCTAGTGAAATTTAAAGGTAATTCTTCTTCTTCTTCTTCACCATCATAATAATCTTGATTTTCTTTATTTTTATAATCTATTATCTCGTTCTTGTTGTTTCCATTCATTATTATTCTAGATTAATAATATATAAAAATATTCATTATAAAAAAAATGAAAAAATAAAAATAAAAAAATATGAAGTTTTAAAGTTAATTAAATAAACAATTTTATTTTTTATTTATTTGCAGTAAAATTATTTATATTAATTAATCTCCACTAAAAAGATAGTTCGACCAATTTTTAACGGTTAAAAAAATAATATGAAGTTCCACTCCTTCGGTCTTTATTTTTTTTCAAAACAATTTTTTTTTTATTCTTTTTGATGAGATTTGAGAATGAATAAAGAACCAAGCCAAAATCATGTGACAAGACGAGGTAAAAAAAAACCAAAAACGAAAATCTAATAAAAAAATTTAATTTTTTTAATTTTTTGAAATTTTTTTTATTTTTTTTAATTTTTTTTTGTCAGCTGCGACCAACTCACCTGCTGACTGATCCTCATTTTGATTTTGAGTTTTCTTTTTCTCTTTAGTTCTTTGTGTTCTCGCCTTCTTTACACATAACAACAACGGTATGTGACATATGGAAATATAAATAAATATTTTAATTATATATATATTAGTACAATAATAGTCAATATAGTTTTTTTCTTTTATTTATTTTAATTTCCAAAAATTGAAATTATAATTAATTTTTTTATCATTACACAACACACAATTAACAATCCAAAAGAAAGAAATATTAAACAAGATCTTCAAAACTTTTTTTTTATTTTATTTTGTTTATATTTTAAATTTAACAAGTCAACATAAAATAATCAATAAATAAATAATGTAGATGCAGCAGTGATATTTTTTTTTACAATAAACACAGTACAACACCAAGTCATTTCACCACCCACCACACACTATAAATATTCTATTCAGCAACAACATTCGGGATTGTATTATTATTTTGTTGTTGTTTTTTTTTGATTGTGAGAAATGTGAGTTTCTCAACTTCAAACGAAAACAAAAAATTTAATTTTTTTCTTTTTTTTTTTCTTTTGTCAATTTTTTTACTTTCGTTCCAGACAACATAGCTATTTTTTCATAATAATCATTCCACCTCTAATAATAAAAAACATAAACATTCATTTGTTGTTGTTGTCATTAATAGTAATAGTAAATTTCAAATATCTGACTATTTTTTTACTTTGTTTTAAAAATATTCCAATCCATATATTAACATTTCCAAAATTTTTTTAAAAACCCTTTAGTTCCTAAATAATTCAAAATGGTAAACTTTACTATTGACCAAATCAGATCCATTATGGATCGTCGTGAAAACATTCGTAACATGTCTGTTATTGCTCAGTAAGTATATCAATCAACAAATCATTTAAACATTATTTTTGTAAATCTAATTTTTCCCTCTCTCCCTCTTTTTTTCTCTTTTCTCTCCTCTCTCTCTTCTCATAGCGTCGATCACGGTAAGACCACCTTATCTGACTCTTTGATTCAAAGAGCCGGTATTATTGCCGACAAGGTTGCTGGTGATATGAGATATATGTCTACTCGTCAAGACGAGCAAGATCGTGGTATCACTATCAAGTCATCCTCTGTATCCCTCCATTTCGAAATTACCGATCCAGATAACATGCCAAAGGGATCCACTTCACCAGAGTTCTTGATTAATCTTATCGATTCCCCGGGTCACGTCGATTTCTCATCTGAGGTAACTGCTGCTCTCCGTGTTACTGACGGTGCTTTGGTCGTCGTCGATTGTGTCGAAGGTGTCTGTGTCCAAACTGAGACTGTATTGCGTCAAGCCGTCGCTGAGCGTATCAAGCCAGTTCTCTTCCTTAACAAGGTCGATCGTTTCTTGTTGGAACTCCAATTGAACACCGAAGAGGCTTACATCTCTTTCCGTCGTGCTATCGAGTCTGTCAACGTTATTGTCGGTAATATGGACGACAAGGAATTCGGTGACGTCACTGTCAAGCCAGAGATTGGTACCGTTGCTTTCGGTTCTGGTCTCCACGGTTGGGGTTTCACCCTTGGTAAGTTTGCCAAGTTGTACGCCGCCAAGTTTGGTGTACCAAAGGAGAAGTTGATCCAACGTCTCTGGGGTGACAACTATTTCGATGCCGAAGGTAAGAAGTGGACCTCATCCACCACCTCTGTCTCTGGAAAGCCATTGGCACGTGCTTTCTGTCAATTCGTTTTGGAGCCAATCTACCAATTGTCCAGAGCCATCGTTGACGACAACCAAGAAAAGATTGACAAGATGGTCAAGACCCTCAACATTAACCTTTCCACTGAAGACAAGGAATTGAAGGGTAAGGCTTTGGTCAAGGCTGTCATGCGTAAGTTCTTGCCAGCTGCCGACGCTATTTTGGAAATGATTGTCATGCATTTGCCATCCCCAATCGTTGCCCAAAAGTACCGTGTCATCAATTTGTACGAAGGTCCATTGGACGACGAGTGTGCCAAGGCTATCTCTGCATGTGACCCAGAAGGTCCACTCATGATGTACGTATCAAAGATGGTTCCAACCTCTGATAAGGGTCGTTTCTACGCTTTCGGTCGTGTATTCTCTGGTGTTATCCGTACCGGTCAAAAGGTCCGTATTATGGGTCCAAACTACGTCCCAGGTAAGAAGGAAGATCTCTATTGTAAGTCCATCCAACGTACCATCCTTATGATGGGTCGTAAGACTGAGCAAATCGAAGATTGCCCATGTGGTAACATTGTTGGTTTGGTTGGTGTCGATCAATATTTGGTCAAGTCTGGTACCATCACCACCTCTGAAGTCGCTCACAACATTCGTGTCATGAAGTTCTCTGTATCCCCAGTCGTACGTGTTGCCGTCGAAGCCAAGAACCCAGCCGATCTTCCAAAGTTGGTCGAAGGTTTGAAGCGTCTCGCCAAGTCAGATCCATGTGTCTTGTGTTACACTGAAGAGTCTGGTGAGCACATCGTTGCCGGTGCTGGTGAGTTGCATCTTGAAATCTGTTTGAAGGATTTGGCCGAAGATCACGCCGGTATTGAAATCAAGACTACCGATCCAGTCGTATCTTTCAGAGAGTCTGTCCAAGCCGAGTCATCCATTGTCTGTTTGTCCAAGTCACCAAACAAGCACAACCGTCTCTTTGTCAAGGCCGAGCCAATGCCAATGGAACTCCAAGATCAAATCGAAGCCGGTACCATCAATGCCAAGGACGACGTCAAGTCACGTGCCAACGTTCTCGCTGAGCAATTCAACTGGGATGTCAATGATGCCAAATCAATTTGGAGTTTTGGTCCAGATGCTAGTGGAGCAAACATCCTTGTCAATGTAACCAAGGGAGTCCAGTACATGAATGAAATTAAGGATTCATTCGTTGCTGCTTTCCAATGGGCTACCAAGGAGGGTGTTGTTTGTGATGAAAACATGAGAGGTATTCGTTTCAACGTTCTCGACGTTACCCTTCACACTGATGCCATTCACAGAGGTGGTGGTCAAATCGTCCCAACTGCTCGTCGTGTATTGTACGCCGCTGAATTGACTGCTTCCCCAATTCTCCTCGAACCAATCTACTTGGTCGAAATTACTGCTCCAGAGTCTGCCGTCGGTGGTATCTATGGTGTATTGAACAGACGTAGAGGTCACGTTATCTCTGAAGAGCGTCGTGTTGGTACCCCATTGTTCTCTGTCAAGGCCAACATGCCAGTATTGGAATCTTTCGGTTTCACTGCCGATCTCCGTTCTCACACTGCCGGTCAAGCTTTCCCACAATGTGTATTCGATCATTGGTCATCCATTGGTGTCGTCGGTGTTGACAAGAAGGTCACCGAAGTTGCCCTCGCCGTTCGTAAGAGAAAGGGTCTCTCTGAAGAAATCCCACCCCTCGATCGTTTCATGGACAAATTATAAACAAAAATTTAAAAACCATTTAAAAATAAATATCAAAATTCAAAATCAAAAAAAAAAAAATATCGTTTGTAAAGTTAATTGTTGATCAAAAAAAAAAAAAAAGAAAGAGAACAGAAAATGATTGTAGAAAAGAATCCAAATTTGCAAAAGAGATATTCGAATCTTGGGTAAATCAAATGTAGAAACAATCATAAGAGAAGTAGTTAAATAAGGGTTATTACAATTTAATGATAATCGTGGAATCATAGAGAATACAATTTATAGATTGGTAAAGGAATATCCTGTTATTGTTGAAAGGTATGTTAAAATATAAGTTTATAATTTAAAAAATTTGTTGAAAAAAAAATAATGCGATTAAAAAAAAACAAATTTCCTTGGATCAGTTTGAAATCTTGTGACACAAATAATAATTAATGATGTTTATCAATCAAAAATAAAATCTTTATAATATTATATTTGTAGTTATAGTATTAATAATAAATTAAACCTAAATAGTATATATTAATTAAAATTATATTTAAAAACCAAAAAAAATTATTACTCTGGTATTGAATCTTTATCTAAAGATGTAAACAACAGATATCATAATTAATTAATTTAAATATTATTTACTAATATAGTATTATTTAAAATAGCCTGTTGTTTCTAATATTAAGATGTTATTGTTGTTGAATATTGTTATCGTCAGGCAAAAACAACAAAGAAACAATGAGTGTTAAAAAACATTCTGATGTACAAATAAAGGTAAAATGAACAAATTTAGTAAAATTGAAAACGAATTATTGTATTTCAATTACAATGAATTAAATAGTAAATATGTTTAAAAATAATAATAATTAAATATATCAAAAAAAAAACGATAATTATATAACGCCAATTAGTTTCCTTTAATATTAAATAAATTGTAGTAATAAATGAGACCAACAGAAAGGAATCAAAAGATTATAGATGTATTGAATCGTTTAGTTCAGCGAAAAAGAAGTAGTTCAGTCTTTAAATCAGCTACATTAAAGTATAGATATGTTTCTTTATATCATATGTTTATTTCAGTGAATGAGTTGAGACAATATAGATGTGTGAGATTGGTTCAACATAATGAGTTTCAAAGATTCCAATTAGATCCTTTGCCAAATGTCATATTAATTAAAGGAATTGAAAAAGGTAAAAAATATTCTTTAGATATATTAAAAAAAAAAAAAAAATTAATTTAAATTCCCAAAGAATCATTAAAAACAATTCTAGATTTACTCCATCAGGTTCCAGATATTGTCAAGGACAATCTTCCAGCGATTGTTTCTTACATCGATGAAACTGAATGTATATTTGTGTCCTATCAGAATATTAAATATGTTGTGTTGGCTGAAAATGATGAAACGGTCAGAATGACATTACCAATGTTTCAAGAAATTCAAGGTGAAATTAATTCAAAAAGAGTGAGTTTGGATGTTGAAGTTTCAAAACAAAAGAAATAGAGAGAGAATAGCAAATAAGAAAAGATATAACAAGAGAAATAATGAGGATAGTGATAGTGATAGTGATGGTGATGGTGACAGTGATAGTGATAGTTATTGTAGTGATGGTGATAGCGATAGTGATTGTAGTGATAGTGATTGTAGTAAGTGTGATAGTGAAAGCGATAGTAGTTATTGTAGTGATAGTGATTGTAGTAAGTATGATAGTGAAAGTGATAGTAGTTATTGTAGTGATAGTGAAAGTAGTGATAGTGAAAGTAGTGATAATGATAATAATAGTAATAGTAGTTGTAAAAAAGAAAGAGGTGTTAGTAGAAGATCAAATCGAATTAGACCAAACACCACACCTTTGTCAAATAGTTCATCTAAAATGATTCCTGTTGATCCAAGTTACCCATGGGAAGTGTCAATAAAAAAAAAACCATCAAACACCACCACCACCACCACAACTTCTACTACTTCCTCTTCAATAACAAAGCAATCTTCTACTCAACAACAACAACAACAACAACAATCAAAGGTTCAAAGACAATCAATTTCAGCAAAACCAAAACCAAACAACCTTCACTCAAAGGAAATTCATAACTATCTTGAATCAGCTCCATCTTTCGAATCGATGGATGAAATTTATTCTATTCATTTATTAGCAGTTTTCTACTATTTATATTTATTACCTCATGCTTTCAGTCACTTACCACACCCTACTGGAATTCAATTCATTATCTATCAATTCGTTTATAAATTGTGTAAAGTCAAGAACGATCGTCTCGATATCCCACCAGCTAAAGTGATTGAATCTTTCATCAATAGTTATCAATGGTTGGACCAGAATATGCGAGATTATCTCAGTTTCACTCTCATAAATCAAGTTTCAAATCTGAAAAACTTGAATGGTGTCAAACCTCATGTTCGTGATTTACTTGGTCTCTATTCATTCCTCCCCAAACAAACCAAGATGCTAGTCTTGATTCATTTCAAAACCAAGAAGAATCCAATACCAACAACTATGGATATTCCGTTTAGATTGTTCTCTACGACTCCACTCGAAGGATTGCTCTCAATTCATGATACTCGTGATTCTATGATCCTATCAAAGAAAGGTGGATATTTATTTGCACTTGACCGAGTTATCAATTTAGGTATGATTATTATTATTATTAATAATAATTTAATGATGATATCGATTATATTGATTATTAATAATTCATTATACATTTAGATCAATTAAATGAAACTGATTTATTTAGATTTATTAATGGTGATCGTGTCAATTACATTAATATTACTAAATACTACGAATTGATAAAGAATGAAAGGATGTACTCATTAAGCAAAATGAAGAAACAAAGAGAACTTAATAGTTTGGTATTGGATCATCTTGATGTATTGAAACATCTTCAGATTGCCGAGCTCTTGCGGAGAAGGGAAGAGAGGATAGCTCTTAAACCACCCACCACCAAACAAACAACCAAACCAACTAGCAATCGTCTGACTTGTGATCAAATAAGAGAAGAACTGAATCTCGATATCACCTCGAATAGAACAAATAATGTATTCATTGTCTGTAGAGAGTCTGCATGTGAAGGAAGTGGAGTCAGTAATTCAATGTTGCAACAGATAACTCTTCTTCTTAGTATGCTAATATTGATTACAACCAACAATACTAGTTCCAATCTTCCAACTTCATATCTACCTTTGGATAGTTATCATCTTGTATTTATCATGGAAGTTATTAGTTCATATTGGTTCCTTCTCAAGTTTAGAAAACAAATGGAGTTGTTTAGGCAAAACTTGGATGCCAGGGATTTGGTAATCATGGCTGGATTTGAACGGCTCACTCGAAATGCATCAGAGTTAAAAGAGCTATTAGATTTGTTTAGGAAATACGGAAATATTATCTTTGTTGATAGGCTCAAGACGGTTCGGATTGAAACTGGTACCTATTTAATTGACTTTGCCTTTGGTCATGTCTACCGAGTGGAGAAAGGTCGCACAATGTTATTTGAACGTTTGCCAATCTCGATGGACGAGTTTGAAAGAGAGATTATGGATATTGGCACCAGATACTTTGCGCTTTCCAATGAACATGGGTTGTATTCCAAACGTCACCACATCACAGAGCATTGGATCAACGATGTCCTCATTGATCCAGAGATTGAAAAGTTTATGGAAGAGATGTTTGGTTTCATTGATAGAGGTGTTTACTACGCCAGAACATCGCCACCAAGAGGCGATAGGGTATTTGGTAAATCAATCAACTCTCAGGTAAAGTTTAGTCAGTTATGTATTCCAAATCTAAAGTATGCATGTGTACGTCTTGCCAAAAGTGCCAATCCCCTTGGAGCAATGGAGCATGGTGAAGATCATCGAGATGATCGAGTAATTCTATATAAAGATAATTCGGATTTGGATATTTATGAAGAGACAAGATCAGAACCTACTAGTATGTTGTTTATATTTCAATAATGAAATCAATAATTAACTAAATTTATTATAATTTACAGGACCAATTAATCTATTTATCGAAAATATGATTCAATATGCAAAGAAATTCATTTACAAAGGTAATCGGCCAGTAGATAAAGATCTAGGAGAAGGAGTATCGAAAAGAGATAGTAGTTTGGATCCACATATCAAGAAAGTACTCGATTTACACGAAATTGATACCGGCAAGATACAGCCGTGGATTATGGTATTTACTGGTATCGATAGATTGTCACGAAATGAAGCTGATCTTCCAGACATTATAAAGTTTGCTACTGCATTGAACTGTATGCTGGTTGGTTTCTTCCCACCTTCAGAGTACCTAGAGACAATTCAATCAGATCTTTCAGCATTCTTGTCTCATACCATTCATACTATTAGAGAGCACTGTGGTACACCCCAAATTAAAGACATGGAAGCAAACCATCCATCGATATTTGTAAATTACCTTGCCTATCTATACGCAATATTCACACAAAGACTTACTAAAATCAGAGAGCATATTGCTAAAGGAAATAGTTTCGTTTCATTCCGACCAGTATTGTATTTCCCGTTCATTGTCTGTGATTTCATCATTCCATTCTTGAATGATTCATTGGTAGGAGCCAAGAGGTTTCATGAAGCATCTGGATTCACTATGAATACTTATGATCTCGATTCTATATTACAACTAGTTATCCAGGAGGCAACACAAATCCTTCAATCCAACAAGAGAACATCAACTACAGATTTAAATGATACAAACAAATTAGCTAGAGTTAACGATGACAACAACAACAATAATAACAACAATAATAGCAATAATAATACAAGAAAGAGGTTAACAGTACAGAAAATGATTGCAGAAAAGAATCCAAGTTTAAAAGAGATATTAGAATCTTGGGTAAACAAATCAAATGTAGAAACAATCATAAGAGAAGTAGTGAAATTATTACAATTTAATGATAATCGAGGAATCATAGAGAATGCAATTTATAGATTGGTAAAGGAATATCATAATCTTTCAATCAATGGTCAATCAAATACCTCTGTCACTCATAATGAAAGAATTATTGTTGAAAGGTGTGTTAAAATATATAAGTTGTTGAAAAACAAATTATTTAATTAATTTAATTATTATTATTATTATTATAGAATTCAAAGACTTCATAGAGTTGAAATGTTCAATCCTGAAAATGATTATAGTTTGGATAACCATAATTATGTTCTGAATGCAGGAATCAGTATGTCAGGCAAGCAAACAAGACAATTGAGAACAGTCCATTACTGTCCAAGTTGCAAGAATAGTATTCCATATTTACTAGAAGAAGAGAATCTGAAGAAATACTATTGCTCTAGTACCTGTGCTTTAGCTGATGGAGTCAAGGAGAATTCCGAAATCTTCAAGGCACAATGTCAACAATTTGAATTTGGTAAACAATGTTCAGAGTTGACTCTTTGTTATCTAACAACTGGAACAACTTGACTCAAACATTATCGTAGTAAATTTAGAAATAGAGATAGAAATAGAAATGATTAGATACAAAAATAAATAAAGAGTGTTTCATTAATCTGTTTATGTTATTAATTAATATATATCTTTGAATTTATTAATAAATTTGTATGATGTGTTACTACCACACCAATAGTTTCAGTTTCATATTGTTGACCTATCGTAGTTTGCATATGACCATTGCAGTTGCACATCATGGTATTGTTAAAAAGGATAGAAATACAAAATGAAGAAGACTGGGTCATCGTGAGGAATATCATCCACCGTAGAGTGAAATGAATGAATGAAAAAAAATGCAGAATAAATATTAAAAAAAAATTAATTTGTTCAATAATTTCGATTATCACAAATGGAAGTATTTAACCAATTTACTATTAAGAAATGGGTTCGAATCTGTTGGGTATTTGTACCGCTTGCGGATTAATAAAAATCATGTATTTATATTCAATTCAAATTCATATTCATATTCCAATTCCAATTCAAATTCATATTCCAATTCATATTCATATTCATATTCAAATTAATATTATTATCCTAATAATAGCCCTCTGCTCAAAATAGAGATAATAATTCACCCACCAAAGTGATTATTCTGTCCAATGAAACTAAGCAATCACAAGAATTAATGATATATATCATTCAATTCCCAATTGGTGAATGAAAAGAAAAGGTTTAGACACACAAAATAAAAAATACAGTTAGATAATACAATATAATCTCAAAAAACAAATTAATTCCAAATTATTCTTTATTTGTATTATTTAAAGTTGATCTTCTTTGTCTTCTAATTCTATATTGTGAGTTGTGATTAATTCATCTTGAACTTCTGACCGAATATCTCATTTAATTTCACTGTACCTTCTTGATGAATACATCTTTGATCTTTAAATAGATGAACATGGATCATCACCAGTTCAAAGCACTCTCGATACTGCAATAGTCACCCAACTTCTTGGATAGGCATCTACTGATATCGACTAGTTTGTTTGGGCATATTACATCTCGATTATAATGAAACAATAATCGAATATTTCTTTATGATTTCTATATCAGATTGATAGATTAATTCAGCAACTCTAGTATCTTCCTTTATGTTGATACCGACAGTAATTAGCAAGCTTATCATAGGTGAATAACGAGTGGTTTATGTCCTGTTAGAATAATTACATTCCTTCTACCAAAAACCAAATCAATGGGAACATAATCTCTTATTCCAAATGATGGCCATCTCAGCCTGCCTATGGCCGAACTTCTCTAATAATAAATAAATACGAACTCTAGGGTAGTATCCTACACCTTTACTATAAGTAATGGTTGTACATGTATACTTTAAAAAAATAAATATTTATTGATATTGATATTGATATTGATATTGATATTGATATTGATATTGATATTGATATTGATATTGATATTGATATTGATATTGATATTGATATTTGTATTGTTTGGTTATTTGAATGTTGATTGTTTGATTATTTGATTGTTTGGCTGTATGTTGGATTTATTTGAGTATCAATGATAAACACGGAATCACTAAACTACCGCCGTTGGTTAAGCGATCATTACTCTCTTTATCTTGCCCGAAACATTAAACTCTGTGTAAAGCTATAGTGATTGAGTAGTATGAATAATAGAATGTTAGATAGGTTCCAATCTTTGCTGATAGTTTGGTTAATTATGGTAGAACAACGCCATGTCTGCTCAAATCAAGATCCTTCAATTTGCTTATGTCACTACCGCTACTTTAAAAGTCAAACGAGCCTGGTGCATGAGTGAAGGATAGAGAGCCTTCACTTTAACAACACTGTCCTTTAAGTGCACATCATCGTATTGATAGGATAGAAAAACACAGTGAAGACTGGATCATCGTGAAGAGTGCCATCATAGAGTAAAATATTGTTGCCAAAGCTGTGTACCTGTCAAATCTATATTCGCTATCATCGTTTACATCCTATCTTTGTCAATCATCCGAGAGCTGATCACTCGATCATATCTTGGTAATTATCCATACTAACTATTATTTATTTACTTTAGCTATAATATGATCAAATCAAATCAAATTCGATCTTAAAAGTTTATTAATAGGAAAAAACATAATATCAGAGTTGTAGTAGTAAACATTAATGAATATTAATAAATTTATTGAAATTCTTTAAAAAAAAAAAAAAAAAAAAACGGATGAATCCGTTGGTATGATCACAATAATAATATTATTAAAAGAAGATTCTAATTTATATTGTTTGCGAATTCCAACCAACACTGGGTTTCAATCATTTGAAAGCTCTGTTATCTGTTGTAGTATTGTAAGTTATTAAAAGACTAATCACTCTATAATTAATAATAATCATTTGGGTATTGAAATTACAACAACGTCGTAGTTGAATGGATAACACATAAAACTATATCGATCACTATTTATAGCATGTTTATTGTTATTCCGATCTAAAGAAAAGTAGATTATAAATAGTAATTAATAACAATTGATATAGGTAGCAGCAGTTACGACTATTATAAAAGAAAATATAATTATAATACAGAATGAACGACAATCAACAAAACCAAAAGCTGGATGATAGTGTTGGATTTACTACAAAGATACAACATCTAGAGGAAATATTTGTTATTAAAATTATTAAAATAATTATTTAATCTAACTTGTTTATTTATTCTATAAAATCATCATTGAATATTTAGCTATTAAGAACAGGACGTAGATTCAATAGAATTAATAATCATGAGCTTTACAGGGGTATATTAGACAATATATCTCTACGTCAACGCAAGTGAAGAAGGTTTGGTATTGGCTGAATCATATCAAATTGTTTAGAGGTCTCTATTTCTTTACACGCAGGCCAACAGCACTTTACAGACAATACCAAGTTCATAGTAAGACAATGGGTTAGCAACAAAGTCATACACACTACAACAAAAACAATATCAACATAAAGGAATAGTAAAATCATCCACCACTTCCAAAACAACATGATAGCCTGAAATAAGCACAAAACTAGATCACACATCTACAATCATTACTTTAGAGTAAATAAATATCATCATCATCATCAACTATCAACAATCACGAGGCACAACACTGTTAGTATTAGATGAACTTCAAAGATTATCAAAGCTAGCAAACATGTAGGTGTTATATGTAATTTATAATAGTTTATAATAATTGTATATAATTTGTATTCTAACAGACATCCATTATAAAACGTCTCTATAGAAACTCAAATTAATAGAACGAAAATATCATTTAGCTTTAGATGTTAAACAGAGCCAACACTGTAGTGAATATCAATCAAAATCTGCTTTAAAAGAACAACAGCGTTGGAGGTTTCAGTGAAATGCAACAATAATTGTGGTGATAGTGGAGTCGGTCGACTGTTTGGATTCAATCATTAAAGGAACCAACAAGTTTACAATACTATCAGAAAGAACTTTAGATGTTGAAGGATCCAGTGCACACAACCAACCAACACTTCAAACGATAAGATCATAAACATTCTCATGACACTATGGTTCAACAGAACCAAAGAATAGTTGTTGACACGCCCTGCTACTTAAAGCCAAAAAAATGTGTTCCAATTCGACAAATAAGCTTATCCTAACAGACATTCACTATTTGAACTGATCATGTTGGTTCACACTAATAGCCAGAGGATCATTTAGATTTAAGAATCTAGGTATTGGTATGTAATGATAGCAAATTTGTTTATATGATACAATTAACTAATATACACAATAATAATATAAAGAACCAAATTAATTTAGATTCAGATTTGATTGCGTTTGAAATGATATTCTTCAAATACAATTTGTTGTTCTAAAGGTTAGCTTTGATCAACGTATTGCTGTTGGTTAACCTAATAAGTTTGGATTACAATTTGAGGCGACAAGATTAAGAGTAAGTTTAGAATTTAAATTATATGAATAAAATGTTACTAATCATTTATTATTTAATAAATTATCAATTTAGATTACAGATTATTTATAGATGACATGTATTATCAACAACTACAACATTAATAGCTGAATCAATATTAATGACATCAGTAGCAACACAAAACAATAATAAATGTTATGAGAACAATTAATATATCAATAAACATCATTTACTTGGGAATCTATGATTAAAGAATAATGAATAACATAAATTTATATAAAAACGAATGGATATAATGATTGAATGAAATATATAAAATGAATGTAAATGAATGGAGAATAAAATGTGATAAATAATAAATAATAAATAAATAAATAATAAATAAATAAATATTTCTAAAAAACTGAAAGAGTTAAAATGAATGAATAAGAATTTAAGTATAAGTAAGTAAATGAGTTAATAAAAGAATGAATGAAAGTATAAATGAGGAGTTGATGAATAAGAAAATGAATAAACTATAAATCCATTGAATTAATGAATCTAATAATGATTGTGAATGTTGAATAATAGATATGTTTATATATGAATAAATCAATAAATGAATAAATGTATGAGTGAATGAGTTAATGAGTGAATTAGAAATCAAATAAATAAATTCATGAATGAGTGATTGAATAAATGAATGAATTAATATATGAATTAATTCAAAACAATAAATATATAAGTATTTATCAATTAAGATTGAAAGAATAGAAAACATGATTAAATCAATGAGTTATTAAATCAATGAATAAATAAATCTTTAAACATTTGAATCAATCCCATCTTAATCGTCAAGGTTTACCTTTACTAAAATGTTAGGACAAAATGCAAAACAAAATAATATTGTATAATAATTTCAATCAATTATTCAAAAATTCAATTACATAAATAAAACATATCTATTTACACTCCAATTTATCTGCAACCCGCATATTAATCGTCAGGTTTACCTTGACAAATATGGTTGTACAAAATGCAAAACTAAAAAATATTGTTATGTACTTTCAATCAATTATTCAAGATTTCAATTACAGAAATAAAAGATAGTTATTACACTCCAATTTATCTGCAACCCGCATATTAATCGTCAGGTTTACCTGATGATTAATATGCGGGTTGCCACAGGGCATAGCCCCGGGTTGCCACAGGGCATAGCCCCGGGTTGCCACAGGGCATAGCCCCGGGTTGCCACAGGGCATAGCCCCGGGTTGCCACAGGGCATAGCCCCGGGTTGCCACAGGGCATAGCCCCGGGTTGCCACAGGGCATAGCCCCGGGTTGCCACAGGGCATAGCCCCGGGTTGCCACAGGGCATAGCCCCGGGTTGCCACAGGGCATAGCCCCGGGTTGCCACAGGGCATAGCCCCGGGTTGCCACAGGGCATAGCCCCGGGTTGCCACAGGGGTAGGGTAAGGGTAAGGGTAAGGGTAAGGGTAAGGGTAGGGTAAGGGTAAGGGTAAGGGTAAGGGTAAGGGTAAGGGTAAGGGTAAGGGTAAGGGTAAGGGTAAGGGTAAGGGTAAGGGTAAGGGTAAGGGTAAGGGTAGGGTAAGGGTAAGGGTAAGGGTAAGGG